GCTAATACATGTGTTGAAATATTACACCAAGAATTTTAAACTTTCTTCAGCATTTTTAGAAGGATGGAAACACTGTGTTCATGTAGCTTGTCTTGATTCGTAAGTATATTGTTTAAAATGAATATATATGTATTGCATTGAAATAAATCAATTTCCCACAAAAATCCAAATCTATAATGCTGAATAATATGGACAATATTATGCCCTGGTGAGGCGCATCCTGCTAAGCGTTAGAAATACGCTCGCTACCGCACCTGTGATTACCCTTCGTGGGTTTGAATCCCATGCAGGGATAGCGCTGTGCGAGAAGATAGCTGGACTTTACATCGAGTCACCGCCATAGGGTGATTCGCAGTTGGTTAGACTTCCTCCACCATCAAGTCGATGCTTTCGAAACAAATAACTAGCTAACTGCTCTCATATCGGACATGGACTTTTAGTCGCACGAGAGGTATGGTTCGCCATATGAATAAGTCTTTTTTCAGCCTTATTCTCCCTGAGATAAATAATATGTAAATCCTATATTACAATCTATAACTAATTTCATATCTGTTAAATTTTCAGTTCAGACAGCAATGAAGACAATATTGTTCAAACACTTACTCAAGGTATTTCTCAAACATTTTTGAAGCCTCCTAAAGAATTGAGCACTCCACTTATGGGCCTCACTGAAGATGTTGGCACAGCAAGATCACATAGTCATCAACAACATGGGTATGATACTGTGTTATTCATAGGGGGAAAGATAAGACAGCTAGAGTCTGGGCCACTCTTTTTGAGTCAAGTGTACTGATAGATAAATATCCAGTTTCATGTTCCTCGCCCCTGAATGTGCATGTTGTAGGAAATTATAACTCAACAGCATATATAAGATCAACCCAGTTATGCATACAGGGTGAACAGGACTGGCCATCCAGTGTTTGTTGGGTATCTTTTGATACTGGAGTTGGGGTCAGAGTTGAAATCCCTTGCGCGGAAATTATGTAAGAGAGAATTGCTGACTTTTAGGGTGGTTCATGAACTACTGGTCACTTGCGACTTCCTCCGCCATCAATAACATGCATCTGAAATAACTACCTGATCACATACCCAAAAGCATTAGACCATATCGCCGGATGGGAACAGAACAAGTCACAATTTTGAGTTTTGAGAAAAATACAAAAAACAATTTTGAATTTCGTTATTTTTGAATTTCTAAATATAAGCTCTGGTTATTTTATTGTGGATGAGAATATCTTTGCAATCAATATTTTTGGGCACTTCCTTTCTGTTTTTTTACCCTCATAAAAAACTTTGGCCTATTTTGTAATTTTTTGTATGGGATGCAAGGTAAAACAAATTGACTTAGGCCTAAGTTGCACTGAACAAATTTTTAGGAATGTAAGTTTCGCACATTTTATTTCTGATGTTCATGACCATCATATTGGGGTCTCCAACTCAAAACATGTCGTGGGCCACTTTTTTGAATTTATTGACCACGCGGGCCGCAAACCAAGAAATTAGGTACAAAAATATCTGAATGTATTGTGTTGAAATTACACTTGAATCTTACAGCAAACGAGACATGAAACATATTCATTTATTTGTGCTGGATATTTGGTTTCGATGTTGGGCCTTATTTTGGAGTTGGTTTGCTAGTCTTAGGAAAAAGTGCAAATGCGCGTCCATTAGCCGTGTGCGGAGGGCTGACTTGCTAACTTTCATAGTTGAAAAATCTGCTCGCAAATATAAGAACTGCCATCGCAGGTATGCAACGTGAATGTGCAATTAGCTTCGCAAACCTTTCTTCGGGCACAATGGACTGACTGAAACTTGTTTATTTCGTCACAATGAACATGCGAAATGAAATTATTGTAATTAAAATTGAATTATAACAATTGAATAAAACATGAACGTGGCTAAGTGGAATAACAAGGGGGAATTTTTGTTTCACTTTTTACAGTTTGTCGGACCGAACTCTTTATGTTAAATGACACGATAAAACTTACTGATAGTTGACATGATAATATTTCAGTTTTATGTAGAAAAACCCAAAATATTGAAAAAGATGAAATTTCAAAAAATGTGACTTAGGCCCCCTCTGTTCTCATCCGACGATATGATTAAGCAGTTTTATCTTATTACCTCTCGCCTGGAATAAATATGGGAGACCTTATTCAATATATTACATTATGGTTTTTAGGTCAAGAGCATCACAGATATTAGCAGCAATGCATGGGGATGACATGTCACAAATATATGGAAGATCATCTCGATCATCAAGAATAACACGATCTGGCCTGATGTCAAATATTCGGTCATCTCATGATATTCATGAAAACTCAACACCATCAGTCACAAATAACTCTATCAGCCAGGCATCTCATTTGACTTCTCTTGCACAGGACTAGTTAATGTGAATCTATGTTATTATTAATTCTGAAACCCAACTTGGGGTATACAATTGACGGAATCATGATGAATTCACTGATTGCAACACCATTTATCCCCCATTGACCTACATTTTCTGTAATGCATTGGTTATACTGCAACTAATTATTTCTTGATGTATATCATGTTTATGGACGGTGGTTAAAATCAATTTAGGATGTTAACATTTATATTCATTGCTTAAATTACGTTGTTTTTTCCACATGGTAATCCCATATACCGGAAACTAAATTTTTCACATCAGAGCTTGTAAAACTTTCTAATTTTGTTTTATTTGCATAGCGCACTATGTTTGTAATTGTGATATTGTATAGAAAATGGTCATCACAGTAACCGCTTCTATCATTCTGGCTGTAACTGAAATATAGTATTTCTTACTTTTTCAATGTACAGCATTTTCATGTTACTATTTTGTATTTTTTTTCAACTATTTTGATACTTTTTATAATGTTGGAACTTAAGTGTTTTGTATGCATTTGCCTAACTCCATCATGTTACCTTTCTCAAAATTATGTCATGTTTATTTTCACTTTCCTTCTTATTCAGCTTCAGGGTAATGTATATCCAAAGCGAAGACACTTTTACCTTTAATCCAAATATTGCTCTATATTTGCATTTTATAACAGTAAGAGATAAACTTATTTACCCATGGTTTAATCTCAGAATGTTCCTGGCAAACCAATTTTCACTCTTTTTTTAAACGGAATCTTTCGTAATTTTGTTTTATGTTGCCGTTTCTTTAGATAGAATAATTATGAAATGATAAAAACTGAAAACAATAATGACTTTTGTTTCTTTGTATTGATTATAGTATTTCAATTCTTGAGATGTTTCTGAGCATTCAAGTAACTCAATTTTTTGTTTTATAACCAATTCACGCAATTTAATCTGATCACAGCGTAAACCATTTTCATTTGTGAATGAGCTGAAAATTTCAAAGATATCCAACTGTTTTTGTATAAATGTTTAATATTTTTACTATTTCTCAACATAGATCAGTAAAATTGTATATTCCAAGTATTGTTTTATAACAAAATCACTGTAAAATATTTTGATCACTTTTTCTCAGCTTTCAACTTTTTTAACATGAGTCACCTCTTATGGCACTTTTTACTCTTCATATAGTGAAAATTTCAATACACTCACAGCCAATAGTTTATCTTTAGTTTTGTGTTACAATAAAACATTTAGTTATAAAATTTCAAGTGGAATCTGTCTATGAGTTTTTGGATTTTTTAGGTCTTGCAGGTGGCATTTCACATCTCGGGACCAAAATGTTTCTGCGTATTGTATAAATTGGGCTGTGGCCATTATGCGACCTGCTGTAAGGTCTGGCTTGAATGGTATTAGTAAAAATGGTTTTAAAAGTATTATTAAGTGTTCATTATTCAAAAAATTAATTACATGCAGTAAAATTAAAAAGTGATATAGGGCATGGCATGGCCATTTTAGACAGGACAGGGGCATATCATTTCCACCAGGGACCTAGCCATGTTAGAGCGGCAAATGGGTACTCCTGAAGTATGCGCACCAAGATGTCGCACAACCTGAACCCTAACCTGGTACACAACCTGGGTTCAGGTTGTGCGCCATCTTGGTGCGCATACCTCAGGAGGTCCGGCAAATAAACTCTTCATTTCAATAGATTCTGGAAAATTCAGTAAATATATGAAGCGAGTTTGTATCAACCTTTAACGCGACATAGCATTTTGTCGTAGCTAGAATAGCCATTAGTAAAATGCTCATCTAATTTTGAGTCTACTTGGCATGTGATAACCGATATCAATAATGACCTCACTGTGACTCTAACTAGGCACTGGTGAAATATTCCATGATTAACCGTAAACTGATAATACCAGTAGGCTATTACCAAAACGCCAGGTAATCGTGTTTCATTCATTCGAATTACGCGCAACCATTGTATTGTGAAGAACAGTACGCGGTACCGCTGCACGATAATTACGTGGACATACGCAGCATTTTGCACGCAGCGTCACTCGATCGTAGTCGTGTTGTGGCAACTGTTCGTTACCTAACTAAAGGCAAGGCAGCAAGGCGGGTTTTAATTTATCTGCTGTTTCTGTGTTTGGTACGGCTCTGCAGTGGGGAATAAAACCCAGGAATTTCTTTGTGAGATTGGGGTGTTGTATACGGGCACGTAGAAATCTTCAACAACTGCAATGGCAGTCGTGAGTCATTTTGCCATGCTTGCATTGTTACTTCTTCTGATGTCTTCTGGAATGACTGGGCAAATATCAAAAGTGAGTAAACTTAAGATATTAATGGAATAGATTTAGCATCAATTTATCATTACCGATTTCTTGTTAGCTAAATAAAATACTTGGGTCTGTGGATACTCGGGTCTAGTATAGTTTAGTACCACAAGTACTTCCAGTTGGCGTAGCATAACGATTTTTGCATATGTTATTCCTAACCCTCACCTGACTATGCCATCCAAAAATTACGTCACTACGACGTCACCATCACGTCATAGGGATTGCCAAAGTATAATTACGATCGCCCGAAATGGCATCTGCGCCGCCGATAAGAACTTGCTAAAGCCGGCGATCTCTCTCCTATCGTGATCGTTGCGACAAGAAAACGAGAGAAATAGCTTTCTCGATTTCGGGTTATCGTCTGCGCGTTTTGGACGACCATCCGCATACTTCGGTGGGCCACTGTGACGTCGGAATGACGTAATTTTTCGGTGACGTAGTCAGGTGGGGGTTAGGATTGACATATGCAAAAATTGTTGAGCCTAGCCAACTAGAAGTGGATGTGGTACCAAACTACACCAGACCCAGATACTCTGTCTTAGAATGTAGGCATTTAACTTATGTTAAAAAATATGTGTTTTAGCCCACACCCAAACAAAATGTTCAGAAGATGGTGGACCTGAGATCTAAACATGGACTCTTAATTCCAATGGATTCTGAAAATTTCAAGAAATATGTTAAGTGAGTTTGTATCAGTTGCAAGTAATGCATTTATTATTTCGTAATCACTCATTTATTAGTTAATAATCATTGCTAATGATTTCATTCAGTTTCTAAAATTGACCAACTATCTCCATTACTTCTTATGATTGCATTTAATGATTTATGCTTCCTTTTGGCACGTCATTATATCTAAATAATTTAGCTACATTTTGCTAGTGGATTTTTGTATAATTTCTACATCACTGTATGTGCACATGCTGAAAAAAGTCTCAAAATTTAAGACCTTGTACCAATTAAAAATCATTTTTAGCTTGAAAACAAATTCTGGAATGTAATTTCATAAGTTGTTCTCAAATATCAAATTACAGTTAATTTTACAGATCAAAGCACAGCAAATATTCTGTAATAGCCATGTTTACTGCATTGAAGCCAAGTTTTAAATGTGAGATATGTCCTGATGCCAAAAACGAATTTTCTATGTTAGCGTCGTCTTATGCTGCACAACCATCTGAAACATCGAATATTTTTTTTGTAGTTGTGGATTATCATAATTCACAAGAAGCATTTAGAGCGGTTAGTGTGGTCATATTGTCATACTTCTTTGATTCAGTTTCATATGTCATTTCACTATATTATGGTAGTCTACTCTTGATTATCTTATTTGATATGGTGGTGAATTGCCAGTATCAATCATTAGGGATAGGTTTTTCATCCTGGGGGGAGAAAAGATGCTGAGACTACCCAATCATATAGCGACTCGTGGTCTCTCGTCTGGGTACCAGTCCATGTCAGGTATGAGATTAGTTAGCCTGTCGTTTCAGATGCATGAACTTGATAGTGGAGGAAGCCGTAACCGACCAGCAGTTACGTGAACCACACGACGGCTAGGAGGCCAGCAATCCTCCCGTACATTATTATCCCTCACTGCATTCGAACACACGCTGGGTAATTGCTAATGCCTAGCACAACACGCCATACCGCCAAGCAGGGTGTGTGCACAATTCTTTTTCATATACTCAAGACTCAATAGCCTACATTCTTCAACTAGAATGTGTTGAGTTTTCATAATATGAGTTTTAAGAAAAATAGCTTTTAGTATTATAGATTTTAATATTAATGATTCGTTTTGACAATCTTGTTGGTTTTTTTTATTTTCATTTCACTAAGATAATCCTAGTGATTAGTTTATGTTCAATGCTAGACAGAAGATTAAAAAATAGTTGTATATATCATCATTGTACATATCCACATTAAAATATTGTGATCTTTTTGTCTGATATCAACTGCGCTTGTTTATTGGTGGTTTTCATGTTTCAGATGAAACTAACTCACGTGCCTGGATTCTTTTATTTTCCTGGTGATCGCAAAAGGAAGAAGATCGACACTTATGACTCGAGAAGATCTGGCTATAACGCCGTTTCTTTATCACGTTGGTTGGCTGAAATTGAGGGTATAAAGGTAGGTATTATTATGTCAAATCAACACTAACCATTATCTCTCCGATCAAGCTGAAGAGTTTGTTGTTGGGAACATTTCTTGTTTCCTATTTTTAAATATAGTACTTGGCAAAAAGGTGCAAGCGAACCTTCTCAGAAAATTTGAATATACTGAATCAAATAAAAATTTTGTTGTTTAAAATAATGCAACTGATATATAAAAGTGTGGACATTGCTTGCATATTATTTTCTATCAATTTTGGTCTTATAATCACTTTACTATGTACACAATTTTGTAATTGTTAATACTTTGTTATGGAATGATATGGATGATATGATATCTGTATCATTTTTCTTATTCACAAATTCATTTTAATATAAGTGTAAAAATACCTTGTCATGAATTTTCTTTTCAAGTTGGAAAAAATGTTTTCATAACTATATTAACTGTTGATTATTTCATGATACAATATTGCTTACAGATTAAAATCATCGTACCTTTCGACTACTCGAAGCTTGCATGGCCGATTGGTATTGCTTTCGTAGTTATGCTGCTGATAATATGGAAGCCCCACATAGCAATGCTTATATTGGGAAATAAATTTCTTTGGGGAATTGGAGTTTTGGTAAGATGTCAAAAGACAAAATATAAGTTGCAAAATTGGTAATGTCAACTTTATGCAAGTGATTATGAAATGGAATTTGTTTTTATAAACGTTAAAAAATTTACCTATAGGCTACCCATTATGGGTTTTCTACTCGTTTCTCCTACTGTCATAATACTTGGCTAGTTATTAATAACGCATTTGATATATGTAATATATTCATGAGAAATCATTCTCAGAAAATAACTGTTGGATGTGGGTTAATAAGCTTAGTTTTAATTTCTAATTTAGCTCAAAAGCTGTTGCAAAAAAAAAAAAATTTAAAATAACAGCAATGATGCGAATTTGCAATAAGATGAAGTTATGAAATGTTGGTAACCATGGTTCTGTAAATATCTATTAATTATGTTGTCGATTACAGTTTGTCGTCTTATTAATGACATCTGGACAAATGTGGAATCATATTAGAAAACCTGCTCAACTCAATAAGAACAGGCAAGGTGGACTAGAATATATTCATGGGAGTCGTGGCGGACAATACATTTTTGAATCCTACATTGTAATGGCATTGAATGCTGCAATTACACTGGGCTTTATTTTGCTCAACGAGGTACAAGCAATCAAACATAGGATTATTAAAAAAGGTAAGAGGTGCTAAATCACTTTGGTGTGTCATTCCATTGGCTTGTCTTAATGATATTTTGTATGTATCTATACTTTTCTTTTTGTCTAAACAGTATATATTAATTCTCCAATGTATAAAGTATAAAAGTTTCACTGCCACAGACTGGGGATAACGATTTTCCCAAAATCTTTGTGTGTGTGCTGTAATCAACCATCTAGACCAGGGATGCGCAACCTTTAATACAGGAGGGACACATTCAAATAAATGGGAGAAACCACGTGTTGATCTTATGACATGCGTTGTTCGCTTCGCACAAGCTAGCTGTTAGGTCATTTTAAATGGCATAAAAATTGGACTCGGGGTATGAGCTTTGCAGCGCAGAGGGATCGGGAGTACTTGCACATACCAGATTGAACTAAATGAAAGAAGTTGTTATGCGAGCCGCACACGATTTAAAATTGGCATATCTCCGCAGGCCACACAATTTTTTTTTGGGCAGCATTTGGCCCGCGGGCCGCAGGTTGCACACCTCTGATCTAGACAAAACAAATTTCAATTCTAAACCAAAATCAGCATTTTTTCATTCTGGAGATTTATTCATAAAAATTTGTTCTGTTTGAATTTATTGATATATCCGACATTGGGCGACAAAATGACTGGAGGCCGCAGTTTACAACACTGTCTTTACAACACTTTTGAGTCTGGGGATTTTTAAAGTTTTGTACTTCTTATTTTTCAGCCGTGGGATTCCTTGGCTTTGGCGTCATTGTGATATTCTTCGGTCTTCTCCTTTCTATATTCCGAATGAAGAATCGAAGTTATCCATTCAGCTTCATTTTCAATTGAATATTCTAGGCAAATTTGGATATTATACCTATTTAAAATTTAAACCAGAGTCAACAATCGTTTATATTCTTTTATGAGGTACTGGAGCCAGGTAAACATTAAATACAATATTAAATAATTGAAATACAATATTTAAAAGTCATCCAAAAATGTTAGTTTTATAGATAGATCATGTATCCTAATTTTTTCGGATTTCATATTGTATTATCGCCTATTCAAATTCATATTGAAAGCCTAATATCTGTAATAATGTTTGGAATGTGCATGTTTCCAACATCTTTGCCATACTGAAAATATTTGCCATATTTTATTGTTGGAACATAGTTGTTCATTAGGAAATGAAACGAGCCTACTTGTTTTTCTATGAGAGATTATTATTCTTTTATTGTCTGCTGTTATAACATTATTTGTCATCTGCATGTTTCCAGTATCATTTTCTGCATTCCCGATGTGTGTCTGGTGCTATTATTGAGATTAGCTCTTTTTGGTGTTTCTTTAGCTCTTCTTGCATTATGTTCTTAGTTAATTTGTAATCTAGATAATATTTTAAATGTAAGTATTTGATAAACCAAACCATGTTGAAATGTCTTAAGAATCTGCCAATTATTAATTGTGGGATTGAAAATTATATATATATAATTTTTTATACCTAGTCTGCAATACTTATTTTGACTACACTATAGATGTCTGATATGGTGTTGATTTGAACCATCTAACTTGCATACACAATGACACTGCTTCACAATATCTTAGATTTTACTTAAGTTTGTTATTACCTGTAACTATTTTTGTGCTGCTACTATCGGTAAAAAATAGAATATTTTCTGGCTGTTAGATAAGTATTTTAACATCACGAAGAGATTGTTGACTGGCAGCCTGTCGCTAATCGTATAAAAGACATGCTGAATGAAAATTGCCAAAAGAAAGATCATGTCTTGAAGTACATTGTTTTTATCATTCTGATATAGACTGATAATTCCGAATTCAAAATTTTTGGTGTTCCAACATAGTTGCAATATATAGGAAAAGTCAACTTGTTTTATTAATTTTACCTTTATACGCTGCAATTTTTGCTTTATGCAAACGCAAATTTAATGACGTTTGAATATGGTTATTCTGTGAAAATGTTCAATAAATAAATGAAAAAATAGAACGATTCGTGTGAAACAATGTAAATCTGGTACTATAGGATAGGATTTACATGTTTATCCCGGGGGAGAGGAGTTGGCATCGGCACCTACGGGCGTTTGTTTCAGAATTTTTTTTTAATTATGTTTCACCCGGATCACGACGAACCTCTGCACAAGTCTGCAAAGTAAACGGGGCATTATTGCTATTTGCCACCGAGTTGTGGAAATTTCAAGATCACAATTATTAATGAAGATGAACTTATTGCAAATCTGCCTGCGATGGATTCGGATCTAACTCCAGGCACTAGTACAGGGGTTGACATCCCCCGCACGCGAGGTTATTTTATGCGGCACCGGCGTCGTGAACATTTATCCAAAAAAACTTTTAAAATGTTAAAATAATAAAAAAAAAATACCTTACATTTGGTGAAATACACATGATTATATATGCTGCGTTTTATTCTATTGCTCCGTGATATCATTTTTTTTTCATTATTTCACGTCATTATTGTTCGCTCGCCAGCCGATATTTGCGTTTTATTCGCAACCGGGATGTTAGGCTTAGTCTGCGCAGCCAAGAAATCTAAAACAGATGTGAGACAATTTCAAGAGTCGTGGTCCTAGACCATAGGTTCTCAAAGTGCTCCGTACGGAGCCCCAGGGCTCCACGAAAGAAGCCTAGGGGCTCCGTGAGCTATTTGATTACTTTTCAAAAGACTGACTTGGTTAATTTTGTAACTGTCTGATGCAAGCATTCGAAATGTCTTGTCATAATAATTTAATTGTGCGCATCGTTACTCACGTTTGATTCAAGATTACTTTGGGATTACTTGAATAAAAGATTAGTATTCTAAAATAACATAAAATAACTGCCATCTATAAATAAATTGGAATCGTATTTTTGCGATCTTGGGATTTGTTAAACTTGATTTGTTCTTTCGCACTAAAGATTATTTTTAAGCAAGATATCGCCGTTACAAAAATCCCGAGGTCGACTTTAAAACTCAATGAGTACAATATACAATTGTGCGATCCATGACCGATGCGGGCATATTTAAAATGTTTTGTTTATTGGGTTAATTGTGTTCAATGTAACCTGCAGGTTGTGCCGACTCACAATAAAATCATTACTTCTCAAATTACCACGGCAATCCGCGGACATGAAATGAGAAACAAAGTTAAGTGAACGAAGTTCTTGTAGACTACCGTATATCCTGAACAACGCTGTTATTATAAGATATTAGAAACAAAGTCATATTGCCCACAAAAGAACATGTTTATATAAATACTACCGGTGTCAGAAGTTTGATAAGATATTTCTGTACATCCCGATCAAATCATCATCGTAATCATGACTGATTGCGTGGCAGTGTGATAGATTATAGCGTTTAGCGAATTCGAGCCCTTCTTGCAACACTGACTCCAACCTATCGCAGGTCTGCCAATCCGATTCTTTGCAAGATATCACCGTACGAACGATTGAAATTTATGTTATTGCATGCGGCTCCGTTGGTAGTTTCAGAATGGAGAAAAGGTACATCGCGCGCACAATTGACTGTGTTTCGATTTCGGTTACTACGATGAATACCCAAAGAAAACCTGCCATAACACCAAGTATTTAATTTACAATGTCCAAAAGAGCGTTTTAAATCTGTCGTGAGTCTGCTGAAACAAAACTTATAGTGTTATCTTCCGTTTTAATTTTAATATTTCATAATGCCGCTTTTCAATCAAGAAATTTGAGTTGCGGATTCACCGCCGATTCTTTATTAATTATTTTTAGCATCTCGTCGCCGATGACTATAATATAATATATTAACATGTTTTTCACATCGAATTCATAATTCCCCACGAGAACAAAACAGCAATTATCGTCGTCATTGTGGAAAAATACATGTATATGCCTGAGGAAATTTTTGATTTAGGGAGAATAAACACCGGCGTAAAGATGTTTGAGGTTTAAAAACACGCCATGCTGACGAAAACAATGGGCGATTGTAACAAAATGCAATCGCGCAGCGACTTTTTAGGTCTTCTAAAAATATCAAAAGGAAAAAGATTTTACCCCTAATTTATTAATATGTTTGTCAAGGGTCAAATTTACAGCCTCAATATATATAATTTATCTTTAATTTTTAGATTTATTTATGACTTGCATTAACACATTAAAAAAGGTTCAGCATTTAAATTAAGTAAAGTACTTTTAACTTACTCAGGAATATTAATCGGAAAGTAACATTTTAAAATTTATTTTGGGGCTCCGTGAATAATAGTCAACCTCTTCACGGGCTCCGCAACACCAAAAGTTTGAGAACCCCTGTCCTAGACAACAGATCTGGGGGTTATCTGTCGTAATGAAAGAGCTTAATGTACACTCTGATGTCAACACGTCTGCTGTATCTCAAGTATTGAACTTCATTTTGAAACCAAACACAAAAAAATATTCAAAGATGAATTTTAAAACAGCAGTTTCTCGTTACAAAAACGAAGTAGCAAAGTTGCATAATATATCGCCAATTGCGGGAAGCCACATTTGGTGATCTTAGATAAGTAGCAAAAGCTTTGCTTTCTGTATTCGAGCCGAGCCAAATATAAAAGTTCTGAGTGAGGAAAAGCAACGACAGAGATCCCACTAAATTTGAATATTATAGTGAATACTTTTGTATATATAATGAAAATAGGCTTACCATACGTCCCGCTTCAGGCGGGACAGTCCCGCTTTTTAGCTTCTTGTCCCGCCGTCCCGACAAGTCAGCCAAAAGTCCCGCTTTTGCGCTCAGCCATCTAGCATAATACACGAACCTATTGTTGCTGGTGTAGCGCAACGCTAGCGTACTTACTGAAGGTGAATGCGTTATTTTGTTTGTTTTGTTGTTTCCCGCTAACATTGTTAGCGAACGTATCACATGTAAAATCAATTCTAATTGGTCCTGTTCGGACGTTCATTTGAATGTAACATTGAACAACGTTTTTTAAAAGATGTTATCTACAGAGAAGCATGCTTGGGCGAATAAGTAAATAAATTCTCAATGCTTGAAAACGACAGACTATTTCATTATTCTTTGTTCCTTTTGCTGTACATAAAAAAAATCTGAATTCGGATCATTTGTATCGTTAGCGTCTATTCTTTTCTATTTTTCGAACTGAACCCGATATTTAGACAGAGAATATGCGCATGAACTCTCGATGACAATATGGTCAATGAGACAGCCGGGATTGCTTAAATGTAGGCCTATGTAGTAAAATCGGAAACTGTAAAGTTACAGGAGGCGTCCCGCTTTGAAGGCAAAAAAATATGGTAACCCTATAATGAAAGTAACTATAATATTTGTCGCGAAATTTATTTAAGTACATTCAAGCAAATAACTTTAGGTAGTGTAAACTATACAAGCAAATTTACGTCAATCTGTATTGTCCTCAGGTATGATTACATAACGCAATTTTTCATGGGCACGCCAACGTATATTTTGACATTGAACTTTACAAGTTGGCAGTTGGCACAATTGAAAGTCAACTTTGCCGACCCGTGCACTATTACGACGTAAAAATACTCTTTCCAGCGGCCTATAGCAGGGGCTAGGTTGCTAGGCTATTTGTTGTTAAGCAAATACTCTTTCCAGCGGCCTATAGCAGGGGCTAGGTTGCTAGGCTATTTGTTGTTAAGCGTTTTCTGATTCCGTGATCGTATTCCAGCGGCCTGTAATCTATAGTTACTAGCAGTGGTGGAATTCAGCCGGTTCGCACCGGTTCTATAGAATCGTCTCACGGAATTTTATATGAGATCAGCGAACCTGTTAGCAATATTGGTTACTGTCAATGACTTTTTGTAACAGAGTCGGGTAAAAGATATGACCTTTGTGATGGAAGCGGCTGACAAAAAAGTGAATCTCACCACTGCTTACAAGTAATGGCTATAAAACGTCTCGCCCCCGACCAAGATTATCCTCACATTTTAAAAAAGCGGTGTTGATTTTGAATAAATAATAAAGGAATTCACGCTGAAACTCTGAATATTCGGAAAGGATGCCCGTGGATGCAAAAGTATGGGGCTTCGTATGTTTTGGATGTATAGCTCAAGCATGTGACATAGATATAGGCTATATATTAGCCCTGGCGTTCGAGATCTTATCTTGTCATATGTACTATAAGTTAACTAGAATTGTCATGTTCTCAATGTGTTGCATGTTATCTGTTTGTTGGTTGTTGCGCCTCTATTATGCAACTGGAGAACTGTTTAATATTTCCATAGACAGAATGCCGCGATTCGCTATGTTTAACTTTTAAATCCGTTGTCCTATGTATTCTCATGATCACGCATTGATGTCTCCCTCGAATTACGGTCTATCGAAAGTTAATTTACATAATCTGTGTGTAGGTAGTAGATAATTATATGAATCTGCTTTCAAAGTTACAAAAAAGTTTGGAATAAACTTCTCTGCAGCTGTTAGGTTTTCAGCGTTAAGGTCATTTTTATAATTTACCCCTTCCTGTTTGCGTTCTGTGCTTTGAATAACCTGACATACATTACGTAAATATTTGAGATGATGGTATTTTTAAAATATAGATATGCATATCGTCACACTAATAAAAAAATTGCCTAAGTCACTTTTTGTCGATTTTGAGATTTTGGTATCGCTGGATTCGTTGGGGAAAGATCTATCTTTCTATGTTATTTAAACATTCATATCTGGTATAAATCAGCCGCTAGGGGGCAAAAACGAATCTGCCTATCTCAGGAAGTGGACTTGGGCAGATTTTGGTCTTGCCTAAACTGACTATAATTGAGATAGGCACATTTAAACACGCCTGTCCGCATCCAGTTTTTGTACGTTCTGTTGTCGTTACGACACTCTTCGACTAGCAACGCTTTCTGGTTCAAGTAGGGTGTACTAAAATATATATTTATTTCAACATCTGGACGCTACCGGCAAGTAATTGTAGTGGTCGAATATTAACAGTATGGAGTCCAGGAAGCTGAGAAACTATGCTCTACTTGGAAATGCTTCTGCAAATGATAGTGTCACACGTGGTAAGTTATTGAACGCCAAAAATGCGGATTTATACGGCGATAGTAGCGAGCGATCTTAATATATATTCGTATTTAATTTTCACAGATGAGGTGAATGAAGTTGGAAGTTTTATAGAGCTTCAGCTCGATGGTTTCGAGGGGATTCCGATGCATATTTATATAGTGAAAGTGGCTATTTACCGTTCCACAAAATACTGGATATTGATGTAAGTCTCGATAATCTGGACACGACGAGTATTTCGAACAATACCAATGAAGGCTCTACAAGATCAGATGGCACTATTGAAACCTATGACGAGCCCTCACCTAACCGAGAAAAGAGACCAGTGCACGATAAATGGAAACAAAATAAAGGAAAAATCAGGCGCCTCCTTGGAAAAACATATAGAAACTGGAAAGAAAAGAAAGTGCCCAATCGTCAACCAGGGCCACCATGTAGATCTGCATTCTGTAGCAAAGTCAAAATTCGCCAGTGTAACGTTGTAGATGAAGATCAAAGACTTGCTAGGTTCATTAAATTTTGGTCTATGACGACTTGGAATGAACGCAAAATATTCATAAATACTCTGGTTGGGACACATGAGGTTAAACAACAAAGATCATCCGGTGTATCTAGGAGAAAATCTTCATATGTTTACAAACTAAAGCTTTCGAATGGTTCTGAGCTGCCAGTCTGCAAAGAAATGTTTGCTTCCACGTTTGGGATGCCTTGCAGAACTTTGGTATCTTGGATTAAAGATAAAACCTCTTCTAACCAAACAGCTGTTGTTCAAGCAGGTCCGAAAAGTGGAAAGTGTGCAAAAGTAAGTGAAAGGGATAGAGAGTTTATAAAAGAGTGGCTCAGCACACTACCAACTGTAGACTCCCATTATTGCAGAAAATTGCCAAGTTACAGAAACATAAAATTTTTGTATCCAGGCACCACAATATCTGCCCTCCACAGACATTACCAAAATGTTGCAGAGGGAGAAAACAGGAGGGTCGTTAGTGAAGCTTATTTCAACGAGATTTTCCACAGATATAAATACTCAGTTTTCATTCCCCGAAAGGATCAGTGTGATAAGTGTGTAGGGTACAAACATGGTAACATGAGTACAGTTGAGTATAGCTTGCATATCAAACTGAAGGATGATGCTAGAAAAGAAATAATAACCGACAAAGATTCTGCAAGTGCAAATAAATCCGTTTGGACGATGGATCTACAGGCCGTGCTTTTACGTCCTAGAACGAGAGCTAGTACCTCATATTACAGAACTAAGCTACAGGTACACAATTTCACTTTATATGATACGAAATCAAAAGCAGGTTACTGCTACGTCTGGAATGAAACTGAGGGCAATCTTCATAGTGAAGTATTTGCTTACTTGCAGTTTGAGCATTTTAAGCGAATCATTTGTAATAATCCCGAGCTGAAGCATATCATAGTTTGGAGCGATGGATGTGGTTACCAAAATAGGAATAGCACGGTAGCCAATGCATATTCTAGTCTGGCAAGAACTTACAACATAGATATAGAGCAAAAATTTTTGGTGGCTGGACATACACAAATGGAATGTGACTCGATGCACAGCGTCATTGAACGAAAGATCGTAGACGACATTTTTTCTGAAAGAGATGTGATCGTACTTATGGAATCCGCAAGAATCCATCCATCACCCTATCATGTTCGCCAAATGAGGCACACTGATTTCAAAAGAATGAATCAATTGTTCCTTCAAAGCATTAGACCCGGAAAAAGAGTAGGAGATCCCAGAGTGCATGATTTGCGTGCCCTGAAGTACGAAAGTGATGGTAGTATTCGTTACAAGCTTTCGTTTGAGAAAGCAATTTGGAAAGCGCTACCACACCGTGTACAGAATGTTCAAAGTCAATAGGTGCCAAAGTTCAGATCTCGTATTTTTGTGCAAGGAAATTTAATGATCTTCAAGAAATGAAATCAATTATGCCAATTGACTGTCATCCTTTTTATGACAACCTTCCTCACGAGTAGATTATACAAACTTAAATGAAGTATACTACTATAAATTCATGATTACAGTTGTTTTTTTATGTTGATGTTTTAAGTTCAAAAGAGTTATTTATGTTTTGATTCTATTATATTGTTTGTTGCTTGAGTTGTGAAACTTTACATTCCTTGTATCAATTGAATACAATACATCTGGCCTGTGGGCTGACATCTATTCTAATGTTCATCAAAGCCAAATTATGATTAAGGAGGAATATCGAATTTTGACTTGGCTTTCGTGTCATATTAATTTAATGGAAGTCACTCTCTCATTATTTGCCGAATGGACGTTTACAAAGTATATAGGTCAAGCGAATGTACAGAGAAAATATAGGGCGAAGATGTGAATAATATTGCCTAACTCAGGGTGCGGGAATAAAAAAATGCCTAAGTCAATTTTAGCGCATATAAAATAGAATTTGGAAGTTATAGATATCCTAAAATAATTAAAAATTTGATAAGATAAATCTAGATAAAAAAAATTTTGAAATAGATTGAAAAATGGGAAAGTTATGAAGTTTTTTTTGATTTACTCAAAATGTTAAAATTTGACTTAGGCAATTTTTTTATTAGTCTGACGATATATATATATATATTATGCGTGCACCCTAATATGGGTCGGTTTAGTGCAAAAAACAGTCAGGGCTTCGTCTTAACTCTCAAGCGTCACAAAAAGATTGCCTCCGCAATGTTGCTTACTCTAATGCGTTCTCGCAGGTTCGAATCTCGTTGGATGATTATGGAAGACACGGCAGTTCATTGCGCCAACGCGAGGTATTCTAAATATCCACTGGTCAGTTATGTTACAATCGGTTTTCCCTATTTCGTGATAAATGTATAAAATCCTATCAAAATTCTTTACAACTCGCGTGTTATGAATGTGGAAAATACCAGTTTATTTCCAAGTTTTAAGTTTTCTGTCTCAAATGCAATTGATCTCCACTGGATGTTTCGTTGGCGTATCAGTTGGCGACGTATAACTTCCATTTAAAACTTTACCAGATGTCAGCTGAGAAGAACGGTATTTCAAATTCGAATAATTTGACATTAGTGGCAAAACGTTTTATCGAAATGTTATATTCCCAAATCCCAACCATATACTGATCGACAAGCTCGTGAAATACTTTAAAGCATGCTACCGAACACTGTCTGAAATATTAGTGAGAAGATGAAAGCGTCGTGAAATTGGAGTCAGGGGCCCTACAATGTGAAATTTCAAGACGGCAGACCTGAAAAACTCAATTGTTCATTAAACTACCCCCTTGTGTTTAAAAAAAATAAGGTTGGTAACGCGCGTGAATTGACACGTGTAAATATTGTTTTTGTAAGTATGGGTTTTAAATGTAATTTCTGGTAAGAGTATATATTTCAGGAATGTGTATTTTAGAATAGATTGTACTGGCGTGGGACTGATCACAGCTAAACGCACGGCCCAGCCGTGCAAAAATTTCAATCTTTAATTAATACTAGCGATCAGTGTTACTGCTAGTGTTGAATGACAATTTAGCTATAAAAATAAAATATTGGCCCAAGAGTATATAGTATCCCATTAGAAATATCAGATATGGCACATTCATGGATTCAATAGTGCAAAACAGGTGGATATACGGTTTGTTTAACGTTTTTCTTAGATCATTTATAAAACAATTTATAGCCTACAATTGTAGCTTGTAATTGCAGAAATAAATGGGAGATTGTGAGAGCGATTGATCACGTGCCTGTCTAGACATTTTCACTATTTGTTTGTCCCTACCAATTTGAATCTTATTGTATGTCATGACCTAGTTAAAGTGTGTAGCAGAATTGGGTTAGCATTTCATAAACCATGAGTAATCTAATTTTCCCATCATTAATTAATTAATAAATTAAAAATAGTAAGGTATGACCTGAATCCAAGTAGACTAGGTACTGACAATTGGACATGGGTGTGACTTCTCACTACCTATCAAGAACTTCGGAATAAAGAAGCCTTTGAACATCTCGTAGCCTCCCTTAAATTATCAATTAGTATATAATTTCAAAAATATTAAACAAACGACGTTGAATACTAGCCAGAGTGAGCGCCATATCTCTGGTTAACGTAAATTTTATTAAAAAAATCTCTGGCGTTCGCCACAATGGCGTTCAAACTTTGAACGTTTAAACTTTCAGTTTTGCATTTCATGTCACTTTGATTTTTTCCCGTTTATTTTCTTGAATCCTGACCACTGTAGTTTTACTTTTATGAATACATCTCCATCCAGATCTGTCGTAAAATACTCTGCAAAGTTCATCAGGAAGGCATGGTTGCATATCACAGAAACGACCAAATTGAAGAACATAGGCTGTTGGTGAAAAAAACTGCATTAGTGTTTCGCTCTTTTACTAGCAGAAGTTATTGCGGCATAAATCATCAACGGCATAAATTGGACTCAAGTATCGGATTTGCAACGCAAAGGGATTAGGATTACTCGCTCATACCAGATTAAACTAAAGTAAAAACTTATATTAAATAAAACGATGCAATAATTATGTATTCCACCTGATACGCATGCAGGTTTTCCTCTATTCGTTCCAGCAACTTTGCCGTTTTTGCATAAACATTTCACTGTCTGCTTCTCATTTGTTACTAACAATTTATTATCAACAGATTCTATCGCTGATTTGTTCACATGCTCGATTACTTCGCAACTTTCGATCAGAACTGAAAAACATAAAATAATTTGATATATATATATAGGGTAACCCCCGAACCCATAAATTGCCCAATTACTTCTACAAAAAAGAAGAACACTCGAACTTCTGTTTGTGCATGACTGTATGCGGAAGATCAAGGAATCTAGGATGTTTTGCACAAAAGTTATGTTCTCTCCCGATTATGTGCCAAATCACCTCCCAGGTCGAGACTTTGGAATGGCTTGCATCCGTCGCACAAAATCGTCCATCATTCACACGCACTCCTCTGTGAGTATTTATTTTTATTTTCGCGGCAATTGCTACAGTTTTGAGTTCACCAATTATTTAAGGAATGTTCTGATACACATTGTTCTTAGCAAATTCCCACAGATAGAAAAAAGAAGGGGATTCAAGTCCAATGAATGAGGTGCCTTCCCTACGTCAAACTCCGTGCTGATAAGCCTTTCCTGAAATCGCTTTCTAGGTCAGTCAAGAGCGTGAGTTATATGAGGGGGGTCACCCGTCTTGCTGGAAAACTAATCATCCCAATCAATCCCTCTGCGTCGCCCAAATGATGATCAGCACTTTCTCACCACCGTCACATAATTTTCCATATTCACGGCTTGATTTACATATTCAAACCAATACGGACCATTTATGTTGGAAATATGTTTGGAAATAACTATCCATGCTGCGCAATTTACTAATCATAACGTTCTCTGTAAGATTTTCTTCGGAGGTTTTGTGGCCATCAATATTTTTGCAATAATTTTGTGCAGCGGATACAAGCTTGTCCCCGAGGCCGAGGATATCATTTGGATCATAATTTAAAGAAAACATGACTTTTTGTGCAAAGCGTCCTAGACTACTGAACTTTTCGAGGATAATCAAACGTAAACAGAGTTAAGCGTAAACAAAATCTAAAATTTTTGTAGGAGTAATTACCTCTTTTTGATATTGGGTCCAATTTCAAAAGGCACAGTGTTGATAACGTCGCAAACACCAGTACGATAAATAAAACGAATCGACGATTCGACGACAATGGTAGAAGAGCAAATGGTCTCATTATAAATATTCTATGATAAAATTTATATGTTTAACTGTAAAAATAATGCGATTATTAACATGAATAGCCATATATTTTGCAATTAGAATATTACAGTTATTACAATGTTTTAATTACTCGATTGTCTCAATTGACGTGTACGACGCTCCAACCTTGTCCCAAGCTAATTCGTTTTCTTTATTTAACTTGAATTGTGTCAAATCACCTGCTATCTTCCAACATATATATATATATAAAGGATAAACCTGTTTGAAACTCGCAACACAAACGTTGGCTATGATTAAATGTGGTCATTGAGTACGTAGCAGATAATGTAGTTACGTGAACACAACACAATCAATTTTGGAAGTCTATATTTTAACATTCTACACTCAAATTCTTCATTCTGACGCCATTTTTGTCCTATGAGTTATTATATACTTTTGTAAAAGTGGAAATACGAAAAACAATAAATTTTCAATTTTGAAACTTGCAAACGGGTAAATGATATAATTAAAGTTCAAACCCTTTTTGGTGCATGAGCGAGCTCCTGTCACTTCTGTCAGTATTCGAGACAGCGCCAGAGAGCTTGAACTGAACTTAACTGCAAATGCATGGTTTGCATGCTTTATTTTGACAAACAATAACACAATTAAAAAATAGAAAGACAATTTCTGAACGTATTTTCAATGAAACCAACATTAAATGAGCTTGTAGTCATTGTCGCCGACTCAGGTAACTGGGTCTACTAATACAAAACAAATTATCAGATTAATTATTAAATTGTTTATTTCGATTTTGAGAGAGAAGTGATATACATGTCGACGGACCTAGAAGTGTTAGCAAGTGGCAATGAAAAGCCAGCTACTGGTGCGAACATTTTTAGTTTATTTATACCGCAAAAGCAGTTTATATTCCCAAGTTTATATTTTCAATGATTTATTCTATTGGGACAGGCACACGTTACAGATACGAGTACATCATTTATTTTAATTATTCACGTCAAAGTAATGTAAAGTGTCCGTTTACGTCAAAACACTCTATTTTGCGACCAGAAACACGAAGGGTACATTACACGGGTGACAATGTGTGAATTTAGGTCTGTAATTGGTGAAGTCCTGGGATCATTTTGAATCGTTTTACGTCGATTTCTGCCTCAAAAGTTTTGAATAATTTATGTTAGCATGCATGTGATTGCGCGCCATACCGATCGTTTACAGGAGTTTTCGGATGTCGAATATATATTGTTTTCCTTTCTAAGGCGAAGTAATGGAAGTAGAACACAAAACACATTTGAGTCTGTATTATTTACTCAATTCTTTCGTTTGAATACCTTAAATATTCAATCAATCAAAAAAGGGGCAGGCTTTTGGCAGGTGATCTGACAATTATTGTATTCTTTTTCAGCGCATTGGAAACAGTTATATTTTGTAAGAGATGACATTATTTCCGAAAACTAATAACGGTGAAAAATTCCTGCGTGCCTGCCTTTATGATCATTATTTTTACCATAGTATGAAACACCGAAATAAGATGAACAGGCATACGTCAGTATACACAATCTCAATTATAGCTAACACAGAAATCGGCGGAAGGAGGTTGGCACATTCGGAACCCATTTGAAAGCGGTTGGTGAGGACATGAGCACATTATAATATACAAAATTATTTGGTTTAATTAAATATAGGCTTTTTGCTTATTTCATTTTTCATATTGTGAACATGATGATGAGAACTAAATATGAAAAAGTTGAAATGGGCTTGATCACCCGATTTGGAATGATGGATGTTGTAAAATTGAATAAACCGAGGTAAAAAATTTGGTTATTGTCAAAGAGAAAAGCTGATTATCATTTAGTTCGTTTCTTTGATAAAATCGACTGCCGCACTCTCTAGATAATGCAGCTAAGTTGCAAAATCGATTAGGTAATCTGGCGTCAGGTGGATGCATATTACACGATTAAAATTGGATTACCGTTGTTTGTATTGCAGACAAGGGCATCGCATCTTCAGCTTTCGGAATGAACCGATGATAAAGTTACCTCGACAAGAAATTTTTTGCTATACATATATTTAACGGAACATTTGTCGAGGTCGAAACACGAACCGGAGTCAGCATAATTGGAGTCACGTGGCGCTTGGAAATAAGACGAAATAAATTGGCCGGGATATCAATTCATATAAGTAATACTCTATTTAGCAAAAAAAAAAAATAACTACTCAATTTGATTAACCAACGACATCATAGGATTCTAAATACAATTTCCTAAATTAATTCTTGGACATTCTGCGTATAGGCCACTTGGTTGTAGCATCTTCAAAAAAATTGTCGCTGGATAAAAATCAGTTTAACGCGCTAATACCGCTTGTTTTAGGCTTTAGGCAAAATAGGCCGATTTTGACGTGAATTAATTTCGAATACTATATCCATCTTTTTTATACTTTTTTTTCATAAATTTTTCGCAACTAATTTAAAATATTTTTTTGTGATAATCCGTTTTGCAAAAATTATCAGAAGGCTATATATATCATATTCCCTTCACTCTTTATAGCAATGAAATTTTGAAAACGCTGTTGATTGAAGTAAACGTGAATTTAAACATTTTCCATTAGATGATCAACTTTCAAAAGAAGCCATTGTGAGCGAGATACGCTAAATATTGCTAAGATTCGATTTGACTATGTTGAGGAAGTCACTACCAAGTTAATTTCTATTTACTTTCGCCTATTCAGTCTTCTGAATTCCTTAAAAATTCACTTTTTCAACTACTTCTAGAATCTCTAAATTCGCGTATTGCATACTGTATTACAGTGATGCTGAACTAACTTCCCGTGAAATGCAAGAGTTACGAGTCGATCATCGGAGATTGTTTTTGGCTATAATGGTTTTCCACAGTGGAATTACCCACAGAAAATTACGTTGTTTTTTGGCGCTGTCATGTCTTTCGTAAGCCTTCCATCCAATTTCTACAAATACCTATAAGCCAGTTAGACGGATTTATGTCATCCAACGACGCAAATATGCACTTAGTATATTTGAAAATAAGCTGACCTATCATACTCGACTTTCACAGATTAAGTGTGGAATATTGACTTCTGGTGACACCTATTTCTGCTCAGTATGGGCCTCCTTTGACTGGCACACGAATCGAACAAGTAGAACACCACAATCGGTGGAAGCAGATACTTCTTCCATATCGATGCTCGTCTAGGAAAACAGACTACAAGACGAATATTTCGGACTGTGTAATGGCGGTATGAACGTCTTCATCAAAGCGGTCGATAGTAAGTACTTTTTCGCCAATCAATTTTACGGCAATCATTTAAAACATCACTCATTGTCGGTATATTTACTCAAAAGATACACACATTCGTCAAAGTAATTTTCTATGCTTCTTCTCTCCGAATTATGGCTAATCCAGGCGTTATGGCTTAATTCAAAAGTAATTTGATCGGGAACGAAGGGCGATCATGAAACATGCGGTACCTCAATTGTATCGATTTTAAATCGCGAAATCTTATTAAAACGTGTGCCAATGTCTTACCTCTTGTTCGTTTAGTTGTACTTCATTTTAGTGAAAGCCGCGGAGTGCGGGCGAATGTTTTTAATTTACACAACGGATAAATGAAGTCGAATTGCAAAATTATTTTTATAAACGCAAACGTTTCGAATTGACGTCAATAGCGCGATTACTGTATTTCGCCACAATAACATTTTATAAGCGTTTGGGGAAGTGAACAAGAAATAATTGTTTTTTCTTTTCTAACAAACCAACATTTTGTGCATTGCCGAATAAGGGTATTAAATTTCTCGATAATCGGTAGTTTTAAGATTTTATTTGGGAGAATATTTAAATTGACAGTGTCATACTATAATTCTCTGCAACTTTCCGAGATTCCATCAACAAACAACATTTTTTTTTTAAATTAAAGTAATAGATGATAGTTGTGACAGACATAAGCACAAGAATTTATTACATTTTTTCTCACTAAAAAACAATATTATGATCACATTAATACATCGAATCGCGTTTTCAAATACATAATTTGATTGGTAAAAATGTGAAAGTGACGAAAGGCGCTTCCTTATGTCTTTTTTAGATAGATAACTCCAGTTCGAGTTCAACCACAATATCTCCTATAATTTCCCGCTGTCTTCCCAACCACGACTTTGAATAACCTCCTTTTCGTTATTTATCTCGTCGCAAAAATAAAAATAGGTCAATCCGTAAATCAGTATTAAATTATAGAATTGATTTAACTTCCACTCGAAATTTTCAGCGTCTAAACTCATTTTAAAATATAAAATCCCCATTGCTTTAAAAGCTGTCCGATGGCAACAAAATAATCTGAATTTTGATCAGCAGAAGTCGCCGCCCCATTATCATTTACCTTTTAATTAAATGTAATCCGCAATCACATCTTCGCCACCATTAGTGTAATTTGAGGTTGGTGAAATGGACGATTAATTTTCAATCTAATCAAGAGCAGTCTCTTCATCCGATATGCTGGCTTAGTCTAGCAATTTATTATTTTGAAAATGTCTTTTAGAGCGTTAGGATATAAGCAAAAAAGGTAAGCTCCAAATAGCAAATCATTGATGCATCATGCATAGTCAAGCATGGGCTTAGCGTGAAAGCGATCCGCAGACCACTTCGTGAACGCGACAATACTGGCACGGTGAGGTGATCTCTTGACAGGTGTCTCCTATGCGCACGGAATTCGAAATAAAATTGCGCTAGTCATGTCAAACTCGATTTACTAGCTGTGTTTGTGATGCAAGTTGCACCATTACGGCCGGACGAATTTTCATATATATATTGATAGTTAAACTCCTTATTTTGGTTGGCCATACATAGCAATAATGTCGGTCAATTATACCAAAATACAATGTGGCGTATAACGTCCCACTCAGTTCCTGATTTAATAACATCAAACTTGATTTTCTGTGTACTTTACCTCACGACAAACGAAACGAACATTAAATGACGTATATGACCCCAAATTTGGTTGTTGGAGGTTGAGGTCGACCTGGTGGATCGAATGTCAATCTAGATTAACCTCGAGTAACATTTTGGTCGCTGCTGGTAAACTTATAAATCATTAATATATAAAACACAAATAAAGTGCTAAAACAGTCGGTACCCAAGTCGACTGAAGCTCAAGAAACCAGATATGTAAAAGTCGAATTGGTATAATCACTCCTGGTGCATCGAGGTGAATTCACGAAAGAAATCTGGCGTCCACAAAAAAGTTTTCATGTCACTAATTCTGATATATGTGCCTAAAAAGTACGAGTGGATCACAATTTTCAATGACTCGCGGCGTTGAATCTACCACAAGTCGATACGTGGGTAAATCTAAATTTAGTAATGTGTATCTATTACAGCCGTCAGCTGTTTAATAAAGTAAACAAGCGTATAAATATTGAAAATATATCTTTCAAAGAACTATCGAGCAGAATCAAATTCTCATCACTGGCTAACATAATAGCACTCTAAAGCTCATGAAAACTCTTTACTGGGGACTATGAAGACTAAATATGAGCAAATTCTCCTTAAGGGAATGCTACGTCCAGGGGATGTGGAAACAGAGTCCAGTGTAGCCGATAGAACGAATCAGTCGCTCCAGAATACGTTACGCAGATATCAAAGCTTTTAACTTTACAATCTCAAGTATGGCAAGCTAGATAGATGATGAACAGTCGGTGGTGGCTTATAGAGACACTAAACAATAATATTTTGACAATAGAAAGTTTTCATTTATTTCGTTTGCGAATGGTAATGATCTATACCAGGAGTGTGCAACCTTTATTATAGGAGGGTCAGTACAACGAACTGGTTGAAACCGCGGGCCGCACCTTTATCTGACACAGTATTCCAGGGAAAAAAAATTGGGTTCTGATCTTATAACATGCGCTGTTAGCTTCGCAAAGTATGTGTCATAGTCACAGATAATAGATTTGACGTAGGTATAGGCTTTGCAACGCAAAGGGATTGGAGACACCATTCTTCTTTGGCACTTATCCACGGACCGCTCTTTGCACACCCCTGATCTATACTACATACATTACTCCGTTGCAAAGTCGCGAGTTACAAGACACTCTTACGAAGGCATTGCTTCATAGAAAGAAAATTACACCACACAAAGTTGCATTGTCATTGCGCTATATTTAATTCCGCATCAGTATATTTGCTTTATTAAATAAACTTAGTCAATAAATTGACTAAATTATGAAATCACTTTACAAAACGAAAACTACACTTAAAGTACAAAAACTAACAAAATTGCCGTTATTTTCGTCTGCGCATACATTATAGGAATGTTGTTTAATAACCTGGCACAACGACAGTATATCACAAAGCTAGAAAGTGAAATTATTATTGCATATAATAATATAATGAATTAAAATTGCCCTTATTTTATATGCCGTTATTACATAGTACAGAAAACTGGTGGGTTATTCAAAGAAAAATTTTCTGTTGTGAAAAAGGAATATATGACAATGGTATCCCCATTCTAGCTTTCTAAATTATCTACCCGTCCAAAATCCTAGAATCACCTAACCAAGCTTGGCCCATTGATGAATCGCGCCGTCAAGGCGCGATCCATCAATGGTCCAGGCTTGGTTAAACATACTTTTTAAATTTAGTCAAACTAAGATAAGAATTTTAAAGATAAAAATCATAATTACGATAAAATTAATTAGGTGCAGGAGATAAATTTTTAGATAGTTTTCAAGCAAAAAAAAAGGTAATTAAATATAGATAAAGTAAAACAAAATAAAGTGATAATATGCCCCTTTAATTAAGTATCTGAAAGATATACAGTCCTGTGAATGTTTTTAAAAAAAAACGTTCAGAAATATGAGAAATTAATTCACTTTTTAATTTTGCTTCTCAAAAATAAAAATTGTAAGGTAATGACGCGAATAAAGTTTTCTCCGTTATCACATTTTATGAAAACTTTTTGGAATGTATATTTATTTTTAGCATCGGAATAGCTAAATATTGTAAGATTGGCAAAGAAATATTGAATATTAATTCACGCTGATTTGGCAAATGTAGGCGAGTTCAGAAAAACATGTGACCTTACATTGTTATGAGGTATTACATTCCGAGACTATTGTTTTGCTTATAATTTTTTCTTATTATGAAAGTTTTTATAAATAAATGGAAAATTGATCAGGATAGGTGTGAGCAGTTCAGAATTTAAATTACATATTACAAGACTGAAATAGTAAAAGCTTATGTACTTGGCATCACAATTTGAATAATTTTTCAGAGATCAAGCTTGGAATGCATAGCATTCATTTATGGCCTGTTAAAACCATGGATAAGTTTCAACGTAGTAACAGTTTGATTCAAAAGACTGCAAAAGTTACTGTCTGATGTTCTCGAAATATTGTTAAATCGATCAACAATGCTGTGTCATAAAGATCAAGACCTTATAGGAACACCAATGCATGCGCAAAAATATTCAATAAAGAAGAAAAAAATATATAAGTACATAATTCTATATCAGGAACTTAGTATTTGTATAGTACATTTTTTTGCTTCTCAAAACTTGTAAGAAAAAATAAGTTAAAACAAGATAAGCTACGTGACTATATATACTGCAGTTTTGTTTTACTTACTAAATTGTTGGTTTATTTTTTCATGAAAAATTTACTAAAGGTTAGGAGCCGTAAAAAAGCAGAAAAACTTCTGATATATAGGAGAGAAGTTACTTCTAGATCTATTAGTCATTTGACGACTTATATTTAAACATTGTATATTTTGAATAAGGACCCTTGTGTTTTTAATATTACCGTATATCAAATCAGAGTTTCGACATTTCAGAAATTTGAAAAAAGACTTATCATGGTACATTTCCAGAGAATAGCCAAAAAAAAATCCGATAAATGTACAATATTAATCTAAAACTTGCTCAAAAGTAAGAAAACTCACTGGATAATACATTTTGAGAACGAGGCCTGAAATGTTCAAAAACATAAGCCATGTACTTTAAAAAAATTCAGATATCAGCTAACACAAGCCAGAATTATTAATTTAGTACGATGATCAAGATTTGCTCATCTAGATATCCAGTTCTGCTCATTTGTGGGATAAGATAGAACAATAGTAGTTCTGACCAACATACGACAATTTTACATCTGAAATTTCAAATCGCTTTTTTCAATAAAGCATTAAGAAAATGAAAATGCTTCATAAATCAAAATATAAAACGAAAGGCACTATCGAATGTTCATAATATCAAAAACATTAAGACAACTAACATGGTAACAAGCTGATAATCAAAAAATATAAAAAAAGGTCAGATGTAATAATCAAATCTTGGCTGACAGATATCTAAAAGTGTCTTTCTTCAAAAAGTCGATTCAAGGCACTAAGTCGTCTGTTTTTCAAATAGCCACCATAAAAAATTTAAAAAGGTATATAGTATTAACACAAAATGTATTCTAGCAAAAAAGCATAAAAAGGTCTACTTAAGATTTTACGATATTAGTGAGAAAAGGCCACTAAACAACATGAAATTTGCTTTAATTTCACAGAATATCAAGCTTCAAGAAAAAAAAATAGCACTGAAATAGTTTTTCATAATGTACTACATACAGTAAATTGAAGAATTTCCAAAAATTTAAATAAGAACGAAGCCCAAGTCGCTATGCCACAGTGTGGTACAGGTTACTTTCATCTTCTTGATGAGAAGATATATTTGTCGAACTTCCAGCGGCCATATTAGGAAGCTGGCTTATCAGCAACTGGGCATGGTAATCGTCTACAGTGTTATTAGAGCTAACATATATTTTAGACGGCATAGTCGTTTCTGTAGTTGGTCTTGAAGCATGCTTTCTTAGATTAATAGAAGTTATAGATGTCTGACTTCCACTTTCTATAGACACAGTGTCTACAACCGGTGGCATGCCTTCATGCGAAGTAATTTCTTCATCTTCGACATAATTGTAGGTAGATGTCAAATGTGCATCGCTTCTAAAGTGTGCATGTAATGTTGGTGTCGATGATATCGGTGGCGCTACAACATTTTCGGAAGAAAAATTTGCTGCCAATGTGGGGGGAGTTTCTCCTGTTTCAGGTTCCTTCGAAGCCTGGGAATTATCATCAACTTCAACATCGGAATCAGGTACGTGCCTAGCATGATCTTCTACATATGCTGGATTAGTCAACCCGTGGGTGACATTAGAAGCTGAAGAAATACCTGAAATTTCTTGAGGTGTTGTAGGCTGTATTTCACCATCTATAATTTTTCCGTTATTTTGATTAGCATTTTGCGGTGGAATCTCCTGATATAACGCGTCACCATTATTGGAAAAGGGATAACGAAGAGCATCAACTGCGTTTGAATGGTTCCCATCATACGTTCCGTTCTGATACGTGCTAGAGCTGCTATCTCCAGAGTTTCCATTCATAGATGTGGTTGCTGTAGAGTTTGGCGATGGGACAACTTTTTTCTTCGCTAATTTCTCCAACACCCTTTCTCTTTGACATTCTGTGGGCCACAGTGAAGACTGTAAGCTTCTGATGATATATCTATTTAAAAGTAAGAAGAAAGGTTTATTATGTTCTGTATGATAACTTACGTTGAGCACAGATGTACATTTTTGCTATTTCACTATATACTACATAGCCAATTATATGTTTGATTGTGAATATGAAGTTCATTACATCTCAACATGAATAATGGTGAAAATTTCATCATCGCAAGGGAAGCAACGCAATGTCCAGAATAAAGCGCGTATCTCTGTAGTAAGCACAGTCATTACCACATTTTTTGATAAATACCCAATGCAACAATACAGTATGAGTGTAATGAAAAATGTGTTGCATAAAAATATTGTTCAACATTTTTTTAAATGGTTTTCAAACTTAAAGCAATTTCTTACACTCGACCCATGGTTGAAAGCTGAAATTTCGCCACAATTTACCATTGTAATTTATATAATCTGGTGATTAAATTTGGACAGAAAAAAAAATTCATGAAAATTGTTTTTTTACTTTAATGTGAAACAAACACAGACATACCTTGGTAACACGGCTACAGCGGTAGCAAGCATGACCGAAAACCAAAAATTGGTCGTTGTAACGAGAGTTTCCATAATCCAGTATGGATTGGACGGAGGAAAACAATAAGGACACAGAGAATTGTAAACAAGAGAAAACGCAAAAAACAGGATGATGCTGAACAATTGTCCTGCCCAATGAATCCATGTCTGAAAGGAAATAAATATATCATTATTTGAAGTTTTAATTGTGGTGACCTAATAGCAGAGACATAAAAATAATTTTTAAAGCTCACATATAAGCCAAGTTTAAAACTCAAAAAAAAAAGTTGCGTAACTAAGGGGTCGGCTTATACACGCATAACACGTTGGAGTTTGACAGCGATAGTGAGGATGAATTTAAAGGATTTTGAGACACATCTTACCGTAATTAATAAAAATAAAACATAACAATAATGGTTATCATTTCCATCAATTCTCTTCTGGAACCATTTAGGTGTGTACAGCGTGTTACGATTTGTAGGGTTGGCTCATATGTGAATTTTTATAAATTCACCGTTTTAGGTGGTCTGCTTACTAGAGATGTACCGATACCACTTTTGTCGCCGATACCGATCCGATACCATCTTAAAACGCCGATACCGATACGCCGATACTACAAAAAGGCCGATATTTCCGATATTCCGATACCGATACTATGTAATTATTACTTAATTAGGTATGCTGTGTAGGGCAGACGGGTTAAAACAATGGTCTTTGAGCGTTGTTCATAGTACACATTATTTCAGATCGAAAAAAAATATATATCACATAATATGAAATTAATGTTTGGTATCCATATGCTGTAACTGATTAAGATACATTGTACAGTAACGCTAGTAATCTCGGTGTTCAATTAGAAAACTCATAAGCCGGGATGTCCAATTTGAATTTAATGTTAATATCGCGAGCTTCGAATATCGTTATTCGTATTTAAAAGAATATTGAATATCACCCACACATTCTAGCGCCGCCGTCCTGCGTTCAAATTAAAAGCATTTTACAAATATTTTATTTAGTGACTAATCGTAATCGTCGACGCAATAAGTCAAAGCCAACATGAAAGAATATCAATCAGCACCGACAAAAAGAAGGCCCACCGATAACCGTAGAGGATGTTTTTTTATTTCACTATTTTTTTTAATATTTTACAATTGCTATCATATATTTTGAGACAGTCTAGGGCTAGGCGGTCAAGTCAATATATCTATAAAGAAATCGTGTAGTTAAGCAGAGTTAAAACTAATACCTGTGTAGTGGGATAATTGTGTCGGAATTTAGTTTATCGATGTCGACGGACTAAATGACACTCGTACTTGACGACAGACAGTCAGAATTTATACCCGTGCCAAAAGTCTATGTGCCGTTAATAAGGAAGGACCCCAATTCCTCTGTATGATTTAAAACTGGGCGCCTAGTTGCTTTTTGTTATGTGCTGTGTTGATATATTTCTTCATAAAAACTATGTAATATTAAAAATGTCAATATAAAAAGTTGACAGCGAAAATAGCCAAATTAGTTTAGCTAGTTTAGCTGATAAATAGCTAAAAACACGTGAATCCTATTCTCTCGCGGGGATGTGGACATGTATGGCTCATAGCTCACGATCTCTCCAGACAAAAATAAATTAAAAAGTAGTATTCCAATTTCCAACTTATCTTTTAAAACATTCTGGACCATATCAAAAAGATAAATATATCGGGAATATCGGCCTTAATCTAACCGATACCGATACATGGCCGATACCGAAAAAATGGCCGATATTGCCGATACCGATACCCGATACCGATACATCGGTACATCTCTACTGCTTACATGTGAGAATATACGGTAATCCCATCTTAATGTAAGAATCACTTGAACGAGCAGGCAAAAATCAGTATGGTTATGATATTAATTGTACCTTCCGAGACTAAATTGTTACCAAGTTACGACCTCTGTATAGAACGTATTTCGAAGAAAAAATTTGAAAAAACATTATGCTAATTTGTAACAGGTTGCAAGACTAAATAAAAAGTAGTGCTATAAAATAGTCATCCTTACCCATGTTTTAGTTTCAATCCCGAGATGAATAAGATTGGCAAACATACATGCTGTTGTAACAGGTGTTCCCCAAGTAATCATACCAACATCACTATCAATGTATGTCTAAAAAAATGAAATAATAAAACATGTATTGTCACAGGGATGAAGAAGTAATACTATTTACCTTTAGGTACTTTTTGCAGAAGGTCAAAGGTTCATTAAATTTCTCAGCTTTCATTTTTCCAGTTGAAAAGAAAGACAAATTAGATGTCCATGCTAAAGTCTAATCAAACCAGAATTATAGTGGTGCAACTTAATTGCATGAAACTTGAAATGAATTTTTGAACACCTTGTTGGTTCAACATAACGTTTGAAATTTTGAATTTTTTTTTTAATGTCCACTATTTCTTCGTAACAAGGGGGAAAGAAATTATATTTTAATTGTTATTTCAAAAATAAATTGATAAAATACTTACAAAATATGGAATAAAAAATATTGCTATACTCTGATAAATGGCATCGATTATATTAATCCAGAAAGAACGAGGTGTATACATCTGTAAAACAATAAGATAAATTTAAAATATGAAGAAAATGATATTCACTGAATACAATCAAGTGGGAAAGAGAGCATGTTAACGATTCAATTTATTCTTACCCAATATTTGACTTCATGGAGCAGGGTTGGGTAAGGTTTTTGGACAATGAGCCAAAAATTTACCCACCTAGACTGGCGGGCCATGTAAGTGTGACGTAATGAACAATATTTACAGTGTTACAAAAACAAATGCAGAAAACAATAAGCCTCGTGCCAAAACTAAATTTAATCGCAATCTCAACAAATTCCTTAAGCCAGTTTTTAGTTGAAACATCAAAATTTGGTTTTAATTTGGCTGTGGCAGCGTCAGGCGGGCCAGATTGAATTACCCAACGGGCCGAATTTGGCCCGCGGGCCGTAGTTTGCCCATGCCAGTTATAGAGAATAATAATGCAATATTAAAATCATTCGGTAAAACACAGAAAGTCATCTGAACATACATACCTCACAGTTGATTCCCTGCAGATAAAGTCTTGGTTTTTTCAATAAAGTATCTGCGGACACGTCTTTATCTAACACTCCGTTAATGAGAGGAGGAAGACTCGTGAACGCAAGACTGTATAGTAAAAGATACCACTGCTCGATAGGATTGGCCCCAGAATATCCACAGAAAAATTGAAACCAAAATATCAAAAAGACAAATGCCTGAAATAAAAAAGATAAATTGAAAACTAGAAAATGATGACGATGTGAGGAATGGAATAGTCGATATGCATACCGGAATATATTACTTCATTAACTTTACCAATAGGTACGATTTAGTACTTATCTTAAAGAAGAGCCAGGTTTTATTATATTATTTTATGAAGTCACCAGTCCAAGTCAAATATGGACTTGATTTTGGACAAATTATTTTAAGATATAGAGATAATGCGCTTCATTAATCTTCTACTATAATTTGCAACCTGTGTGAAATCAGCGATACTATAACGAGCTTGTTCCTGCTGTTTGAATATGACAATACGCTAATTACTGTGTTAAATGCTGTGAATACACATTTTTCATCTTTTAGCAATTTTGTTGCTAAAGATGACAATTTGTGATGTGGTGCATCGTGCTGGGCATACGCTCATCTGCATGGGTTGGCAGGTTTGAATCCCGCAGAAGATAATTATGTGCGAGAGGATTGCTGCACTCCTTGTCGCCGTAGGGTGGTTCATGAGCCGCTGGTCGGTTACAGCTTCCTCCACCATCAAGTCCATTAAATAAATAACTGGGTAACTAAACCCATACCCGACATGAACTGATGAATGAACGAGAGGCTGTGATTTGCCATATGATTAAGCCATCTTAGCGGCTTTGCTCTCTCCCGGGATAAATATGTAAATCCTATCCTATCCGAAATAGCTGATCAGTGTCTATTAGATTTTAAACAGTATTGAAATAGAAGCGAAATCTTACCGCATTTTTATAAAAGAAATATAGCACCATCATCGCCAGTCTTTGATAATTCCAATGCCCATGAACAAGAAGTAATCTTTGCAAGAATCGAAATCTAGCCATTGCGAAATCACTACTCATTACAGCCTGCATTCCTTCCTGCCCAGATATTCCAACACCAATGTCAGCAACTTGAATCATGCTCACATCATTTGCACCATCACCTGAAGTATAAAATGGAAAAATCATTCATACAATTCAATCCTGTTACAGAAGAGATGGGCGCTCCAGAAGTTTGTGTACCGATATGGAGGTAACTAATTTTGTTCGGATATATTACATCACGTTGTGTAAAGGGACTGAAACCTACGGGCATGTGGGATATCCACTCGACTAACACAGACAGCTTCGAACTCGTAATAGAACTAAAATAAGGAAAATCAGAATAAAATTATGATCTAACCCTAACCTGGTACACACACCACGGCAGTACTGTGGCAAGAGACTATACAAGCCTTATACTAAACAGTTTGTTGCAGAAAAACTTAAAAATATTTATTTTATGAGTGACGTTACGGAAATTCTCATACTTTTTTTTATCACTGGGCTAAACCGATAATTATTCAGTTTTCAATAGAAAATGCACATATTTTAATATTTTGCACTATTTGGCGTTATTTTATGTCGAAAATATCCACTCTTTATTTGATGAACAATGATAATAATCTATTCAGTATTAAAAAATATTCAGTTGTTAACTTTATTTGAACAGAGAAAATGTGCTACTTTCAAAAAATAACGATTTGTACGATAAAAATGATTAATTTTAACATACCGATAGCAAGAGTCATAACATGAAGTTGTTCTTTCACGAGTTTGACAACTTCACCTTTCTGCAGCGGAGTTGCACGGCATACAAGTACGGAATGACATCTTCTTGCCAAGTTGATGAAATTCTTTTGTAATTCTTTCGATAAAGCAAAATCCAAAGTGCTTCCATCAATAACAATACCTAAAAATAAAATGAATTTGATTAATGCAAGAAATAATATGTTTCAGAATATGTATACAACAAGGCTGAACCGGGAAGATTCCGCTCCTTTCAACATACTAACTCTTCGTTCGAAGCAAACTATATAACTAAGCACCATATATAAAGTACCGTATGTGAACCAAGTTGGCGGACATCGGAATGTAGTATGTGTACCAGGTTAGGGTTGGGCCATAATTTCAGGTACAAATACTACGGGAGTCACTTGGATAGTCCCCGAACTCGTAAGAGTACTAAATTAGGGAAACTTGAAATAAAATTATGGCCTAACCCTAACCTGGTACACATACTACGGGAGTACCCATTATTCAAAAACAAAGTATTCTTCACTAGAAAGACTCACACAATGGCAATGTCACTATAGAACGATTGACACCCAAAGTACTTACCGAGAGGTGGATGATTAGAATCATGATTAGAAGATGAAGGTTGGCTGTTGGATCGGAAGCGTACAACAAGAGCATTAAATGATAGAACGGAAGCATTTGGATCAGGTGGAATTTCCGCTAACGGTCCTCTTCTTTCTTCTTGTTGATTAATATGTTGCTCTAACATTTGCTGCAGTTCACTCTATGAACGAAAAGGAATACCGTGTTTTCAATGACTATAAAATTAATTTTTACATATTTTCACGAAATTTGATGCAAGAAAAAGGCTGTTCGTCCTAAAATAAAAAAAATTGGTAATTCAGGTTTAAAAACCATTGTTGTACATGAATATTTTTGGGTCATTAGTTCATTTCATTTAGATAATACAGTACCATTTTACAGAGTTTATGTACGGTAAATATTGTGTGCTTCAGTGAGGCAAGAATATACTTGCAGGTATATGAGACTACAGGCACATAAGCTATTATTACAAATTGAACTACAATTGTAGACAATTGTAAAATGAGTATGGCGCATCGTGTCGAAGCGTTGGGAATACGCATGTCATTGCAGCTCTGATTAACCTGCGCGGGTTCGCTGGTTCAATCCCTCAGGGGGGTTAATTATGTGCAAGAGGATTGCTGGAGTCTTGCAGTCAAAGAATGGTTCACGTAACCACTGGTCGGTTACAGCTTCCGCCACCATCAAGTCCATGCTTCTAAAACAAATACCTAGCTAACTAGTTCCATGATTACTTTGTCTTATCAGCTTTCCCATTTCTCGAGATAAAAAAGAAAATACTTCTAAAATATTAAAACAAATAACGAAGGCTAACCTCGGATCGAGCATTGAGATAGATAATCTCATCAGATGGTTCAATCAACTTGCACGAGTAGCCAATGTTGACTGCTGTCTCTTGTTTATCACCAGTTATCACCCAGACTTGCATACCTGCTTTACGTAAGGATTCTATTGTCTCTGGAACACCATCTTGTAACCTGTTAATGTTTAGAGGAAGTAAAAATCATGAACGTCCTATAGTAAGTTGAAATTTAATAACAAATCGCAGTTTAGAATAGTTGATAAATTTTTTGGAAAATTTAAAATTTTTAATTCAAAATAATGATGTATGTCAATTTTTAAAAAGAAAAATTAAAATTTTGCGCAAAATATATCCATTTAGAAAAATCAAAATACAGAAATAATCTCAGAATATCAAACTATTCATACGCAGACATAAATGCTTGTAACAAACCTGTCTTCAATGCCAGTTGCACCAAGAAGTTCAAGATCTTTTTCAATCTGAATATATGAATTATAAATTTTTTCTTCTCTGTTTTCCATTGCTTGTTCAGCTTGCCTGTGAACTGTTTCCCACTCTCTATATTCTGCTTCTGTCAGGACCTAAAAAATTTTGTATTTGAAAGATATACCATATTTTCCGGGCTATTAAGTCGCTTTCCTGGAACCAATTTTTTGGCCTGATTTTGGGGGGCTGTCTTATTGGGCGGGCTACTCTTTTTTCAACTAATTTTATTGCATAAGTCTTCTCAAGCATGGTTTGTGTTAAATTTATATCTGGGTTGTTATATTTTATAATGTATTCAGAGCAAGAGAGCCTGTCAGCTGGGAAACAATTTTTCTGCCCATCTTATTGAAAAACCCAATTTAGTGCTAAAATAATCATCGTCTTATTTGCCACGTGGACATATCAGAATTAGTCAAAAAAACGGTACATAGAAATTTTATAGACCTATAAAACTCCTAATGTATAATAGCTTAACTTCTATGATTTAAGAATTCAAAACAATATATCTTACTCTTTTAGCGATGCACAGTGTTCGAAGTCCAGTTCTTGCATATTGGTCACATAAAGCTGTCGTGTCCGAACAAACTTTAGGCGAATTGCTTTCTTGATAAAATCGAAATGCTGGGGAATTGCCTGAAATATTAAAAAAATAATGAAAGAGGGTTCAAAAAATATAATAATACAGAATGCATCCAATCCAAAATTCTAAAATCTAGAATATTTTAGCAACAGATATCATGATTTATATTTATGCCTATAAACAATAAGGCGGAGGTTCCCAAACTTTTTGTTGTGCGGCCCCCAATTATCAGGAAAAAACCACACAGAGCACTTAAACGAAAAAAAGACACTACGTAACAGAAAGTAAACGGGATAAAAAGGTAAAAATAATTTCTTGATTTATATACATACATATAAAAAAAAATAAGACATTTATTATAAATACAATATGTAAAATCCTGTTAATTTTTGCGGCGCATTCAGCAAATAGCATAGCGCGTCCCCCCCTTCTGAAGAAACGCTGCACTCAACTGAGCAATGTATAAAAAATATTTAAACTTCGATTGCTGCTTTACTGAAAACAATATTAAATACATGAAAAAAATAACTGAGAGAATATTCAGTCAGTGTTATAAGAAAATTCTGTTAAAGTACGAGTTTATCATTATAAATTTTCTCACCAAAATCTGTCATTATGTTGGGTTCTGCTGAATGACTTTTCAATAAGTTAAGTATTGTACTATCAGCTCCTTTTGAATATAACACATACTGATTGGTCCTCGGATCACGGACAACGACAGACATTCTCTTGCGAGTGGAGTCAAACGTGAGAGTATGAAGTACCTGAGAAATAAAATAAAGAAAATCACTCGTATGGCGGTACATAGTTAAATGTTTGATGCATTGTGCTAAGCATTAGAAATGTGCTTTCCATCCACTGCTGATTACCCTGTGTTGGTTCGCAGGTTCGTTCACGTAACCAACTATGGCTTATTCAGTTATTAAAATCCATTCATTTAGAACGCATTTATAAAAACATAAAAAACTTGTCAGAAGCACACAGAAATTTTCAAATAATCATTATATAAAGCATTTTACGCAATTACTTATAGCAAGATTTGAGATTAGTTATTGATTTATTTTGTTCAGCTCAATAACTGATATTCTGTAAAACTATCCTCACCTCAAAGGTCACAGGTACGTCATTCTTTGGCATTGCTACTGTTACAGTGGAAGATGTCCGATGTGCAAGTGAACAACCGTATGCATGTGCTGCATAGACTAATGCTGCTTCATCAGGTGATTCTGCTTCATAATGAATTTTCCTCAAATATTCATTTGAAAAAAAGCTGAAAATAAAAAGTTTTTATTAGCTGGAGCAAGGGATTCTCTTGTCATGTGAAACTATTTTTGAACACCCTGTACATAATTGGCCCTTATTAGCTCAGTTATACATGACAACTTCGATCAAAGATAAGCAATGCTTAATAATTGAAAAATTTAAACAAACATCTACAGCATGCATATCTAACCTTGGAATCTGAGAATTGCCAGCATTGTTGGGGTTATTTAAATTAGAACTGCTGTCGTCAGATACTTGGCCATCACTGATTGTATAAACATTGCTTATTGCTTCTGGATGATTATCCTCGGTTAAGCTACGAAATTTCCCAGTAGGCATAGCGCTTGACTGAAAGTGAAAAATAAGCAAATAGTAATCAACAATACTATATGAATCAAGAATAATTCCAGGGAAAAATCCAAAATCAATACTTTCATCTGAAATCCAGACAAAATCTGGAAAATATTGTCTAGAATCCAGCCAGGTTAAATATACTATGATTATATTATTAATAAGGCCATTATCATCTAATATCTGACTAATATATTTTAAACAGGTAGGTAAAATAAATTGGGATTTTACTTGAAACATAGCTTCTTGAATCTAAATTTAATAAAAGAGAATCAATCAAATAGCAGCAGCAGAGCAGCAGAATAATTGTCAAAATAAAAATTAAAAACAATTTTCTAGTTTAAACTGAATTACCAGTATGATTCGCCATACTAAAATTTTTTATGAACGACTTAAATGAATGAATATATCACTTGAAGCGTTCGATACCTTGTTTGATTTAATATCAATCAATAAAATACTCATTGCATTATTATTTGCGAGGAAAAATCAAAAGTTTGATGAATATAAAATCATATGGCAAAAGAAGGAATAAACATGCTCTGTCAATATAATGATTGCAATGAATAAAAAAAATCAGAAACATGCAAAACAAAAATGATAATACAAAATAATTTTACTTTCCGTAAAGCGTGAATGATGAATAAGTATGAAACACGTGACAAAAATGATTTTTTTTTAAATTTCATAAACTTACTGATAAGACTTCAATGCATAAAAAAAATTTTTTCATTCAATATTACTTATAGTCAACTTATTAAGTATGGAGTAGTAAATTAAATAAGATATTACCGGTATATGAATTTTAAAAGTATAATTTGTGGCATTTAGGGATTTTACATGGCTCACATATGGTGCACTATAAGTGAGATTCAAACTGATAGCAGTAACCAATAATTTTGAATGAATTCTCACAGGAGGGTGTCCCAAAAAAACAGAACCCATTCATTTCTTAATTGCTTCTATGAAAATGAAGAAAATTCCAAACACTTCAACTTCTGATTGTGTACGATTGCACCTAAACGTTGCAGTAATCTGGGACGCTTTGCAAATAAATTATTTTCTTTAGAAGATATTCCAAATGGCCTGAGTTCTATTTTTCAAGATCAGCCTTTATGAAATAAGCGAAATTTCGGTGACAGCACATTTGAACCCACGTACATTTGAACCCATACATTTGCACCCGTATATCCGCGGTTTCAATCTATAGGCGGGTGCTAAAATCCATGGGTTATTGTTAGTATGGGTTCAAATATCTGTAGGTGAAAATTTTCATAGGTGCAATAGTATGCAGGTGCAATTGTCGTGGGTTAAAATTACGGGTTCAAATGTACGTGGGTTCAAATGTAATGGAACCGAAATTTTACCCCTAAAAAAGGTGATCCAATGGGTGACAGCCAAATTGCAAAAATAATCAAAAATGAATTGATGAGACAATCAAATAATATATGACATGTAGACATAGGAATGAGATGAAATTATTTTTTTTTATTGATGCCACACACATCCGTTATTCACCTTACGAAATAAACTGGAAACAGAGTTGCTCAAAAATTTTTTCAAAAATGGTTTAGTTTCATCTTCAGAGTCATGAACTACCTGACAAAATGTGTTAAGCAAACATACAACAAGTTGCCAAAGGGCTATAATTAGGGGTAGTCACACAATGAAATATCGACACTTATGTATATGTATTATCAGAGTCCCAGAATCGTCAAAATGTCATAAAAGTAGAAAATACCCAAGTTACTGATTCGGAACTTGGTAAATTGTGAAATCCGGGTATGACCTATATAATATGTCAAATTATTATTTACAACTTGATATTATTACACTTTAATTCGTTATAGTCTCATAGATTCTGGCACTCTAGCTGTCACTCGTAATTTCGCTCAAGGATCAATCTCCTTTATTTCTAACATAGTATGCATGACTTTGTTTGAGTAAATTTTCTTGCAAAAAAATACATTGATATTACAGTAACAGACTTTTATTTGGGCTTTATCAACAGAAAATTTTGAAAACTCAAAGATGATATCATCAGTAATATGTGCGCAACACTCTTTGAAAACTATCATAAATAGGAATATCAACATTAGAGTTATTCGGAAGTTTGGAAGGCTTTTTGTCAATAATAAGGAAAATAAATTACTAACTCTCATTTGTATTGAAAATCAAGTGTGAGATATTTTTTTAATTCAGAATATCTAAGGTTCAATAATATCCGAATATATTCAAATGTGAGGGTGTAGAGCATCGTACTAAGCGTTAGGAATACACTCGCCACCGCACATCTGACTACCCTGCGTGGGTTCGCAGGTTCGAACCCTGTGCGGGGATAATTATCTGCAAAAGGATTGGTGAACTCTTCGCCATCGTAGGATGGTTCACGTAACCACTGGTCGAAGTCCATGTGTCTAAAACAAATAACTGGCTAACTAATCCCATACCCGACATGGACTGGTAACCAGACGAGAGACCGTGGTTTGCCATATGATTAAGCAGTCTTATCGTCTTCGTCCCCTCCCAGGATAAATAAGTAAATCCCCCCCATTCCAAGAGTATCTAGATTATCCCCCAATTCTAACATATATGGACTATGGTATATTTTTTTTATCAACTTTGATTTTGCATCTAATTCAATTTAAACTTTTAAATCCATCGTTTGTTCCTTCAAGAAAACAAACAAATGTACATGGCAATTTCTACTAAGTCTAATAAAGAAAGAATCAAACTTACTGCCGTACTATCTTCTGGTACTTTCTTCAGTTCTGGATTATCAGTAGAAAGTACCACAGTGTTGCATATGGCAAGGTTGATGAAGAAATCTAGAATGCGGTTCTGCTGTGTTGAAGCATTGATATCGGGGGCCGATTGCTGACAAACTGATTCTAATTCCTTGTAAAGAACAGGGTCAGGGGTCACATCAGCTTCCTGTATTGAAAACAATAAAAATTTATTCAAATAGTGATTCATGTATTAGTAAACGAGATGCTAAAAGGGTGAGTCTTTAGAAACATTAATTTTTTCGCCTCACCCTTCACCATAAAATGCCTTTTTTATATTTTTTTCCCCTATTTTTTGTTTGCATCGAGTTCATTTTGGCGAAAAATAAACTACTGACTTGAATTACGATAATTGTCCTTACGTCCCTGAATTCAATTTTGAAGAGCAGAAATTTGAAATTTCACTTCAACTGAGCATTATTGAAAATATACGTAGACGTACAGGATTTTTAGATTGCATCTGCTTAGATACTTTCTAGGTTCTTTTCAGAGAGCCATGTTATAAAAAAGGTCAATAAACAATGTATTTAAAAATGATAGAAGACGTTTAATTTTTCTGAAAAATGACGAATATTCACCAAAAAATCTTCTTCTTCAGCATCATCTTCATTACCATGTTCAATATTCGTCGCAATATCTTGATCTTCTTGAGCCAGGTTTGACCTAATTTCCTTGGCAGATACTGCACTTATATTTCTTCTGTGATGCTTGTGTGGAGGCCTTCTCGAACTTTCCTAATAGAAATATTATAAAAATTGAAAATGGGAAAACCTTAAAAAAATGAATTTCTATCTACAACAAATTTCAAGAATTTTATTCTAAATCCCGATAGTTTAATAATTTGTAGTGTTTGTCTTTGACTAATTATGACTCTCTGACTTTATATAAAAAGATCTAGATAATATCTCTGGAAGTATATCTTCCATTTAAAAAAAAAGTCGAAAAAAGCATTCTCTGTAGCCATGTACTGCTGATCAGGGCTGTGGCATCAGAGTCGTATCTTCAGACATACAGTTAATAATAGTGGAATGATTATGCAATAATTTTTGTTATCAAATTTCAAAATCAAAATTTTCTTCAGAATCCAAAGCTGGAGCCGAAGTAAAATTTTTCAAAACTCGGAATTGGGAATCAAAGTTTTTTCAACACAGAGTCAAAACTCGCGAGTCGATTATAATTTTTCTCCGACTCCATAGCCATGCTGTTGACAGTATTTATTAATATATAGAATAATAGACGTAGAATAAAAATAACTTAAAAGTAGGCTATATGTACCCGTGCAGAGCCAGCTCTTCTCATAGCAGCAGGGGTATTCGAAGCTGATACGGCATCAATAGGATTAGAAGATCCAGGTAAATGTTCTGGCGCAGTTGTGTTTCTGAGTTGTTGGACAGATAATGAACTTGGATTTCGCCTGGAAAATAAAAATAAAATATATATTACGAAGGTTGAACGAATTCATAAAAATGATTATATAACTAATTTATATGATTTTGCAGATCAGAACTTTATTTTCAATAAAGTGTTTATTTTAGTTATAAAAAGCATTCTAAAAAGACTTATAATCAGCATTTTCATATGATAAATATTAGCGATTATTTGTTCTATTAATAATTATTAAATTGAGTGATACCTGTGATGAGCACGAACACTGCTTGCTGGTCTCCTATAGCTTGACCTATGTTCGTTATCTCGGTGAAATCCACTGCTCACACCAGATCTTACACTTACACGAGATCTTGATACAGAATCTTGAAATAAAATTTATAAACTCGAATTATGATCAAGACAAGAATAGCTTATGAGACAATACACAAAAGAGTAGGCTTTTATTAACTTAAAAAATACTGCCGTACTAAAAGAAGAAAAAGATCTATTTACAAGTAGTAGCAATCTTGATGCACGCTAACCAAATAAAACCCTCGCTTCGCAATGAGATTAACATCCTCAGATCGCTCGACGATGGTGCCACGTTGGCCACATTAAGTGGCGCTAATTCAATTTTATCACAGTACCTACTTAATTTATCTGTGCTTATACTCAATCAGTAACATCGAATGATATTGAACAAATTCAGCTTTTTCAACAAACAATTGAAACAAACATCATTAAAATGCATAACAGGATATTTTATCCAGCTTTCAATAAATTTTAGTTACTATGTCAAGTGAATACAATGTATTTTACATTCATAGTACTTTGGAGCAATCGATACCAACAGTTGTAACTTGTAACTTAGGTGTGAGTTTGAAATTGAGCACAAAACAAATACATGAAAAGGTAGTGTAAAATTTCCGTGTGCAAATATGGGTACCAAGCTCACTGGAAGCAAACTTATGTCGAGCAAAAATAACCCTTTCGTGTGAAAAAGTAAATTTATAGCATATTTGCAAACAAAAGTTGAAACTTATTTCTTGATTCTAGTGGGTGTTCGTAACCCACTAATTCAATAGAACGATGACCAACTGCTAAGGCTTTGAAGCAAATTATTATTCTATAAATCTCAGTGATTAGAGTTGCATCTAGCATCTTGTTCAGAAATAAGGCAAGTCTATATATTGCTGCAGTGAAACCAATGTCACATTTTTCAGAAACAAACTTTTTTGATCTTCTGTTATCATTATAGACTAGGGGCCATGTTTTGGTATCGATTTCAAAACTGACCTGTTTTGGTTTCGATTTTAGGTAGTGCCTAATGCCCATTTTTAGGTTTGACTGTTAGATCTGAAAATTACAAAAATGTGACATAAGCTAAGCTGGTTATACTGTGGTGCTATCATGAATATCACAAGAAAACTGTTAACACATCAGTATGTAAATAGTACTCACTTTTCGCAGGATTCATATCTGGTGGAGATGGTTCTTTATTTTCAATTCGAGCAGCTGAAAAAATGAATATTTCAAATTTATTGTGGAAATATATTTTTATATTGGAATAAATAAACCAACTCATACATACATACATACATTTTTTAAGGAATGCATCATTTGAAATGATACTAGAAAATTTATTCGGATTTTCAACATTCAGAATGGGACTACAAATATTATATATTTTGAATATTGTATTTTGCTTCCACTATTTTTTTTTTGAGATTTATAATGAATGTTGGATTAATTTAAAAATCCGAAGATTTGAATCAATATTGGAGACTAGAATGTGATAATAACAAAATGATTATTTCGTCGTTCTCAAGTGTGAGAAAAATCAAAAAAATTGTATTTAAACATTCATTCATATTTATCATTATAAAAATAAAATTTCGTAAAACTTTCTTATAAAAAACATTAAGTTTCTACCACACATACAACAACCACAGTTGGTTCCCATATATCATTCATATGTATATTAAAAAAAAATTAATAACAAAAATCAGGATAACACCGCACATATGAGTAGTAATTTTAAAATTGAGTGAAATATATATACAATACACAACTGGAAAGACTAAAATTGACAAGCAATGTTATATTCTCAGGTAGCATGATACAATATCACAAGTAAATAGACTAAAGAGCACCAGCCAATATAACTAGTTAATATTTAATGTAATGTAAGCAGGCTGTTCTCATAAATGGTATTTGAGTAGTGACACACTGCTTTATATTAGTAAAGTATTTTTAGGTACCGACACAAGAAAAGAGAAAAGCTAGAGGCAGTTCCGCGTGATAGAACGAGTATTCACTCATGGATGAAATAGTTTGCCTCACGGTTGTATTTATAGTAAGTAATAAATGGTCAGTGCTAATCAATAGGTGGACTATCCCAGTAAATTGCTCGCTCGCGAAAAAAAGGCAACGCTGATGTCACTTAGTGATAAAATAATTAATTCATGAAGCATGGGGCATTTATATATGATCATTGGACCTTACTTATTTAAAAAATTTGAAAAATGTGATAATGAATTCCCCCAATCCTAATGCTTTCTGTCATGCATTTATTTTCAAATTTGAATGGATCGATTTTATAAAAAAATTAACTTTGTGAAACTTGATATAAATTATGGTTTCACGGTGTATTTGTGTTATTTAAATTTCGTTTAATATAACAATAATTTCAAAGTTGGCCAAACTAAATTCCACAGCATCACTGGATGGGACATCTAAGGTAGTAACAAACCCTGCACAAAGAGTAGATTTTTTAAGTATAAATTGTAATTTTGATACCAAAATAACATTAAATTTGAGATATACCAGCAGAAAATGAAATCATTCGATGAGAAATTGACTTCAATCAAAAAACAGAATATTCAATCGAAACTCACAATATTAATATGAACGAAAAATTGAACATAGGTAACTCAAAATCTTACCATTAGCTGCATGAGGATAATCAACACCCCCTACTGTACATCTTCTGAATACCATGCTATTCTCTGTAAGTGTTCCAGTTTTATCGGAAAATATATATTGAACCTGGCCGAGATCTTCTGTTATATTCAACGCTCGACATTCTAGATTTTTATCACTGTCTTCATCATACATCTCAACGTCCTGAAATTGAAAAGAATAAAAATGACTGCTTATGAGAAATAGTTTAAAAAAAAATAACAAAATTTGGTAACAAAAATATGAGAAATACTGCTATGAAATACACTTTCAACAGATTAAAAATAGAAAAATATTCAAAACAGATGACCATAACACAATATTAAAAATTTCTAAAAATTTCTTCAACTAAAATTTAACTCTCACTGAAAAACCGAGAAAACATGTAAATTCATGCTGCACTTTTATTAATTTTTTCACAGCGCATTTATAGGTTAACACAGCGGTTCCCAGACATTTTGTCTGTGCGACGCCAAATTATCAGGGAATAAAACTCACGGTACACACGGAAAAATGCCTATGGAATAAGGGCAACTCAATTTGGTAACAGCTGGGTTAACAAATAAAAAGAATATCATAGAAAAATGCCACGCAACTTACATTGTTGATAAAGAAGACTTGACCAACTTTGACAATTTCAATCGATACATACAAACTGATTGGAATTAATACCTGAAAAATTAAGATTATATTTTAGGTCATAGCAAATAATGACTACCTTGAAATTTAACTAAAAACCTTATGGAATTTTTTGCGATATCTAAATAAAACAAATACATAACTGCAGAAAAATTGAAGATGAATAAAACGCTTGACCGCCATGAAATGGCTGATTCAAACAAACCTGAAGCAAGATGACCATTGTCCAAAACATGTAAAATCCAGATAAAGCAGGACTCAGGTTTTCATCGTCTCCAGTCAATGGAATAAAAAGGACAGTTTGTTCTCTGCCAGATCCAGCCTGATAAGCAGCCCAAACACCGTTACCTATATAATGAAAAAATTAAATTTAGAACATGTGCAAGAATTCAACTATTTCGAAACCTTCTAGAACTGTCATGAGGAAACTATGGCCAATAGGCCAAATCTGGTCCATCAGGTGATACAATCTGGCCCGCCCGATGCTGCCACAACCGAGGTAAAATTAAATTTTGATGTTTCAGCTTAAAAATAGTTCAAGGAATTTGTTAAAACTGCAATTAAATTTAGTTTTGGCGTGAGGCTTATTGTTTTCTACTTTTGCTTTTGTAACACTGTCATTATTGTTCATGAAATGTAACTTTTTACGTCACACTTACATGGTCCGCCAGTTTAGGTGGGCAAAATCTTTAGCCCATGGGTCAAAAACCCTGTGAATCTAGAATATGTATTTGAATCTTGAAAAGGGATGTATTTTGAAAACAACATATATTGATAATAATAATATATATTTGATCAGATTACGTTCAAATTTGTCTGAATGATATTATCACATGTCGGCTTCTAACTTTATATCAGTCAGAATTCCAAATAATGGAAAACACCACAAAAAATAATGAAAAACATACAATCGTAACTGGCTTACTGATTCTAAAATGTGAAACACCACCACAAAAAATAATGAAAAGCATACAATTGGGTCTGACTAATAGCATGTTTTACATTTTTTTTGGACATAATCGTGAAGATCACACTGTATGTTAAATGATCATGCGACGTCCTGATCTGCATTAAAAATTTATGGAATTTCAATGACGTTAAACCCGAAAATCCCCATTTTTAACGTGCTTACCGATGGCACCAGTGAGGCACATGATGATCAATAAGACAACACACCATATCACATCTGTATTCATCATTCTTTCTAACTTGCTTCTCTTATACCTGGCATAGAAATATAGGGTTACACCAAGGTTTGAAATATACCTCTACAGAGATTACTGTTTGTTCAAGTTACTATTACCAAGATGAGAAATCCGAAAATGCAACTTTCTGTTGCTGCTGAATTTTCTTTCAATAATCGGGAAATTAGAATAAAAAATTTAGGATTTGAAATTAATGTTTAGAAGTTGTTTGTTTCGTGTTTGGAATCACTGTTTTTTTCACAGTGACATCTTGATGTTGAAAAATTGAATTTGATATAAAATAGATTCATTCATATAATACAAAATTACAATTTATTGCAAAGGAAATTCTAGAATACAGAACTATATAAGTACAACAATCTCAACAACATGTGGAGATTTTGTCTCACATTAACTAGGTCCCGGCAATTTTAACTGCCAATGAAAATAGTGCCAATATGAGAAAAAATGCTTTTAAAATCTTGTAAAAATCCCATTCCACTATTTTATAACTGCAACTACTATTCCATTCCTTATAACTGATAATAGAGATGAGAAAATTTTATCCGGTGGACAACTTGAAAATAAAAAATGCAAGGTAACCCTACCTTGGCCCGTTATTATTCAGCATTGCCTTTGTTTCGTGACCTGCATAAACTACAATTCCTTCCACATAGTCAGTGTTTCTGATGACGCATCCTCTCAACAAAAGATTTTCTTTACTCACTGAATCTCGAGTGCCTGGTCGACTTATTCTGAAAATAATAGGATAGGATTTACATATTTATTCGAAGCCAATAAGGCGGCTCAATCATATGGTAAACCACAGCCTCTCGTCCTGTTACCAGTCAATGTCGGATATGGGATTCATTAGCTAGTTATTCTGTTTTCAAATGCATGAACTTGATGGTGGAAGAAGCCGTAATCGAACAGCGGTTACGTGAACCACCCTACGTCGACTCACACATAATTATCCGGATTCAAACCTGCGAACCAACTTAGAGTAATCAGGTGCTGTGGCAAGCGTAATCCTAATGCTTAGCACAATTCTCCATACCGCTGAGCGGATAATATTTGTTAAAGAAAATAAACATTGCACAACATCATTTTGGGGAATTCTTAGATTCCAGAATCAATTCAAAATGATTCCATATTCTTTCAGTTAAGTTTTACAATTCCAAATTTCAACAGAACAAATATTTCGACAAAATAAAATAATTTCATCATAATCAAAGCCGGATAAAATGAGGAAACAAAAAGATATTCAATAATGCACAGAGAATATTTTTCCTAAGAAGCAAGGAATTATAATTATATATTTATATTTTTGCTTAATATTAGAGATAATACAAGATAAAACGCCATAGGAGTACAAGGGAATATTTAGGCGTTATCCACCTCAAATATTGACTTTATTAGTCATCTTTATTTGTATCATTGAGCATAAGACGATATTCTATATTACTGGAAATAGATAAAATATAGTTAAAGGTAAATAGGTTATCATATAAATGAGGTTAAAAGTTTTAAGGACAAAATATCTCTTTTGAATAAATATAATAAATTTTTATGACACTCTAACAAATATAATAAATATGGCAAAAAACATCTTGATCAAAGAGTATTCGATGTAGGTAAGTATGTTCATATAACTTTGTACGCCATATTATAAGCTCTTGAAATGGAAATTTATATTTTGGTATATATTTTGAGATCAAGACTATTAAAATATTACTAGAAGTTAATTTGAGTCCATCCATCCATCAAATTCATTTCATAATAGACCTAATAAACTTCCTTATTAGAATTATTAGAATAAAAAAGTCAATTTTATGATGAACTATTGAAATCACTAAAATACAAACTATCTTTTGAAATTCCAACAACAACAAATCAAAATGAATTTTTGAAAAAGTTTTAAAAAATTTAGATAAGTTCAAGGCTTTTACCCTAATAATGGCAAAAAAAAATGATTCGAAAACCAAACCAGAGGTATCACATTATAAATTTTGACTGGGTGGTAAAAATAGAGCAGGACATGCTAATGGATACAACGGTATCACAAAGGAAAGTTTTGCTAGCCTAAGGCATAGATTTTTTACAGATCATAAAATATTTTAACACATATATCTTGCATGATATTACCAGTTTTATTATTGGCATAGACAATTATGAATTAATAAAATGGCTGCTGCGAAAATATTCTGTTATATATTTCACACATGGGTGCCATTACCACATAATGATAGTGAAGTAAAGATCATAAATTGGTAGAAAAAAGTTCACTGTTTCATAGCATCAATGCGTTCAAACGAAATTACTGGCAGATGGGAATGGGCCGTTGATAATATGCCTTTGTTTCTAAATATACAATATCGAAATTTTGTACTAAGACCATATATTAGGAATTAACAAAATGATCATAATCAATATTTTAGCAGTGAATTTAAAATTATGATTTCACAACATCATGAACCAATTCAAAATAAAAGAATATTATTTTACCCAATCATACCAATCGCCGCTTAATATTTGTCTAATTAGTTTAATCAATAAAAACAGATGTTTTTAATCAAAAGTATATACGGTAAGTTAAAATACTTACATGTTTCCAGTGAATCGATCAATCTGTGCATTAGGTTTTTCACATTGAATAATACTTGTGAAATTTTTGGCATCAAAGTGCTGAAAAATGCATAGTCATGTTTATAAATAATATATAAAGATAGGACATCAAAGATCAGAGTGTGACCAAGATGAACTGAATTACGTAAACAATAGCCTATGGAATCGTAATAATCACAAAAATTGTATTATTCAAATTGTAAACTTGAAAACAAGAATTTTCAGGCAATGGAATGTTAAAGTGTTATGAACATTTTCATTCATTGTTACATATTAATAATATGAGTTTCTGACAGTCAAGATTTTTCTTGAAAGTAATGTATTATTATTTATTTTTGTAATAAGCGTTAACTATATGTTATTTTATTTTGATTCCGTGTTATTGCTGGTAATCATTTCATAGATTGATTATAAGAATGAAAGAACAACTGCCAGCGATTTCCTAAAAGGATTCTGGAGACTAGAAATTAAAAATACTCGGCTATGCACTCAAATGTACTGAAACAACAAATGTGTATATTTTATGTGAATATTTAGAATGCTCAGCCATAGCTAACGGCCAAGTATAGTCACAGAAAAGCCTGCTTGATTGACAGAAAAAATAGTCATGACTTTTTGCCAATTTTTTGCCAATCAATACAACAAACTTAATTACCGTATTTCAAATTTTGTCATCATCAAAAACATGTGGATCAGTTTCTATGTCAGAATATATTATTAAATATTCTTATTATTTACATCTCCAACGAATACCAAGCCAAACAAAAAATAAAAAACAAGGAATTTTGTTTCTCAGTAGATAGAGATTATGGATTACCTGTCCAACTCCTTTACAAACCATTCTCTGTTTGAGGTTTGTTTCTCCATCAATGTTTGAAGTTTCAATGTAACAAACATCGTGTTGATCAGATGAATGTAGAAGAAGAATATCAGCAGGAATGACTCGATTGCAGAATAATCGAACGATGTCTCCGACTTTCACATTCTTCCATTTTGTACTGTGATATTTTCCATCCGACCTAAATGGCAATACATAGAATATATTTGTGTTAGTGTGCAGTAAGACTCTTGAATCACTTAGAATAATTTTGATAATCTGAAATCTTAAATTGTTTTTTCGAATATATATTATATACAGTGTGAGCCACGAAAATGTTGCCATTTTTTACATTCCGAATGTAAAAAATTGTAACATTTTTTTGGCTCACTCACTCTGTAAATTATTAATAAATCACAAAACATATTATTATACAATTTAGCTCGGCACTGTTGAAAGTATATTTGCATATACATTATACTGCCAACCAATACCAAAATTGTCCATATTGAAACATCTTTACCCTTGCAAGGATAACTGTATAAACATTTCTATTTGCTTGGGTACGCACTGAATAATTTAACACACAATAAAAGAAATAAGATTTTCTAACATGTCAACTGAACATTTCTATTAGAATTGAAAATATTAGATAATTACCGGTATATGTTATTTTTTCTTGTAAGACTAAAATTCCCCATTACAATATAAAAAATATATATGAATTTTGCCACAGATTTAAACAATGGCAAACTGAAACTATACATTTAAGTCAGGATAAAATCTTAATTACATTGATACAACAAAGAAAATAGTTAACTACTCTCAACAATTACGCAACCACTAACTATGAGGGTTGATTTGGTCTTATTTCTACTTAATATTAGGCATTGGTTTAATTAAAAATAATTCTGAAATATATTCAGCACTATTTTTCACTATCTATTTTTTTCAAAAAAAAGTTTGTTTTTGTTAAAAAATAATCGAGTTAAGATATTTGTAATTTGATAATCAGCATTTAACATTTTCTTAATTGCTTTTATGTTGTTCTTTTTGCTGTTCAAAACGACAAGTTTACACAGGTAGATAATACAAAATACTTATTAATTATGGAAAGAGTTAAAAATTTGAAGTGTTTTTATAAATGAAAAAAGTTGAGATGTATTCAGATATTCAATTCAATTTGCATACCTCTAAAAATCTGACAGAAAATATATTTTTAAACGTGAAAGTTATTGAATTTGTTGTTTCAATGTTTATGACCTCAGTTAAAATACTGTGGTCTATTTTGTATGACGACTTATAAATAGCAAGCATTAATTTATAGCGGCAAGGCCCCAAATCTATCAAAAGTTTCACGCTTTGTAGCTGTCGATTGCTTTTCACGCTCGCTCACGTGTGAAAGAGAAGGGTGAGTCAGCATTCACAAAACAGTCAATTAAGAACACTCCTGTTACTTACAATCGGAAATGTTTCTTAATATCCTTAATTCTGGCTTATCAGAGGTTTACCATAAATTACACTATTGCACACAGTTTCACTTGAATTAAATGTGCGATAAAATGTGAGTCAATTTTCGAACTGTTTAGAAAAGTATTTTTGGAATAGATTCTTCTGCATAATCCGCATTTTTAGAAGTCTATGATTTCCACATCTTTTTATATCTCATGATACCATCTGGGCATTTGTCATTTGTGTGTTTATTTTGACTAAGTTTTATCATTTGATCTTTGGCTTACAAGAATTTATTTGAATCTTGTTTATCTAGTTAGAGCTGAAAGTTTTTCGTTAAGTTTGGCTACATCTGACACAAAGTATGCTTTCAAAAAAACATGCTGGGTTTCGTTAATAATAAAACCGCAATTATTATGCTCTAAATGTAAATCTCAAACAGATAGGCACACCCAATCATAAATTGTGCTTATCCTAAGTCTATAAACAAATTGATCACCACAATAATAGCTTTATGTTATCATTTCAAAATCAGATTATTAATAATTCATGAGAGTATTACTAATAATCTACTATTTTAAATACATTTTGAAATAATCATTTGAACATAAAATATTGAATATCTTCCTAATCAGGTTATGTAGAATTTTTCTTTTTGAAATATATTTGTATATAATTTGGGGATGAATACTGATTTGATAGTTTCCCTATTTTCTAAAATTTTCAGATGTTAAATTAAGATGATTATGGTCATATCAAATAAAATTTATAAAACAAAATATAAAAAATTTTAAAGATTTTTAATGTATCAGAATCCTTGATTATGGCATATTATTATTAAGTTTCTGAAACCTGTTTGAGGTATTTTATTAGGTACTCCAGTCCGGAAGTATGTGTACCAGATTAAGGTTACACAATAATTTTATTCAGATTTTCCTTATTTTAGTTCCATTACAAGTTCTGGGACTGTCTCTATTAGCCAAGTAGGTACCCCATGGCCCTAGGCTTCCGTCCCTTTACACAACTTGATGTAAAGTAGGCGAACAAAATTAGTTATCCCCATATTGATACACACACTTTACATAAGAGGTGGCAACAATTTTCAAAAAAAAATTTTTCCGATTGGCTGTGATGGAATACAACAATAGCATTATGTCTTATTCTATTGTTGTGAGAAGGCATTGGTGCCGATGCTAGAATAACACTGATATAACGAGAACAATTGTCACCAACATTCTATGCCTTTGTTATATGAAGCAGGAATCAATTCTCCCTACGTGACCCTTTCACATATTTTAAAAGTATTATTCCTTCTCATAAAGAAACAGTGTCACTCAAAACAGGATATATTTTGAGTAAGATAAAGCGAGTGAAAGAAGTGTTATATGATACAAACTATCCCTTCCTCTCGCTGAATATCAAGACATGTTTAAAATGGTAACGTTAATCAATTAAATATACCTATTCTGGATATTCGTTATATGAAGTATCAATACATTGTCACTGTCGTTCCTGGCACATCATCAATAACATCTATCTTTTTGATAAATGAATTGATTGATATTTAATCATATCAGCTTGTTTAAAAATTGCTAAAGATATACATGAATAGGTCTTAAAAAATTAACCAGTTTGAATTAGAATTCCTATATGAAAAAATTTCACAATGTAATTCCACCATTTAGTACAAAAATCAGAATACAGAATGTAATTCTGAATTTTGTCAGAACTATTAGTGTTATGAAATATTTTCTCACTAGTAAACGGAAGTCTGTATGTTCATATCTCGATATTGGTATTCCAATAAGTTTGTGGCAAATAACTTCCCCTTGCATCATAAAACTACTGTTTCAATTTCACTGAATACAAATGACAATTATGTATGCTATTTACACCATGAATGAACACTAATTAAATCCATATTACTGCTTGGAAATGGAGCACACAGTACACAATCAGAAAAATTAGTTAAAACGCAGTATTTAAGTAAATTTATGTTGTATGTTGAATTTATGGCTCATGTATCAGCCCTCATCCAGCTTATACATGCCAAAAAATCTACATGACAGACTTTATTTTGAAATAACTACAGTAGTCAGTAAGATTTTATCAGGGCAAAGGTCAAACAAAAGTTTAGCTCACATAGCAATTTTGATTATCAGGAAAATGTATCAAGTATAAACAACATATGTGACCCAAAAACACAACTTCAAGAATCCAAGAGAAAATCAATGCTCAATTACTTGCATATGTGAAGTAATCATACGAGGAGTTTTATATTCAGAACTAATTTACAGCTAATTAAAAGCAGAATTTGGACTTTGTTTTCATATCCTGTTGATTTTCATCTCTCGACCACATGCAGTCTAAACCTTACGTGACATGAAATATGCTAATTCCCTTAAAATAAAAAATTTGATTTACCTTTTATATACTTCTGTCTTACTATTGTTGACTAATCCATCAGATTTATATCTGCCATAATCTTCAACGACATCTTTTAAGGCTTGAACAAGCAATATAACAATAACAGGAATCATGGATAAGATAGGTTGAATGGCACTGATAGCAGGAACAAAATTCAGCAAAATAATGAAAACAAAATAACAGTTGGCGAATCGATGAAATTGTTCAAAGAGATTCTTTGGCAAAAATGAGAGTACAGTATATTTTGTTGTTCGGATTTGATTATTCAAGTAGTATTTTTGCATGACAAGCTTCTGTTTATCTCCTTCATCTAGTCCTTCTCCATCGAGCATGTGACTTGGTATAATGTAACGATGTTTTCCCTCTTTCGGCTTTTGTCTGAAATAGATGAAAATATTGATATCTGCAACTGCAGCCAATACATTTAGTATCATTTACAGTATATACATATGAGACAACATTTGATGATAACAATATGCATTGATAAGAGGAATAATTCATAATAATTTTAACCATTGAATATTTCACAGCAACTAGTCTAGTAGTTAATTAATGAGAAACACACAAGATTGAAGTATTTTGAACGATCTTAAATATTTTAGTTACGTCAACTTACTTCACTCTGGTCATTAGTCGATCCCATATTCCATTATCTTCTCGTACTCTGGTGGTTTCTTCAACAATATCCATGTTGTCAGACATGTATTGGGTGTTATTATCATTGGCATTTTCAACGTTCTGCATTTTTTGTATCTACTGTACGAGACTGACTTGAGATTACAAAAGCTAGCTCTTATTTGTTGGCGTCAAACAACAGTATTACATCCTTTTCCATCCTGATAGCAGCATTATTTCAACAAACAAAATCAAGGTAAATATAATATTCAAAATATTCAAGGGTAAATATGAATCTGAGAGATTGCAAAAACAATATTAATCATAAAAAAAAGAGAAAACCCAAGCAGACCTATGATTTTTATTCAAAGAATTCTTTACTTTAATTCAAAATGAATTTTGAGTGTGAAATTGTTTCTCCTCCGATGAGAATGATTTGAAACAATTTTAAAAAAAATTTAAATTTTTTAGCAGTAAAACCAATGTTTATGATGAATTTAGTAATGTAAAATTTCTTTGCTCCTCTGTGCTGCTTTTATCAGAATATCCAGAATGAAATGAAATTTAAAATTTTTTAGAATATGTAATAACGGTTTGAATGTGGAGTTATCAGAAGTATAAAATGTAACTAGACATTCTATTTATAATATAAACCCGGTTACTGCTGATAACTATTCTCTCTAGTTCTTGTACTGATGTCTTGTTTACATTGTAATGTAGCCTCGTTATTTATTAACTGATGTCATTGATGATATCCATATTCTAGAGACTCTAAGTCCCATCTGCTTTGGTACAATTAGGCTTACTCCAAGCTAGATCATCACTGATGTGTATAATATTATAATTAGAACCTTTAACTGAATGTAAAGTCAGACTGATTCCACCAAAGATATGAAATTGGAGTAAAATGCTAAATGACGTAACATGACCCACTTTTTGCAAACCATATAATATTAAATCTATGGTGTACCAAATGCTTCAAAGGGTGTACGGTGTACCACATTGATAGGGTGTACTGGGGTGTATCGAGAGTAGTATGGTATAGTCCAATACACGTTACTCTATGTTTTGAATGTATTTGAAGAAAATTGGCAGCTTGACACAAATAAAGCACAACGTATGTCAGTATGTGTTCAAACTTATCCGCAACCTATGTCCGGCGTTTCCCAAGTTCTTGGTACCTGTTTGTCACAATGCCAAGACATAGATTCATCATTATAGACTAAAAATAGTTTAAACAGAGTAACTTGAGAAAATGTCATTCAGCCTTGAACTTTCCTAGCATTATACTGTTATTTGTGTGGGATGGGCAATTCTGCGGTAATTGTGGAAATAGGTCTTTTGAATTTCGTAACTTAAAATCAGATTTAGTAAACAGCCAGAGTTGAAAACATAAAAACTACAATAAAAATGTGGATGACAACATTAGAAGTTTTTGAGTATTACAACACGACTTTCCAAACTGGGTTTCTGCCCCCATAAAACTAATAAAAAGAAAATTAAATGAAGGATGCTAACTCACTATTGATAGGGGCATTCGAAACAAAGTTATTACTTTATTCTAATCATTGTGTTTTTCGTCGATTAGAAATGTATAAGAGCTGGGGTGTACCAGATCTTGAGTGAAGAATAAAAGGGTGTACCATTTCGGAAAAAAGTTGAAAAGCACTGTCATAATAGATCATATTATGACACAGGGCTTATGTGACTATTTATTCTTTATTTTAACAATTTGGCTGCATATCTACAGTATCTAAGTAAATAAAGACAATTAAAGACTCTGGTACATACAGACATATCTTTCAAAAATGGTGAAGGTGTGATCCTGAGTCGACCAGTGTGAGAGTGTTTTATAATTTTGTTGGTTTGAACATATCCCAGAATCCAGATATCAGCTCTTTCATTCTACTGGTTATGGCAGTACAGCAGTACAGCAGTATGGTTATAACAGTTTGAAATAATATAGAATACGGTATGATAGGTGAATTCTGTAAGTTACGGTAACTAATTGATAGGTTGATACTATATACCGGTACAGATAAGACTGTAAGAGCTATAACTATATTTATATTTCTGGCTTTATATGTTTTCTCCATCTTTCAGTCTTTCAATGATAGACTGGAGCTGGCAAGACGACTAAGTTCAAAAGTTAGACTCACTCATTCCTGCATTCACTGCAGATAACCAGTACCGGTACCGGTACCGGTACCGGTATGTACCCGTACCCTAAATCGTGACATTTGTATACAGATAGACTACCGGTATATCAGAATACTAGAAAACATAACATACAGGGTTCCCGTACCAGTATCCTTATGACCATGGTTTTCAGATTTCAAAGTTTACCGATGACAGGCTGAACTGCAGAACTGATTCCGCATCTCACATTTTCTGGAATTTAGTGTACTGTACCGTACCGTACAGTCCCGTTAACAACAAGCTATTCAGTAACGATACTGTACCATATCTGCAAGACCGTACCCGAACACTCATAATAATGCTGTATGGCAGAGTCACACATCGTAGGCTACGCGACTGAGTTAGCGGAAGACGATGTCTCTTCGTAGCCCTGGGCTGTACGGTGACAGGTAACGTTACTCTTTGCGTAAGGTTCGTAGGTGAAATCGTCTGTTGTTTGTTTTTTCATTCGTCGCCTCGGTCACGTAACGGGGGATTTCCCGATCAGACAAAGCGAGAATCGGCGAAGAACGTTATCTACACTCTAGCGACATCCAACGTACAAATTTACGATTGTATAAAATCCTCGGTGATTGCCACTTTGCACGGATAAATTAATAATAAAAAAACGGGAATAACATTCACTTTTTTTACAACAAACAGAATATTAAACCATTTGAAAAAATGGAAAAAAAAACAGGACGAAAAATTTGTTCACATCTACCACTAACAATGGACCTTTCCCCGAGCATCGACTTCTTTGTTTACTTCGTGACATTAGCCAATTAGCAAGATGCAAAAAGTGACGTAACAATGCTCCCTTTTCGCATCCGCTCAGACACTTTTCTCACTCAGACAGATTTTCAAGCGTGGTCGTAAACATTACCTCGTTTTCGCGTTTTTGAACTCTATTCGTTAGTTTTCAGTTGTGTTTCGGAAACTTAAATATAAATCAGATAATTCAATGATTACTTTGTCTTCCTAGGAGTTTTAATTTAATTGCAGTAATAAAAAATTAGTGTAGAAATAGCTGTGATAAACTAGGCTAAAATTCTTTACCGGTACTTTCAATAAACAGATTGTTGTATGCGATGATTCATAATGATGGTTTAAAACACATACCCCATTTTACAGGCGCCAACTCGCAAAAGCACTCTTAAAATAGCGCCGAAAATTTTGCAATGGTAAAGTATAGGAGGAATTTTTCGGGGGTCAAAGGTCGGGGAAAGGTCCATCACAATGGCCTTTCAATTCAATTCTAATCATACTTTCCACAAAATTCTTCTTATTTCTGTAAGAATTTCTTATTGACTACGTTCGTGTCATTTTACGATTTTGTTTCTATTTTCTATGTAGGCTACTCAGAATTTTTCATTCATTTTCAAACAGATCTGTGAATTTTTTATTATTCAATACACATGGCCAACAATAATTCAGTCACTTGAATTGAATGCAAGGCTCGCATGTGTTTTTTAACTTATCAAGCGGCTTATCAAAAATATCGAGTACGAGTATTCGTGATTTGTTACACTGTTTAAAATATTATGACAAAATTAAGCATTTATACTCAAAAATAAAAGTAAAAAATCATAAATCAGTAGAAGATATAGATACTACAGTTCTTACCTGTTGTATACGATGCATTTCATGTTGTTCACTCTCTGATCGTTTTTATATTTTTGCACGTCCTCCACTATATCCTTCACTGCTGTAAATGTGAGCACAACTGCCAATGGAATGATGGCCAAATACTTATCAAAGGCATTGATCATCGGCGTAAAATTTAAAATGACTATGAAGAGGAAGTAAAAATTTGCGTATCTGTGGAATTGTTCAAATAAGTTTTTGGGTAAGAACGACAGTATCGTGTATTTTGTTGTTTTGACCTTGTTAGGCAGAAAACGTTTTTTCTGCTTTTTCCACGATGCAAACGCTCGTGGGTACAGCGTTGATAGATTGTGTTCGTGTTCATTCCCGGAATCAAGTTCGGGTATTGAAAATATAAGTCTCTTGCCTAACTTTTTTTCCCGCGTTCCTGAGTTTTCTGGTGCCGAATGGGAGGATTCCGTTTCGTTCGCAGGATTACTGAGATTGGATCTTGGATCGCTACCGTTTTCCTCATCATGGTCGAATTCATCTTTCTCATCGTCACTATCCAATCCACTCCAGCCGAAATATCGGAGTATCGATGCCATTTTACAAAAGTTGTCGTGACATTTATCTCAGAAACGAATTTTAAGTGGAATGAACTAAAAGACTACGACTTATTTATAAATCTATACTGATAGGAATATTTGAAAAATTTAGAAATGTTCATGCTACCAGCCTGCATCAATAGTTGTGGCTAGTAAATCACAAGTAATTCTTAAATAAATACTATATATATAACTTCTGTAATCAATTTTATAGAAGTACAGTTGTCTATACCAGCGGTTCCTACTATTTTTCGTTGAATTCCTTTCTTCGCCTATTTTGGAACTCTTTATTCCTCCCTCACTATGCGAAAATAACTCCGTCTTCGTTATTTGTACAAGCTTCATTGGATCCTTAGCTCTACTGATATGCGCAAGTCGAACCCCCGCTTTTGTACAGTTTAAGTAGTTTATAATGTGTACATAAAAGAAGTATTACACTCGTGGTAAAGACTAAAAAATAGTAGTAATACCATAGCAAATATGAAGCGAATTTCCACCCCGTGAACGACAAAGGCACTCACAAGTGAGGAATTATTTCCCGATTGCTTAACATAGCCTCTAGCATTATAAATACCTGAATAGTTGCAAAGTAATATTACCATAGTTAAATATAGTATAGGCCACCATATAGGTTACAATTGCTTCCTCCGCTGAAGTATCTGGAAAGTCAAGTGTGCGGTATCAGGCGCGACTGTGGTTGCTATTTTAGATAAGGCGCTCGATAAAAGCAAATTGAACGAACAAGCATACGCGCGCGGCATTGGCCAATAATTTATTCTAAGAGCTTCCGTAACCATAGGCCTAGTCAGAGAGGCCTGGGGGGCCATGCCAAAATTAAAATTTCAAGATTTTTTTTAATGAAATTTGGAGTCATTCAAGTGAGACATAAATTATCACCATTTTGCTGTATGCTTAGACGATTTACTGAAAACCCGACGTTTTCTGGCCTACTCTTACTGTCAATTATCCCTTTTCCAAATGAACCAACCTAGTTAGATGAAAACGCTTATATAGGTTGGATAACTTTTACAGCAAAGTATGTCTGTAGGTAGAGAGACTTCTTAGGGTATTGTCAGATATCAGTGATTGCCTTTATCTAGTCTTGTTCGGAGAAAAAGGCACGTCGTATTACGTCATTATACATAAAAAAATTCCTCCCTGCCAAAAGAAATTGGGCTGGCCACAATCTTAATCCTAACCGTAAACATATGTTCATTATTTTGCTTAGAATGCTGCAGTGCCGAATTATTATTCATATTGCCAAAAAATACAGTAGGCCTAGGAATTCAAAATGATTAATATCAATCTCACTAATATAGATGGAACATTACGTTAATAAAACTGATAAAAATATTAAAATTTGAATCATGAAAAAGTACAAAGTTAGAAATTATCAATGCCATGGAAAGTACTAAAAATAATGTAATCTACTAAAACTGAAATTTCTATACTCGTCATTTCCTTCCTGTTTCGGGGAGATTTTTTATGGTTATGGCAAACTCATATTTTAACACTAGACTTTATGTCTGTAACATTGACAAGTACGGGTGCCGTTAATAAAGTTAGCAACGATCAAATCGCGATTGAATGGGAACAAAAAACAGGCCTAGACATCGCCCAATACTATATATGGTACTTTTACCAAAGAGGCTGACGAAAATAATTTGATTCAGCATGAACATGATATTTATCGTGAAAAGTGAACAATGATAAAACTGTCCTTCAAGGTTCAAAATCAGTTTCTGTAAACGCAACCTTTGTCAAAAAACTTTTTAGCAAACCTCCTTCCTCGTGAGTAGAAAGGCATTACGTCGCATTTTCTGATACCATGACATGACGCTTTATTACAGATTTAAGCTCCTGAAGTTGTTTCAACATTCAACTAAACTAAATCTCAAAAATACTTCAGTTTACCTAGAACCAATTTATGAAACCAGACCAAAAATCAATATGTCATAATGCATTTAACGAACTTGATGTATATTATGACATCACAATTAATTCCCGTTGAGTGAAATACAAAATATGACATCCTATTTCGACGTCACAACTTCAAAATAAGCCCACTTTCCCATCAACCAAAACCTGCGTACTCTACTACTACTGCTGCATTAATGCACGATGGTCGATCTTTATGAGAAAAAACAACTGAAATGCTTTGAAAGCGGAGATACCATTGCTTCATGGAAAAGCATGCCAATGTCAAACGAGCTGCGTTTAGAATATTGGAAAGGTTTGGATCAACATACGTCTGCGAATCTGTGTTCTATCCTAAAACACGTGGAATCAAAGCATTTATCTGTTCTGACTGACACCCATGTGGAAAAATTGATTCGATTGGCCACGAAGACACATGTTCAATCCAAAGAATGCCAGAAGTCCCACCCACTAAGTAGCATGCAAAACAATAAATGGCTTGTAAATTTCTGTCATAATAATGTTGGTTAGGGACATTTAGAATAAAATTGCATTCCAGCAGAGCTGAATAAAGGTATATCTGATGTTCATTCGTGATCTTGTTTATAATGTGGCTCTTTGCGGTAATAAAGTACGAAATTGCGGCTCTTGGTGTTTGATTGATTGGCCACCCCTGCCCTAAGATAACAAATCCTCAAGTATTTTTGTTCAGTATATATTAGTAAATTCGTCTAGCGTCGATACCAGTAGGATTTCTGTTGTTTTTAAATATATCACCGCAAATGTGAATAATTTATGAACGCTTTGAAAAAAGAATCTGCCTCTCGTTGCTAGCCGTTGAGATTCTATTAACCAGCTGACGTTAGTCTGTGTCAATTTGTGAATATATATTCCTTTCAGTATTTTTCGAAACAACTTAGCACAGCTCTAAGTCAGACTAAGAAGTACGCTCTACTGTCTGACGGCATTTTATTGATCAATTTTTACGGCTACTTTCTATTATTGGTCTGAGAAACATAAAGCTCACTGTTTATACTAAATCTCTTAGAAAGTTAGAAATGTCTTGAACTTTGTCATAACTAACCACAATAAGTGACTCGTGACACTGGAATAATTGTTTTACTTTGTGATGGATATAACATCTGATATCTTGATATGCTATGCTATAGATACAATAATACCTCAACTATTCAGCGCATATTTGAAACAGCTAATTAAAGCATAGAACGAACACAGGCTGTACGTGTGGTAAAAGGACGTTTCTCCCGAAGCCTAGGTTGGAAAGTACATTTAAAGAAACTGGTGTATCGATAATAAAATGTCCGCTTATATCAGCCACAATCATGATATGCAGCATGCAATTAACAAATCATACATTAAAAATCGTGGTTTGGTGCCAGAACCTTGTCCTGTATTTCGTTAAAACACTGTCTTTACTAAAAACATAAGAAAGCGTATTTTATTTTCCACTTTTCGATTGCATTTTAGGTTCATAAAAATTGTTCAAATCTATGACATTCAAGGCTGCAATAAAGTTGCATGAATGATATATATTATAAAAAAAAAGTGTTATGAGACTCAAGCAATCAGAATTATAAAACGCGTCTAACTGTTCTCACAGACCTTTGATAAAAGTAAGCATTTTCTATAAGTCACTTATACACGAGTAGAAGCTCGCGGAGGGTGATGCCTGTGGTAACTAGCCTCTGGTAACTGAACAGTGCTGAAACAGCTTCACATCCTGAACTATTCCGCGGCATCGTAAAAGATATACATTGTAGCAGAGAGCAAGAGTATGCTTTGTGTGCGAAGTCAACAAAGTCGGGTCATTTGGCCGCAGGACATTGTTTAAGCACACCACAAAATATTCAAATATATAAATAAATATTGTCAGCAGTTTACCTATTAAACCCGTTTTGTTTAAAAAACATAATAACTGATTAATGTATAGAAATGAAAAAAATATTTGTCAAAAATACAATTATGGTTTGGGTGGTTTATGGGTTACATACATAATAATCCTCTTTTTTAATTCACTAGACATATGTCGCAATTCGAATTTTTTTACATTGATTAGTTAGATTATTGTGCTCACAATACAATAATAATTCCAAAAATACAACTCGCAACCGTTTTTATTATATATACTTGACAGAAAACATTACTATCGTGTCACTATTGATATTTACACAACCATTTTGTACAAATAGTACAATTAGCAAACAAGATCAGCTAAGATCTGATTTTTTTAAATGCCATGGTATTTATATGTGAATAATATTGCTGGAAGATAATTTCATTTAAATTAAACAAAGACTTAGAATTGGAAGTTTCGTTATCATTGACAGTGTTTAGGACATATATATATATACTGTATATTAGTTTTAAGACAAAATATTCTTCGTTCCATTCTGCGTTTGGCCGTTATTTTAGGTATCCTGATGGGTATTTGGTAATTTGTTTTCACCGTGAAATGACCAGATCCTTGGTTAATGAGACCACCCTTAAAAATCTTAATGTAATGTTCATTTTTACAAAATGTCCTGGCAGTAAAATCTCATGAAAAGTGGGGGACACGACGCAAAGTGAAATAATAAAAAATGAGCTGTTTCGTCATAATTTACATTCCACAATGAACTGGATTAAAGTTGAATTTAAGCGAAATGGTAAATTGAATAAAACTACTTATACTTCTAATGCCATGGCAATCTATGTATAGCTCTGTCGAGCAATCATCATGAAACCTGGACAACTTGTAGGCATGAACTGGTCATCAGAGATAAGTAAGATAAGGGCAAAACATTAACCGTAAAAAGTCCCACAACGATCTTGGAGCATAAAAAGTATGCGAATGCGAACTAATAAAGCCACGCTTGTGTAAAACATGAATGATATATTTTTAACAGACGTAAGCAATTTTCCCAGTTAAGCATGTGGTTAACGAATAGGTATAGGCAGCACCTGGTTACTCTGGCACCACTCGTCACACGCTTTATCGCAAATTGTTGGCTAATATTTAACCAATTCCTTGAATTATAGAGTATGGCATTATTTTCTCATTCTGAAATGGGTGGAAAACACCAGTTTAATGATAAAACCACGTTCGAGCAGCATGGTGACGGATAACAAACATGTTGCTGGTTTTGGTACAAATTGAGAAACAAATATTATCACTAATATTTATATTAACAATATAAATATTGTTCTACTTGTTCGGTATACATTGGACTGTAGTAAACGTCAGCATTTAAAGCTGCGATATTTGAAAGAAAAAAATGCAAATAATAACTACGAATAACTACGAATAAAATCGCCCGTCCATAAATTCTGAAATTACCGATATCATCAAGTTAACGTTCTTTGATTTTCGAAAATCCAAAACATATGAGCGATTGCTCATTTATATCTGGGTATTTAGCTGATATTAGATATTGAAATAAAAATTGTTCAACGGTCACCAGTCCTTTCACTTCTAGTCTATTTTTGATATTGGAGTTGCTGAGTGACCACATTTTTCACTGATGCTCTTGAAATACCAAAATCGGGTTGCTTTTTGATTTTAATGATCTTAATTTTAATTAAAAAAATTGCTTTTAATTGATGCCACTTGATCGCACCTCCGCGCAATGTGTATACACATTCCAAGTATCCATTTGTCTGTTATAGTTTCCAATCATCTGATAAACCAGCCTCGCGTAAACAAGATATACTTTATTTTAAGACAATAAGTCGCTTTATTTTTCTATCCGTTTTTTGGTGAGGGAAGCGCCTGGCAGATATTTATAGTGCACTTTTCATGACCCAGCAATACTACTTCAACTTGTCAAGCCATCAGCGCGTCAGTTTTTTTCCTATTAGTGCAAATACGGTGATAACAAATACAGGATTTACAAATATTGCGATTATATGATATATATACCCATCACCATAATCTGGAAGACTATGACTTACGATAAAAAGCAATTGAAGTCATCTGAAGACAATGCATTTAAAGGAACTTTAATAAGAAAACAAGGTCGACTTTGAAGTTACATTGAGTCAACATGTGTTGCTTTTCAAATACAGGTAACATCTTTATGGTATTCTTACAGCTGTGGCGTCGTCGTCGATTGTTCGCTAATATTTAACCATTTATGTGGGCAATAAAACACTTCAAATTCTTACCACATTTCTGTGGCTAATTGAAAACACAACAAGTCATACATATAAGCACATTCGTGGATGGTACTATTATCTGGTACTATTTCATTCGAAACCTCTAATTATAATATATTTGCAGTAAAACGTATCGTTTATCGCGTCTTCTTTCACACTTAAATGCATTTTTATCTATTTTTTATAATTCTGTATGTACAATGTATACTTTCGGCACGTGTAAAAATTAATACTGACTAACGACAATGAATTTTTAAATGTCTTATAGCGCATATTTCTAATTAAAATAAATACAAACCTTGCGATATTAATTAAAATGTGAATTAAACGCCGACAAACATACATAATGGCAGAAATATTTTTTTCTCATTCGTTGCACTGGATTTTATTCGTATTTTATGAGAAATAGTAAATTTAACCGAGTAGCAAAATACTACTTCACGAAAAAAATGCGCTTTTTTAATATTAGTTATTATTACACCTAATCAAAAAAACACTGGATCTATGAATCCGTCGAGGTTTTAATGATTTTAGATAACTATTTTATATATATATTGAAAGAAGACATCTAGTATGATAGAAACGCAAAGATAAAAACTCATATATAATATATCGATGCGTCGACACAGCACACACTGCCCCAACTAAATTTTTATTTTTCAATTGTCATTCGTTCAAATAAATCTCTTTCGTTCCATCATTCAGCTGGACTACGACACGTTCATATTTTCATATTCATCACATTTTTTCCATTTCGCAAACATTGTAAATGAAACAAAAATCATCGATCTTTTCGTATTCCTGAATTATAGATAAATCGGAAAATTCAAAGAAATGCGAATCATTAGTAAGAATACCACTTATGATATAGATAAGCCAAACGATTATATCACGTTGATCTTTTACAGAGGAGCTCTGACTGCAAATTGGTCGATTGCTGGCCGTCAGACTGGACTGGGGGCAAATCGGGATGTTACAAAAAAATTAATATTACTTGAAATTTTATTCCAGTTTCATGTTTTGGTTTGACCTAGTTTACTTAACTTTTTCGGTGTTTGCAATTTCTCGTTTGAAATAAAATATTATGACATTCGTTAATCCATTGTATTGTTTATGCTATGGGGCTTACGTTTATTGACGCTTCTTTCACCATAGGCCAGAGTCCAAACAATATCAAGGCGTTTGCGGTTGATTGCGCCCCTGCTATGATTGACCGTTACCGTACCGTTCCACGAAAACATTTTTAAGAATATCAGCGGTCACTGCTTATTTTTAGACGATAGTCAGGGAGGCAGTAAATAAAATAATGGCCAGTGCGCTTAACACTGGCTTACGGTATATATTAATTATGCAATGAGAATTATGAAACCTACACTCTACGTCAGGCCTGCCCAACCTTTTTCGTCTCGCAGGCCCCTTCAAGTGACGAAATTCGTTGCGGGCCGCAAACGTTTGTACCAAACATTTTAATTCTGTACCAGCCAAGTCCTGATTTCGGTGTACGTAATTTACATAATAATAAAAAGGCAAGTTTATTAACATCAAATCAATCAATTTAATTACTGTTTTCTGGTCACTGAGTAGGGCTGGCAAATTATTCGAATATTAGAATAGCAGTTTACAATTCGAATATCTGGTAACACGGGGCGTGGACAATGTTTAAATGAGCATAATGTGCGCCACTGTTGCGGGAATATCAAGTTTAAGTGGCCCGTTTCGTAAAATTTGAAACACCAATACAAATTTTGAAGTAACATTACAAAGATTTCTGGGCGAATCACCTATATATACTGATTCGTGACCAATATGCGGCAATGCCGTTAAGTCAATTTTATCAGAATTATTGACGGATACGCAGTGACGATATTTCCGAAATCTTATATATTTAACCCAAACATTTGATAAAAAAAATACAAACATAAAGAGACAACGAGTCCCAGGACCAGTACCAAAGATATTGTTGACATTTTATTTTACGCTGGCAATAAAGACGATCAAAGCAGACACGTAAGAAAACAATCAGAATGAAATTAATTCGCAAATTTAGGCCCCAAATTCATTCCCATAATTGCGCTCAGCGTCCGTCCTCAATGATCGCACAATGTCTTTCGAGTTCGTCGAACAGAACGCTCAGTTCTGCGAGAAATAAAAAAAAAACTGACGTCGATGCCCATCAGGGTGCAAGACTTGACACATACGTAATAATAAGAACCGGCATTTGAATGTAGATAGATGGCGGGAATAATCAAACCAAAATCAGAAACGTACTTAACCCTATATATTAATAAATAACATAGTAAAAACATAAAAAGTCTGCTTACAAACTTTATAGGGCGGGCCACAAAAAACGGTTCGGCGGGCCGCGGGTTGGGCAGCCTTGCTCTACCTCTACATCGGAGTAAGATGGCTTTCCAATGGGTACTGCCTTACACCAGCACGACCAGTCACTGCTCGACAACTAGGATTGGTTTTTCGCGCCTCCCTTTACTCTGGAACGCCATTTTTATATTTTCTCCTATTCAATGTTCGAACCAAGTGTATTTTCAGTTTGGTGAACGAACAACCTTCTGACTGATTTTACTACATTTTTTGATATATACGATTGTTGAATACCTGCAAACTTGCGATCCGGGTCTTGGGAAAGATGTTATGGTGATAAAAAAATTACATCGCATACACGACAGAAATATATATATTCTATAAATTTAATGAACTCAAGTTCAATGTTTCCCATTAATCGTCCTAAATTTGACCAAATTGAAATATTTTCACGTGCGGGATCGGGTTGAAAAGTTTTTCTGCTATTGATGGTAAGAGCAACCGCATTTGACAAATATATATATATATATGTTTAAAGAAACATAAGACTGTTTTTGGCCAAAATCTAGCACGATATTCATAAGCTGGTTGCGTTTCACTAGGCTCCCGATATAATCAGACTAATGATAATAAAGATTAAATTTATTTCTACTTTTTAGTCAGGTTACTTTTACAATTGAAAAACCCGCTGCTTCCTGGTTTCCATCCAAACATTTTGTCACTATATTTTCACGTAGAAACGATGTCTTCCAGATGCAAAAATGTATACCTTGGTTGGAGATAATTCGTCAACTGTACGATTTTATCAAGCTTGGGGTGAACAAAACAAGTAGATCATTATCGGCACTTCATTGATTAAAAGAAAACAAAATATCAGAGACGACGCGGTCAGAAGGAAATTCGAAAACGTTTTACCCTAGAAATTGATCAGGACACTGATTCGATGTTATATGCGCCTATGAGAGTTTATTTTTGGACCACCAATTAAGCAAAATGCTACTCATGGATCAGAGAAGAATCGACGTAACGACAGACAAACAGTTTTAATATCGCCAAGCCCAATAAACCATCGGCATACGAATTAAAAGCAATGTCCAGAAGAGTCATGTAGTCACAGTCCCACCCAATAATAAATATAGCTCTGTAAAGATGAAGAAAAAAGCATGACTCTCAGAAGGAAGGATTCTCAATAGCTTCAGGCTTGACAGTTGGAGCACTATGAATTCTTCACCAACGCATCGGTTAATTGGTGGGGACATTCCTGTGGTGTGTAGGTATGAGCAAGCGGACTTCCTGACATCGCGGAAACTGCTGGTATTTCCCTAATTCTGATAAGGGAACACGAGAGAAAATTGAAGTTATAGGATAGTATTTGAGTTTATTTCGGGGGAGAGAAAGGCCGACAACACGGCTTAATCATATGGCGAACCACGACCCCTCGCCAGTTCATGTCGGGTATGGGATTATCTGGCTAGTTATTTGTTTTCGGAAGCATGAAATTTAAAACAAACACAGTAGAAAGGCAATTTTCAAACTGCCGGTGATGGAGATTTCGTTAATTTCAACCAGTCGAGCTACTGTTGTTTGATCACTTTTCAGTTTCCCAGAATATGGACCAATCATTATTTCACTGTAAATTTCCAATATAATTACGATCGAAAAATTGAAAATACAGACTGTTACAGTTTGAAGAAAAACGGCATTTAAACGTTGAAGAGGAGAAGCGATATATATATATATCATGCTTGTGTAGTGGATGAAGTAACCAAGACACTGCTACAGTCTTTGCGAACATGATCAAGATATAATAAATTGAAGTAAATAAAATAATAATAAAAAATCAGACACAACTATCAAAATGCAACAAATTTGTTCTGACGAATGGATAAAATCCCTTCACATTCATTCAATTTGACAAACTTTAAATTTTCTGTCTTTGGCATGTTGTAAGCTGGGATAAAAATAATTAGGTATTTGAAAAACTTTTAGCCTGGATGGTAAACGGCAATGTAATAAAACCAAAGAATATGTCCACTTTCTATTGATTGAGGTAACTGTGTTTTACAATGTTTCCAGACCAATAGGCTTTTTAGTTTCCAGGGTTGGTTAGTTACATACATACATAATATTTAATTTACTAGTGAAAATACAACAGTTGCTTCGTGTTTTGTGAATTTCATTGAGAATTTGGATGTACGCCCATGAACACCAAGTATTCATTGTATAAATCATTTCACCGCACACCAATATTAGCACTTCTCCTTGGGCCGCACAATTTTTCCCACGGGCTGCAGGTTGCACACCACTGGCATAATCAATGAAATGGGACAAATAATAATGAATTGCACATTAAATAAAGCATATGAAATTATTCAACAATAAAAATGACAGTAGTTTTTCATATTCAAATTACTTGAAATCAAGGATTTCTTTGCTCACTCATTCTAATTCATTTAAACTTCTTATGTTAGCAAGAACTGGAATTTGGGAGCATTGCTTGCTATATCACGAACAATGTTGATTTTTCCAAGGCGTATGTTACCTCATATTCATCAGTTTTATGCGGAAACTTGAATATATACCAGCAATATAGGAACTATTTTGAGACACAGAAAATATCAAACCTGAGAACACAGATATAAAACACATTGATACCGCGTTAATAACTAGAAGACAGACAAATCAGATATTTAGATTCTTAACAGATTTTAAATTGATAATATTCTAATATATTCCTAAAATTAGGAATTTACTGTATTGAAAACAACCAATTTCAAAATATTTGAATACTTGGTGCGTTTTGGACATCCCCGATAACAACAAAGTCAACACATATGAGAAAGTAGTTGTCAATAAAGAAAAATCAGGAATTATCAGATACTTGTTTGTCAATAACTACAAATAATTGAAAAACATTTTTCAAATCTGCAATATCATTAATGAAAAAGTGTCTTGAAATTTATAATACTGCTTAAATATATTTAAATTAATAATTGCGTCATTTCATTAAGTTCTATTACGGTACTTCGTATATTCTATCAAAAAAAGTTGGCTTCAGCAGTCAGAGTCCGCTGTTTTTGTTGATTTAAGGGGTATGTTTTGTATTTTATTGTAAAATTTCTTAGTAGTTTTTGAACCTTTTTGTGAGGGAATGTCTGCACTGGGTTTCGAATTTCAAAACAATACAGTTTGTCAATGTCAAAGTTTTCATAGTCCAACTTTGCTATCTCGACATGCAAGCTGGATTCAAAACTTCATTTAATCTGAAGTCATGGGCTGGATATTTGTATGCTGTGCAATCAGATATAGATTTCCTCCATCTTAACAGATCTGGTACAGGGAAGAGAAAATCGAAGATTATGGATTATTGGAAATGGATGAATCTGAAACCATGGACACCAGCATATAACACATTATACTTCCTATATTTGCTCAATGAGACCTCAGACCCTTGCATGTTAGAGTGCGACAAAAAATTGATAAAAAAAATAATATATAAATGTTATACCCTTAGAATACTGAAACAAAACTTTTTGCCATTCAAATAAAAGTTAATAATAAAAATTTATCCCGTTCCAAATTATTACAAAAAAAAATTACAAGATGCAACAAACCAAGGTATATGCCATGTGAAAGTGATATGAGATCATTACAGAATAGGATAACTTGCAAAACTATTATTTTACTACAAAAAAACAGTAATCTTACGCTTCAATACATGGAAAATTTTGAAACGGTTTCTCAGGAAATGTTGCAACAAATAAATTATATGGGCAGTTTTTTTTCAGAAGCAAGCTTATGGTTTTGCATCACAATGAATTTGAATTAGTTGGATAGAATTGGACACAAGAACTCTATAAAACAACTTGTTTAAGGACATTCCTGTTTTGATTGTCAATATATAAAAACAAAAAAAAATATTTATTAAAAAAAGTTTTCGAGTTGACAAATTTCACAAATGATTTTTAGTATATCAAAATGCTTCAATTGAATGAAAAAGATTCCGATTTTAACAAAAGTGAAAAAATCTCATTACTACAATACCATATATATATATATATATTATTCATGATTACTGCACAAAAGAAAATCATATTAGACGCAATATTAAGATTATAAAATACCTAACTAAACATGCTACCCTGTCATCTAATTCTGCCATTAGATTTTATGTTCGTCAACTCAGACTTTGGATCAGGATATAAAGACGACCATGCAACATTTTTGCACAATTTTGGCGAAAGTCTATGTTTTGTGTAGCAGTTGGTTTCCCTTGGAAGAGCCATGGACCATGCACTTCCATCTGATGAAGCGAGGCAAATACTGTCTGCCGTCCAGGCATCCGCTACTACTTCATCAATCCACGACTCGAGATCTTCACCGACATAGGCCGCACGCTCTTCGAGAGAAGCTTCTGCGCCGTAGTCGCGTCGTAAATTCAAAGTAGTACGAATCGAGTATAGATTACGCCTAGCGGAATTGAGTTCGTCATCGTTAGTGACACCTCTATTATCGGTAACAAGACTTACATCGTTTACAGCTCCATCGCGATATCGGAGCGGAGCAACAATAAATGACAGTTCCGCAGCTGCTTTTTGAAATTGTCGCTGTGCATAAAAGCGTACTTTCCATTTACCAGGACGCAATGGCTTTTGAAGATTTAATGGAGTGTCTGTGACACCTGCCGTTTTTGCTGGCGTTCTGAAATCGTTATAATCTGCTACAACATTCAGTGGGTCTATGAGAACTACAGTGACTATAAAATCTTCTTTAGAATTCGACCACTTTGCAACCAATCGTGGTTCGCTCAGTGGACCGATAATTCCACCCCAATCCCTCAGAACAAGTTCTTTCACATCCCAATTTGTACCGATAGCAGCCCACTCTAAACGAGAAGCTAGAGTAGAACCACTATCGAGAATTTCTAATGGTTGTTTTCTAGGAACTAATGTTTGCAATGTTACACTACTTGGTTGCCTAGATTGAGATCTTGGATGTTTTTTATCTTCCTGCATCCAACGTGCATCAAATGTTACAACATAGCCTTTGAACTCTTCTTGATATCGATACATTTCAACCTGAAATTTGCATAAACAAATAGAGATTTTGAAGAAAAGACAATTGGTTCAAACAGATTTCTTCAATAAAAGAAAATCATGGATATAAAAAATCTTACCTTTTACATATTTCAAAGAAAACGAAACTTATGTGCAAAGCTTCCTGGATTAATAAAACTTTTCGGTACAATCATACACAAATTGAAATATAAGTGTTAAATATATTTTCTCCATTTTTGTAGAAGTAATTAAGAAATTTAAGGGTTCCGTCGATATGGGTCACTCTGTATGATTAAAACTAGGAAATAGAAACAAGAATTACCGTTTTAAGTTGAGTAAGTCTCAAGAAACACTCAGTATTTGGAGTATCATCAGTTAGAACGGGGTTAATCTTCGATAATCCAAGCCTCGCGAACGAGTGATAATGAGTCAATAGAGAATCACTTGATAACGTTTCATCGAGATAATCATAAACGTTTTCCCAGTAAGATCGTATTGACGGTGAACCCGATGGATATTCTCCGTATAATTTGAAATCCAGATGATTGACCTGAATTCAAAAAAATGTGTGATTTCGAAATCATTCGGTAAATTAAAATATTGACGAATAGAAGAAACGCTCAGTGACCGCAAATATGAACCACACATCATTGATTAACACAAATTAAAACTGTTCAATTAATATAAATGTATTATTGGTAAAAAATACCCATAACCGTTTCCAAAGTAACTCTTAATTGAGAAACAATAGAACTCAACAGAAGTAACATCAACATGATAATTTCAATTTCACAGCTGATTGGTCACGATCAGTCACCTGTGACTGATGACATACATCGCTGGTAATGCTAGGCAATTTTAGGAATAGTTGTCAGAAATACCATAAAGAGTTAGCAAAAGCAAAAATAGCGAATTGGTTATCAATCTTCATGCCAGACCTGGACAGGTGAAAAAAAGGCCGAGGTTAAAAAGCCTATCAGACTTTTAACATAGGCTTACTAGTTGTTGCAGGCACAAAAATTCTTATAATATGCGTCGCTCACTTCGCACAATCTAGCTTTGGGCATTGTAACGTCATATGCATAAATTGAACCAGGTATTAGCTTGGTCGGGATTGCTCGCTCGTTACACACCTCTGCTGTAGATAATACAATTAATATATCGAATAAATGTTGTTAAAATACAGCAACTAACCACTTCCTGATTTATGCTTTCCTCAAATTTTCTGGCAAAAAACACAGGTCTTGATGTTTGTAGTCTTGTGAGATCTTGTGGAAAGAAATCGTTTGGAGAACATCCACACCAGTCTACGATATGCTGAAAATCAAGTTATTACTCAGTTCTGACGATTCTGTGCATTTAATGTCAGAACTAACTTCGTTTGGACTATAAGAGTAGCAATTAAAAATAAAACAAACTATCTTCAAATACAGTGTGATGTATACGATGTACAAATTTTAATAGCATAAACATATAGTAAGATTCTTTTTCCATTTGATTATTGAAGTTCAATTCAGTTCAAATCAGAAAAATGAAGTTTCTTCTTTTAGAATTGTGTATTATGAAAAGCATTTGTCAAAAACAGAGTATTTTATTAACATAGATACTGGGAAATAATGAAAGTTTAATAGAAAAATTCACATAACTGAAATTACAATTTTCACCATGAAAAAATAATGAAGGTTCAATAGAAAATTTCACATAACTGAAATTACAATTTTCACCATGATTATCTTGCAAAATAGATGCATTTAAAGCATATGAAATCGAATTTTATTGCAAAACAAAATTTGAAATTACGTAATTGCAAATATACAGATGTGAACTTTAGTCCACACCAATGAATTAAACAACCACGCTTGATTTGAAACAGGCTACGCCCTTTTTTGATATTAAACATATTACCAGGACGACTATATAAAAGTACAAATCACATAAAGGTGTCCACACCCATTTAGTAAACAACCTTTTCTCCTTCTAACCCTTAGGTAGAGAAATACATTGAGGCTACGTACCTTGTATTGACACTTGCAACCTCGAGCTCTGTTCCAATTTGTTACTCTCAAATTATTATCAACGAATGACTCGCATTTGTCACTGTTTTGTGCAAGTGTGTGAAAAAAAGATTCCGCAGGCAGGAGTGTATATTTGTACCTAAAAATTTCAAACACTATTTCAAACAAATGATAAATGTGGTACGATGGCCTAGCGGTTGGGACGTTGGACTTTACTGTGTTGGAATTATAGGTTATATACCAGGGATGGGAAAGATTTTTAGATCAGGCACCAAAAATTATAAGCCTTGTGCCAAAACTAAATTTAATCACATTCTCAACAAATTCCTTGAACTATTTTTTAACTTAAACATCGAAATTTGGTTTTAATTTGGTTGTGGCGAAGCCAGGCGGGCCAGATTGAATGACCCTACGGGCCGAATTTGGCCAGTGGGACCTGGCTGTAAATAAAATATTCCTGTGACAATTTCATATTTTTGATATTGATATGAGTATCTATACAAGTTACAGAAAGTACACAAAATATAAATTAAATTGAATGATTTAGTAGATTTTGAATCAAGACTTTTTATTACTATAATATCGTTCAAAACATTTTTACCAACCAGTGTTTCAAATCTGTCAGGAGTTGATCGTTTCCATTAATAACGTAGTCACAATATTCTCTGTTTAAAGCAACCCAGTCGCTTCCACCATTTAATGTGATTCCTGTGATGGAAATATAGAAAATGCAGAGTATTCAATGTGAAAATGTATATGAATAAGATACATACATTAATATAGGTCATGTAAAAACAAAACAAGAGTTTCAAAAAATTAATTTTGAGATATTTTAGAAATTATTCATGAGTCAATCCAAGCTGCATAATATCAATTTCGAAAAAAATTACAGAATATTATTTTTTTATTACAGGAATGTAATACATTGTTGCTACGCTGTCAAACCATGTTGAATACATATTCCAAGTATGTAGATAGCTATGTCTTTGCCTTTTTTTTTTTATTATTAAAAGTTCTTGTTGTGCTTGTAGTTATAACTTATCATCCTTAATTTATTTTAACTTGCAATATTTATTGCTACTGAATAGGGCAAAATTTTTGAAGACCGTGCATAAGTAGATAGTTCAACTTTTTGAATCTATATGCATTAAAATCATCAATGTTGCTACGGAAGCAAAAAAATGCATATTTTACATTACAAAATCGAAATCGAACAAACCTTTTGGCAATTCCCTTTCTCCCAACCTCCACATATGTGTCTCACATTCTACAAATACTCTGTTGAGACCCTGACAAAAATAACAATAAAGTTTGATAAGTTCATGAACATTTATGAGATAGTTGACCAATTATTAAACTGAAAATAAAACCTTTATTAAATATTAATCTATGAATGATTATAGAAACAATACATGATAAATAAAAACATAGCTTTATTACAATTATTATTATTATTACAATGAACTGTTATTCGATCACGCTCAATGTTTACAGTATTTAAATTCAAGGTTTTCAATTCAAATTAAATTTAAAAACATAAAGGCAAAATTTTAAGTTCCCAATTTTATAGAAAAAATATATATAGGGTTTTGATAAACTCATTACAAATTCAATTTTGTTATGAAGTTGAAAATATCTATGAATTAACCAGGTTTATTTTTTTTAATCAGTGTTTATTATTATTTTTTTCTCCATTCAACACTTTTGTATGCCAATCATGCATGAAGCACATCATTCAATCATTTAATAGAGAACTTTGTGAACATTTTATGTTTCGAAGCTTTAAAATTTGAAAACATAAATAATTGGTTCCCATGGTATATAAGCTTTTCATTTATTTTCGCGTACAATCGTAAAGCATATATACAAAAGAGAAAACATTTTTCATGTAATTTCATAGATAGAAGCAGATTCACAACCATGTGAGAATGACGTGGAACAAAATATGCACAATGCCTAATATCGTCATAATCATATAAATATTTGATCATCTTTCTAGATATTATTAAAATCCTATTATAAGCAAGTGTATGTAGCATTGAATTACTGTTGATCACCATTTTATTATTATTCCTATACTAATCTTCTGTTGCTACCATGCATTATTGATACATGGACTGTAATCTCTATTTGAAGACAATTGGAAACGTTCCAAAAAAATATGGCAAAAGTGAAATGATATCAACTGCACTTAAATCAATCGGTTGGTATATCTTCTTCCCGCAATAACATAGGTTTTTGAAGTATAATGGGATAGCAATTTACTTTGAACATTACAAATTTACCATATTTCATGATTGATCTATCATAAAAATCAATTTAATCATTCATATTATATTAAAATGTTTTTCAACAAGCTTTTTAAAATATAGATAGGATATTCTTCTATTTCATCACTCATTTTTTTCGAAAAACAATTTCAGCCAATAAGTAGACCGAAATTCTGTTAGCGATGAGCAACACACCTGTTTTCTTATAAATTTTTCATCATCTCTTCCATGCGACTTCATGAAATTTTTATCTCTGTACTTTGTCATAAAACTGACCTGAAAAAGAATTTTAACAATATTTTTGTTAATTTATTTTATAATACTTTTCTAGAATTAGGAAACCGTGAATTAATAATCACAAAAGTAGTTTACGAAAAACATAAACCGGTAGGTTACAAAAACTGCAAGTAGAAATTGAAAAAAGATTTCGTTTCAGTATTTATATTTTGCTTCTGAATGAGTACGACAGACCATGTTTTAGTAATACAAACAGATAGAATTTTCAAATAAATATTATAGTTTGATTAACTTAGAAATTAAAATTAGGTATTCTTTGGACTAAGTAGAAAACCATAGTTATTATAGTTATTGAGTTTTCAATCATCTATCTACAAGTAGACAACGCCTGCATATTATTTCCGAATATAATAGCCAGGACAATCTGTATTGTGACGGAATAGCAAACATCACTCCAGCAATAAGAGAATTGGCAAACATTAAACTACTAAATTAAATGACAATGTCATAAAGAATAGTGGACATGCCCATGGTAAATAAATTTTTATGTTACTTTGACAGTGTTGATGTTGAGTTCACATAACTACCATTGAAACAAGGCAAATTTTTTCACAATAATACTTAACTAACAAACAGACAGTCCGTATAGTAGCGAGAGCTTAACAACCCTGAAGGGTAAATTTACTCCCGGCACTAGGGACTTATTACAACAGTTCCTAAAGTTTGGAAATAAGATTATTCATTATTTTCAGAAATTGAAAAAAAAAAAACTCGCATCCCCATGTTAACAAAAATACTTTCACAAACAAGCTATTTCAGAAAAAATTTACTGGGACCTCAAATATATAAAGTAAAGCAAAATTCAGAAGCGTTAAGAAGCGACAGATTTTTCTTAGTTTGGTAATGGTGACACAAATGAATAATAAACAATTTAACAACAGTTTAAAAGAAAATTATTGTAAAACATTTCAAATATTATTTTTAAAATTTATATTATTTTTAAAATTTAATATGCTTAGCCTAACTCGGATCGTCCAGAAAAGCTTGAAAAACATAGCCGAGTAAAACCAAAATTTATGATGCCAAGATAGGTATGTTACTACCAATCTAACTCAAAATAACCCTTTTTCTTAGTAAAATTGTGATAAAGTTTCTAGTATTATATAATTTATAAAGAATTTTTAACACCAAGTTAATCAGACACCGATATTTCATACCAGCAGTAAAGAGATATAATACACACACAAATAAAACTTACAAATTTATCGTGGGTTTCAACAGGAAAGTCCAGGGCACTCAAGTTCACAAAGAAATCCCATTTGGACCATAAACTCACGACATCTTTCATTGCTCTCAATAACATTTGAAGAAGACTTGATCCACCCCAGATTGTCGCCATTCTCCATGGAGCTACTTGAACGTTGGAATACTTTGTTGCAATTTGTAAAATTTCCCTGAAAGCAAATTAAATGCTATTTGCTACTTTTCAAAATGCCTGTTAAGGTAAAAATTCCCTAATAACCATTTTAACACATTTAGAATTGATCAGACCAGTCTAATGGATCACTTAATGAAAACCATAGTAAACATTATAAATTCTAAAAACATTCTAAATCACCTAAAAAGGATTAACTAGAACTGCTTAAATAACCGGTAAAAAACATTGATTTTACTTTTTTACTAAGCTTATAATGGGATATAGGATTTACATATTTATTCCGGGAGCGAGATAAGTCAATAAAACGACATAATCTTATGGCGAACCACGACCTCTCATCCGGTTACCAGTTCATGTTGGGTATGGGATCAGTAAGCCAGTTATTTGTTTTCAGATGCGTGGACTTGATGGTAAAGGAAGTCGGGATATGCTTACTTTCTGAAAAATGTGCAAAATTAATTACTGACGTCTGTTATGGCAACACAGAATTCTGTTGGTATTGTGATACAATTTACAGTATATGTGAATACAAGTGTGCTTCTCACAGACGGAAGCTTTGAATTGTGCATGCTAATAATATTATTCGTAAATATGAGATCATCATATTCATGCAACTTGAAATCAATTGGTATCTATGAGATAATGCTAATGCTGTCTTTTGATCAATTTGTGACCTGGCAATCATCAATAACTATGGTGTCATTTGAGCGAAGATGAGGTTAGATAAAAACTATGTGCATTCCTGTAGGAGAATTCTTATTTACAATGCATAAGCCATTCAGACAACATTTAGAGTCATTCTTATTAATATGACAGTAATTCATAATCAATATTATCCTAAATCTACAGCTTATACAAGAATATGAGCTGTTTCTGGAAAAATTTCACTGCTCATTTGGTTATTTCATTTGGTTAATGAAAAGAGATCAAATAGTAGCCTAGTACATAGAATTTCAAAATACATAAAATACTGAAAGGACGGAATTTTATTTAGTTTGTTTCATCCATAACTTATATATCTGATTGAATATAAACTTTTGCAAACTATGATATTGAAAAAGCAAGAAAGTTACATAAAGCAATTAGTCTGTATCCATAGTGCGATACCAAACAGTCAAAATTTCTGACAGTAAAAACCTTTTTTTTTAACTATGAGACTAATGAAAAATGTATTATTTTACAATTATGTCAATTTTTTTTTAGTTGAGCACTCGTCATCGAATCAGGGAATTAAAGTCAGATACAAGAAGTGAAGTATTCCCTAAGGACAATTATAGAACATCCAACAAGTCCATTAACATTTCGCAGCTCAGGAATAAAAGATCACAAATTTAAATTCTCAAAAAAGCATGGACCACGATTAAAGCAAGCTGTTCAGGGAAGATCATATATGGCCATACATATAAATGCGTGACTAGAACAAAACTACCGGTACATTTTCTTATTCTCAATTTTCAACAGGTTCCGATAATAAAATATGTATGAGAAGAGACTGCAATACCTGTGAAGAAAATCAGATCTCTTATCGACGTGAATATAATAAAAATGATCTTTGTGATATAGAAGTTTGAAGAGACGTTTAAATTGTCGAATGGCCCGACCATGAACAACAAGCATGTAACAAATTCTGACAGGTTTTAAAGATTCATCGTAAGACTGAGGAATTGGAGCTTGTGCAGTATACTTTCCAGGATGTGGACAGTACCTGGAATTTGAAAAAAATTTGATTTTGATTAAAACTAATACAATTGCAAAGATATTTGAAAACATGAAATATTATTACACATTATGATATGATAGTAAATAGTACCTGGGGATGAATACATAATTTGATTTTACTTACATTCAGATCTCAGATGAATACGTTTTACTTAAGAATGAATATTTATAAATAATATACAAGAACATGGAAAACTTATGTTCGAACTGAACTTAGTATGAAACAATTCTTGGTAATTTATCTCAAATGAAATAATTACCCTATTGGCATAAAACAGGAATGTATAATTTTGAGATGTGATATCTCTACTTTTTTTATCTTTTTTTCGGGATAATCTAAAACCAGAAGTAAATTCATATCATAAGGTGTTTGGGCGCTGCAGAAGTATGTGTACCAATATGGAGATAACTAATTTTGTTCGCCTACTTTACATCAAGTTGTGTAAAGGGACTGAAGCCTATGGACGAGGGGTATATTCACTTGGATAACACAGACAGTCACCGAACTCGTAATAGAACTAAAATGAGGAAAAACGGAATATAATTATGGCCTAACCCTAACCCGGTACACGTACTGCGGGAGTACCAGTGTTTGGGTTATAATTGAAGAATACTGTGAAGTTTTCACATGCCCTAGATTTTTAAATATTCAAATATTATGTGGGCGGTTGTTTGTTAATTCCACACCATTATGTTATCATTCATACAAGGCAACAATATGGCAAACTGTTCAACTTCCTCAAAGGATATGGCATTTCACTAAGGTATTCACACCTTTGTATTCTAGCTAGCCGTGAATTTAGTCATTGAAATAAACAAACAGTGGAACGAGTAATATGATAAGGTGTTACACAGGAAAAATTTTCTTTAAGGCCAGGCCTATAGAATCACATTGTGTTTTATCATAAACATGACAATAAATAAACAATATTTATTAATATAATTAATCATGGTGCACCCATTAGCTAAATTCCATTCATGGGAGGTGACTAATATAATATGAAATATTCACATGTATACAAAATTGCTATCTGATGTTTCAATGAAAGTTACAATGTTTAGCATGTTGGAAGACACATGTTTTACATACGTATTGCACAGCTGGACATTCACAGACTGTACACATTTGTGTACGTGCATAAAAACCATAAATATTATTTGACTATTTGCTGATGATGCAACATATAGAAATAACAATGGAGACAAGTATTATGATTACTAAAAAATAATAAACACCACTGAAATACGGACAGACCTTGGCATTGATTCTGGAAAAAGAGTATTATTCTGAGACATACACGCAGTATCAGCAATTTCCTGTTTACAAGCGTTCGTCTTAGCCCTGGATATGGCGGATAATGCATCCTTATGAGTAACATCACAACTGCAAAATATATGAAACAAGATTTTAATTATTAGATAATAAATCATAAACACAAATTGACACGACTTACGGCTTTCAGATAGAACATTAAGTCAAATATAATCGATTAGGGATGTGGAATACCATCGAAAATGCAATTAGTGACTTGGTCACGTAGTTAACATGGCTAAAAATGTATAAATGATATTACAAATAAAACTACATATATCCAGAAAATAGTATTATTCCCAAACAGAAACTTATTATTAAACAGAAAATTATTCCCAAAAAAAATATAATCAGCGAACTTAAATTGCAGAGACAAATTTTAGAAAACTTGAGCTGGAGTGTCATTGACAAAGGCAACATAAATAGCTCAAATTAGTGTTGCAAGAATACTAACGAAGATGCTTCATGTTGCAAAACTTTCATTATAAATAAAGTCACCAACACCTAAAATGTCATTCTTCAAACAACCTAATTAACCAGAGAAAGGCTTCAAATCAATTCGAGTGATCTTGACAGATGACCTATCAAGTACCAACATCCCACATACCAAATTATTTTTTGAAAGACTAAGATAAGACAATTGAACTGTCTTGCCTTCTTGTCAAGATGAAAGAACACAAACGTTATATATCAGTTCAATTGGCAAACGCAAAAAGGAATATAATGAACTCATCGATGCTAATATACACATGTGGGATGTGGCACAGTGCAAAATCATAAAAACTACCATATATCCCCACATATAAGCCGAGTTTAAACCCCCAAAAACGTTTTCAGACTAAGGGGAGGGCTTATACACGCATAACTCTGATTGCCCTAAAATTCGGCATATATGCACATAACCCTGATCGCAATGAAGCAACCATTTGCTATGATAGGTTAGTATGGCGTGTTACGATCAGCTTATATGCAAATTTGTATAAATTCACTGTTTTAGGGAGTCTACCTCTAAACCTTCAAAAACTCATTATGACATATGAATATGAGGAATAAGTTAACGACAAATGATTCAAACCAATTAAAAATGATGTAAGAAAATCTAACCTTGGTTTATACGGTTTCTCGTAAAACACTTTTCCTGTTCTCTTATCGAATGATGACTTTAAATCTGATTCTTCTCCAATGTTTTTCTTATTCATGTTTAGAGAGTTCTGGAGAAAATTATTTTTACTTTATTAATATTGTAACAGGGCAGGAATTTATTAAAGAGAATGAAACGAAAAGCAAGGATTGTCACCGAAAAATTTAGCTGTTTTGTTAATTCTTCAATATGACCATAGGATAATTTTATACTTGCGATAAATCAACAGAGACACAGGATGACTATATAAACTGAATGCATGTAACAATAAACTTTTCATACTTTAACAACATAATCTTCTAATACATCAATATTCTTTGCATCTCTTATAAATCGTTCTCTGATGTTGGGGTCATGAGCATTGAAGCCATCCTCATTATGGTTACGAGCCAATATTGATTTCTCTCCTTTTAACATATCATGTGCCATCTGAAAAAGAATTTGCATCAGAGATTGCAGATGACAAAAAATTTCATGTGTTATATCAATATTTTTGAACCTTCCTCAATTTCTCTATTCTATTTGTTGTAGTGTATGTGAAAACAGTCTTACTCATTTTTAATCATAAATAGTGGTGGCCTAGTGGTTAAAGTGTCATACTCAACTATGATGTCAGCGCAGGTTAAAATCTTGGGTTCAAATCCCATGCCCAGCACCGCACTTGCAATGAATCGTCCATACTGGAAATATTCCAGTACTTTTAAACTATAGTGCCTCCTTATGAAGCAGTGGCTTCTTGTGCAGAGCCATGTTCAGAGCAAATGGTGTATAATTATGCCATATATAAAATAAGAATATGGCAGAGGCAATGTATATCCATGAGCCATTATGAAGAGTGCTGTGTTCTAAATATAATTATGCAAAAAGCATTATCGTTCAGAATTTTAGGAGAAGGTACGAACCGCATTGCGTCGATCGATTCGTGATTGCTTGAGCTGTCTCATTTTTTCTTCCTCTAAAAGATTTGGTCCAGAATTGAATGCAAAAAACACCTGGATGAATTATTAGTAAATAATTAGTACCGGTATTTTATTTTTCCTTAACCAGACATAATCAGTTTTAACCCTTTCCGTGCGGTGGGCACGTATACATACCAACGACAAAAGTCGCTAGATTGCGGCGGGTACGTTGATGTACCCCACTGTTTTATTTAGCAATCGGTCGCAAACTGTTGGTCTAGTTTTTCCGGGTTTTAGTTTATTGATAAGAAGTCTTCTTCAAGATTAACATAAGCGACGGTAAATCTCGCTTTCGTTTACGACGGGAATTTTATTTGCGGCGGAACGAGGGAGTGTTTTTGAAATTTATGCAAATTTCAGTGTTTTTTGGGTGGTAATAGAAGACATATTATCCCTTCCATCTACCAGAGTATTTTGAGTTAGATCACGAAATTGCTACAGCAATATTATGCTATTGTTTGCCAACCACGAAGCGGTAACAGTAAAGGATTTAGCGAATATTTCTATTTTTTATCACGGTTTGAAGTTTCAACTCCCAAGAAAAAAAAATGCCTTTTTTCTATTCGGTTTGTGACTCAGACCACCACTTTTAAAAAACTTTTTTTTTAATCGCCAATTGCAAGCTCTTTAAATAAGCTTTCCAACGAGCCGTCAGTGGGAAGCAGAGGATCATTAGTTTTTCGTTAGTCAATCGATTAGTTGTGGGGGTACAAATGCATAAAATCGGCGTAGCAAATACGATTATTTAATAAAAAATAAAAATCGCATGGAAAGGGTTAAATGATAATTAGGGTAACATGGTTTAGATCAGGGGTTCTCAAACGTTGGGGTGCGCCCCACAAGGGGTCATAGACAATTTTTTAAGGTGGCATGAAGCTAATTACAAATAAAAATAGTTGTTAGATTTGATTTTGCCCTTATTTGGGATATTTAGATTTTAAAACTTTTCATTTATTTCATTATTTACGTTCCATCCACGTATTTGAAATGTGTTTTTTGAAATGAAAATATACTTTCGCCTTACTATCTGTTATTTGTAGCACATTGTTATTAACTACGGTAGTTATTTTTGAGGTGGGGGCGCAATCCCAGAAATTTTAAAAGATGGGCGCAACTTAAAAAGTTTGAGAACCACTGGTTTAGATAGTTTGATTTTGTACCATCTATAAATGTGATTAGAAAAAGAAGCTTTTTAAAATATCCTATATAAAAATAATTCGTAGAGCACTCAAGAATTAAATTAGTTTTTAAAATTCAAGTTTTAAGAAGTGTCCATTAAGTAAAGTACCTGAAAGCCTAAAATCCCCAGTAATATGTAAGCAAGTGGCCTCCAGTGCCGACACATCCGGCGTATTTTCCATGCTGTCCTCACGAATCCCATTGTACTGCTTCGATATGTAAAAATATTTATGGAGGCATACTAGTGTTTATGTAAGGAATATAATACATTGGCAATCGCAATATTGCGTGACCTAACGACCGAATGCCAAAGGTTCGAGATTTCCTTTTCTATGTATCCATACCATTTAATAACTTCCTGTAGTAAAATAAATAAACGTATTGCATAAATTATTAGTTGACCACTTCGTAGTATTTCTTAACAAGTGATAAAATTTGGATGTGGAATAATATATGTAGCTGGACCTTGAAATAATTAATGTAGAAACTATTTTTAATACAAGTTTGATCAAAGCAAGACCCTGAGCCCTCAACTAACAGACTAAAATGAAAATAGTCATGACTGAAAAATAGCAGTGTGTAAAAATAGTGGTGCGGTGCATCATGCTGAGCGTTCTGAGGCGTTACAAAGCTGCTCCCTGTACTCCTTGCGGGTCTCATGTAGTTTTGTACCTAACATACTTCTAGTGAGCGTAGCATAACAATTTTTTCATGTGTCAATCCTAACCCCCACCTGACTAAGCCATCCAAAAATTACGTCACTACAACGTTACAGTGACGTAATTCAGCCTTTCAAACTATGCGAACTGTCATCCAAGACGCGCAGACGAGCACCCGAAATCCGACAGCTGTTTCTCTCGTTTTCTCGTCTCAACGATCCCCATATTAAAAAGATCGATGACGTTGGTCAGTTATTTATCGTCGACGGCGTTGCCATTTCGGGCGATCGTAAATATGTTTGGCAAGCTCTGTGACGTGATTGTGATGTCGTAGTGACGTAATTTTTGGATGGCGTAGTCAGATGGGAGTTAGGATTGACATATCAAAAAATTGTTATGCTACGCCCACTAGAGGTACGTTAGGTATGAAACTACACGAGACCCCTCCTTGCCACTGTAGGATTTTCCATGTAATCGCTGGCCGGTTACGGAATCTTCCACCTTGATCAAGTCCATGCATCTGAAACAAATAACTAGCTAACTAATCCCATACTGCCATAGCTGCATAGCCTGATAGCAGACATGGACTGGTAACCCTGTAACCGGACGAGAGGCTGTGGTTCGCTATATGACAGTATGATTGAGTCGTGTTATCTTCTTTCCTATCCCTGTGTCTCCCTGGGACAAATATGTAAATCTAATGCTAGCAAGCAATGCTAATACAGTAAAAGATATTGCACAGGCTGATTTATCCTTAAATTAAAAATATTGAAAAGGTTGCCAACTAGGTAACTGACCAATGCTGTATAAGACTATAAATAACGATGCAAGTTCAGATAACTGAACACTGGAATAAGGCAATCACAGAACTTTGTTGAATCAAAATAAAGGAATAATAGTGCAGTAGTGCTGTAGTGTGACAATACTGCAATACCGGTACCGGCAGGTACCGGTACGGTCTGACCGTACGGCTGTACGGTACGGTACCGGTACGAATTTTCTAAATACAGAAATAACATTTCGGTATCTTCTAAAAAAAATACTAACTAGGCTACTTTTCCTAAAAATTAGAAAAGTTATTATCGCTAACAGGCCAGTTACAATTATGTCAGTAGTCAGTACAGGCATGTCAACACAGAGAATTATAACGCTGACTGGCTGAGCCTCCGCTGCACTATAATGCTACCGTAACATCTGAATATGCCGTACCGGTACAGCTGTAGTTACATCAGTACGCTACACACTAGACCAGTGGTTCCCAAACTTTTTCAAAAAAATTCCACGACGGACCCCTTTCAATTTTTTTAATGATTCGCGGCCCTATGCACTTAAATAAAACATTGAAAGATCACAACAAAAAATAAATAAATGCGTCGTACGATATAGTAAAAATCCTTCTCTTCACCTGTGTTTATCACAATAAACCAACATCACAATTTTAAAAGACATTTTGAAGTTAATATTACAGAGCGAAAAACGTAAAAATATATGCATACCGTTACAATGTGTCAAAGACTAAATTTGACTGCTAAAAACTAAACGTAGTGCCTCTCTGACTACTCTCTACTTAACGTCAGTCAGTAGGTCATTATTCACCAAAATTAAAATGCACTTACTGTGAACATGAATTTAAAAAAGTTTGAAATGACATTTCACGGTGAAGGGTGGCGCGAAAAACCAAAGTTGGTTAACGCTACCTACCGTTCACTACAAAAGCGTAAAATAGCGTTTCGAAGCGGACTGGCATACTTTATAAACTACCTACTGTAACTCAATCCTACACCAACAGACGCGCAAAGGCAGGGTAAGCTACACCTCGGCAGTTAGTTAACTTATAGTGGCAGCAATTGAACTTTGTCTGTGATGTCATAGATCCGCTGCTTTGTGACATCACAATGGGACAACGTGATCGAAACAAAAAGTGAACGATCAGTGATTGGGGAACTCAAAAGGCGTCAAATTTGCAAATTTAAGCACTAAATTTTTGCATTATTTCACTATGAGGCATAGAACAGATTTCTTTCGCGGACCTTCCGAAAGTGCTTCGCGGACCCCAAAAGGTCCGCGGACCCTAGTTTGGGAACCACTGCACTAGACAGACACCAACTTCCGACCCTCTGTGATGCATCAATGCAATTTTGAAACAATACTGTATGCCAGATTGCCAGTATGTACTATCGGACTCCGCTCCTTCCCGTTTATCTCTTTCATCTTCGCAGTGCCAAGTATATCCGTTCCCTTTCATCAGTCATTGAAGTGTGATCTATTCAGGCAATACCATCGGTATCGCGGTAGCACTTAGTGTCTGACCGGCGCTGCAATCTAATCTGGCAATGCGATTGAATGGCGCGTAAGATAAGTAATCCATCCTACAGATGTGTGGCCAAAATCTGATATGAAGTACGTAGATGTCTGTTACCTGCACTTTCAATTGGAAAATTTTTTGACGAATTTGTAACAAGGCACGTAATTCGGGATGTTCCTAATTTGTTCGGTCACTTTAAAGAGCGAGTTTGAATGTTATAAACATTCCAAGAGTGATACACTGCAGACTACATTACATCGTTATTGGTATGAGTATTTGAACCACAATCCGTAGGCCTAATATATATATATATAGGGTTACCATATTTTTGTGACTTCAAATCGGGACGCCTCGAGAGACAATGACCCCTTAGCTGTGATTTTATAACTTCACATTTTCCGATTTTACTACATTCTTACATATAAAGCTGTCTAAAAATTGATAGGGGACAGAACAATAATGAAAAATCTCTCACAACTAGTCAGATTCTGGAATATGATATTTTGTATAGTAGAGATCATTTAGACTTTGTATTATTCCAAGTGTATATAGGATAGGATTTACGTATTTATCCCGGGGGAGAGGAAAGCCGATAAGACGGCTTATCCATATGGCGAACCACGGCCTCTCGTCCGGTTACCATTCCAAGTCGGGTATGGGATTAGTTTTACTGTATTGTTTGTTTTCGGAAGCATGGACTTGGTGGTGGAGGAAGCCGTAACCGACCAGCGGTTACGTGAACCACCCAACGACGGCGAGGAGTCCAGCAATCCTCTCGCACATAACCATCCATGCATGGGATTCGAACCTGCGAACCCACGCAGAGTAGTTAGAGATGCGGTGGCGAGCGTATTCCTAACGCTTAGCCCGTTGAGCCACACCGCCGCGCGTATATAATTAGAGATGTCACCTAGCATTGTACTTCTGTCATTCAAATTGAAATTCGTTATTACAAATTGTAGGCCTATGTCTATTATATCATATTTTATTTTCATATCTGATTGAACGGGTTCTAGGTATATTAATATATATATTATGTATAGTATATTGCAGCTTATACCCTTCTTTGAGCATACATGTCTTGAGTACTTCCTGTATATATTATACAACTCGTTCGGGCCTACTGTGGTTCTAGGCATCATTGAATAATTTCCTCCTGGTCTTATAATCCATCATTATAGCAGTGGAGTACTACCAACTCAATAGTACATCCTGTTAAAAGGTGAAAATTTCCCGCATCTCTAGACTTGTTAAATCATAGTGTCCATCAGTGGCGGCGCGTCAATAGGGCCAACCGGGGCAATGCCCCGGTTGTTTTTTCGGTATAATAAAAAATATTCGAAAAATACCTCAATATCGGTTGCACAGACTGTCTACACTAGCCATATTCTCCCGACATGGTTCATTTTTCGCTCGCAAAGCCTTCGCCGAACGTCGACGGGGCGACGCCGATTTTGCCCTGGTTGCTCATTGTATATCGTATTCTCTCTTTTATCTTCCACTCGCCGCGTTTGTCTCGTTTGTTTTCTGTTTCTTTTACTAAATCATCGGGGCTAGCCCCGAAATTATGACGACACAATGCCGACGTTTCTTACAACAACGTGTTGACATATTCACGCATTCCTTCTCGTTCGTTGGTTGCTTGAAGAGTTGATAGTTTCCTCGCCTTCGTTTCCAAGTGCAGTTTTAAGTAGTCTGTGGCATCTGCAGCTGCCGCAAAACCATGTCGGTATTTCCATACCATGGCCGCTACGGCCAAACTCATGGCAACAGACTTTTTAGCTGCCACAAACCAATGTCGAGCTGCCGTTACCGCGGCAGCAAATTGAAAACCAATGGCAGGTAAAATTTTGCTGCCGTAACCGCGACAGGTGGGCCGTAAAGACAAGGCTGTCTATTATGGTGACAAATATTGGGTAAGTTGGAACGTTTTTCTTATGGATACAGTTTTGATTGATTTGGGGTTAGGGTTTAAGTAGATATAATTCCACATGATCAATTAAAATCTGGTACATTAATTTGTGAATATACCGTTAATACTGAATACTGAATAGCGCTATAAAACCATGGCAAGAGCTGCCGCGGTTCGTTTGTGGCAGGAGCTGCCATGAAGTGGTAAGAACTGCGCCTCTTCGTTTTTGTCGCTTGTTTCGCTATTTGAATCAGTCAGAGACCTTTTTCGATTTGCTTTCGATTTTCCACATTCCTTTTGAGCTTCTCACTTCTTACCGGCTTCGCATTTCTTAGCCTTAGACCTCATAATGAATAAGGTTGATGCACTACTTCGCACTCCGTTTTCGCAGCTGCCGCTGGAACAAAAATTAGAGGTACAACGTCTTGGGCCTTATCAACCAAAAAATTGTTCACTGGAACAATCCCATGACGGAGGAAAGCGTCGGCGTACATTCTGCGCAGAAACTTGGTATAAAAAACACGAATGGTTGTGTTACAGCGAAGACAAAAATGCACTTTTTTGTTTTTATTGCCTACTTTTTGCTACCGCCCGTGACTCACGTTGGTGTAAATTTGGTTTTAGAGATCTTAAACATCTTTCCGAGCGTGCCAGGGATCATCAATCTTCTATGGAGCATCTGGACAATTCAGTAAAATACCAAACATTCGGAAATGTTAATATTGCAGCACAGTTGGATGAAGGACGCGCGGTTTCTATTCGTCGGCACAACCAAAACGTCGAGAAAAACCGCCATGTTCTCGGTCGATTGATAGATGTTTTGAAGTTCATTGGTTGTCACGAGCTGTCCCTCCGTGGGCACGATGAACGGGCTGGCTCTTCTAATAGAGGGGTATTTTTGGGTATGGTGGAATACACCGCATCCCTAGAGAGATCATCCTGATGCCGCAACTGTTTCGAAAGGGACATCTAAGGATATCCAAAATGATTTGCTCGACTCAATGTATAAAATTTATTTACAACATTTGGCTCTGGAAATTGAGAATTGCCAGTTCCTTTCGATTCAGTCTGACGAGACAACTGACATCACGCGCGTTTCCCAACTGGCTGTGATTTTTCGGTTTGTGAAAGATGGTAAACCTACCGAGAGATTTCACAGCTTTGTACCAATCGTTGATCGCACGGCTTGCGGGATATCGGCTGTACTGAAAGAAGTGTTACAGCCTTACAACGCGAAGTCAAAATTGATAGCTCAAACTTATGACGGCGCGGCAGTCATGAGTGGGTCGAAACATGGTGTTCAAGTTTATATAAAAGAAGATTTTCCTCATGCGCATTTTTTACATTGTTATGCACACCAAGTTAACCTCGTTATTAAAAATATGTGTCTTGATACCCCTCTCGTCCGTTTATTTTTTGCAAATGTTTCGGGGTTTTCTTCATTTTTCTCCGTTTCGCCGAAGCGCTCTGACCTCCTTCGCCAGATATGTAGCCGCCGTCTCCCAGCTTGTGCACCAACACGTTAGAACTTCCAATCACGCGTGGTGCAGGGCGTGTCCGAAATTAGGTCTGAGCTCATTGAGTGTTTCAATGGCATTCAGAGCTCTCCGATTTGGGACGAACGCTCTGTGAGGGAGGCGGCAGGTCTAAAGCGTCTGCTAGAAGATGGTGAGTTTTCATTTTTTCTCCGCAATATTCTATCACGTGGATGTATTATACGGCGCATTGCAGTCAAGGCTAATGGAAGGCTATCCGGGAAACAATAAAATACGACGACACATGGAGTGCTTCTTTACGCCGCGGGCAAACAACGCAGCGTTTGATTTTGTCTGCAAAGTGTCATTCTGGTGAATCAAATAGGCGATCGTCTGCGCACTGAACACCTTGCCGCGTTCTCTTTTATGAACCCCAAAAATTTTTCAAAATTTGCACGTCAATTTCCCATCCATTTGTTGGCAACTGTCTCCAAATTTTACCCCATGATAAACGTGGGTAAATTGGAAAATGAATTGCAATGTATATACACCAATCAAACTTTTTTGAACATCACATCAACTTGCACGTTATTTCTGTGATGCATGACTTTAATCAGCGCGTTATTGAGCATTTTGCTTCCAAGAAACCGCGGCGTGTTGCATATATGTTCAAGCAGTAGAAGTCTAGCATCATATATATCTATGAGTGAGCGACGCATTTCCTTATCTTTGCATTATCTTTCCTTTCTTCATAGTAACGTTTTAAACCTTATTTTAGGTTTTGTCTGCTTTCCCAAAGTTTCTGTTAATATATCATTGTATTTATCTGGGTAACTATTATTGCCTTTCCTTTTGAAAGAGTTTTCAAAATAAACTATGTCTATTTATTAATCCCTTGACTTGGACCGGTTTTAAAGACACTTTCTTATCGTTAAAAATTGTCGCTTTTGCCGATTGGTTGTTACCGATGGAATGGTTTTTATACTCATAAAATGATGGGAGAACTTACAGCGCTCATCCTGTCCCCTTAGATGGGGGTGACTTGGTCCCGCAGTAGCTTGCCCCGGTTGTCAAAATGACCACGCGCCGCCACTGGTGTCCATTATAAATCAACTATTTACTCAATCACAAAAAAAAAATTATATTTCAATTATTTAACATTGAAATAAATCCTCAAACACACTTGGCAATGTTAAATGCCAGTTGTGTTTAGGTTGAATTGCTCTACATTCGAGACCCTTTGACTTGATATACTAATCTAGTACTATTCCCTAGAAACCATTCTTCTCCTATTCATGTACAACTCGCCAGTGATGCTTTTTATATTCATGTTTTGTGATAATGAAATTACGATACTGCATTATATTTTGCTGTTACATCAATTCATACTATTATAATTATTTACATTTTTATTTATCATTCACTTGTCTTCTTATATACTACTTTGACATCCCTCTACAAGCAAAAAAATGTTGATTATTATGCTGAAATAATGCTTGTTAGGTCCTAATAACTATTTTTTCCCCTCCTAACTAGACAAATCAAAGCAGATCATGTTCGTAACATCTTCAATGCGTACCTATGCCATGAAATGAAGCATTTCTGCTAATTCATCACATATGCGTATAAATTATTTAAATTCATTCAGTAACCTTTGGAATCTCTTCAGATTTTGAAATCCCGCTCCACATAAATAAATAAAAACGATTTACTCTAGCATTCCCCTCCCCAATTTTATTCTTCCATTTTGAGAATATAATTTTAAATTCTAGAATGTTTCTCCCCAATATTTTAGTCATCTGACACTGTGGATCTTAAACATAATAGCTTAAAGGGGGGGGGGGGGGAGTTGACTTTGATGACCGTCTGGTCGTATCACTCCCTCCTGTCTATACCAAACTAATTTATTTCTTATTGTTATTTTTATTATTATTACGATGACTGTTAATTTTGGTTGACAAAAAATAAATCTCTCTCTCTCTCTCGGCTGTCTTTATTTAACATATTGTTATCGAAATTTCATGCGCATATTCTCTGTCCAAATATCGGGTTCAGTTCGAAAATAGGAAGGAATTGACGTTAACGATACCGGTACAAATAATTCGAATTTAGACTAATTAGTATTGGTTTTACATGCGATACGTCTGCCATCAATGGGAATCAGCGGAAAACGAACGCATTCACCTTCAGCAAGTAGGCTAGCGCTGCGCTACACAGAAACAACAGTAACGAGAACATGTTTGTGTATTATGCTGGAAAAGCGGGACTTTTGGCTGACTTATCGGGACGGCGGGACAAAACGCTGAAAAGCGGGACTGTCACGCCTAAAGCGGGACGTATGGTAAGCCTATATCAACGACTAACATACCGCCTATATATATACAGTATATACCTGTAACTTCATTTGTAATCTTTTGCTCTAGTCTAAACAAATGAATAAAAAAACGAAATTCCTAATCATCGGCTGTCTTGAACGACTCTCATTGCATGCATGTTAACTTTTCTCGTTTCCGCAAGGCACATGATTCTTCATCTGGAAACAGATTAATTTATTTTTAAATATTCTCTAATCTTTGTCATTTCTTCCAATGGTTTCAATAAAAATATATCATTGATTCGAAACTATCTATTTGGCGAATAGCCTACTATCATGAAGTGACTTCCAAGTGTATTTAGATTCGATTCCACAATGAGAATATATATTCTCATTGGATGCCAACACCAAACTCTCGAATACGGTTGCTATTTCTGAGTAGCACTGGAATAGTCTTCGCAACAAGATTTGTTTTATGGCATTATATTTAGGGTTGTAAAACTTCAAGCCGTCAACCCTAGGTCTCTCACCCACTCACACGTACAACATTGCTGAACAGCACAACGAAAAGGGTTTATCTGCAGACTTATCTCATTTATCAAGCGACAACAGAGCGAACAACAAATATTGCCTACATCGTGTGATGCATCAATATAAAATTAAGAGGCATATTGAACCAAATATAACTTTGAAATACTGACTCCCTATTGATCCTTACTATATATACACTCAATATTTAAGATACAAGTAAGTTGCATTATAATGTCTATATTTGAAAAGAAGAAAACATCCCCCTAATTTCGACAATAAGTATGTCTCTTCTCGCGGATACAAAGGAATGGATGCTCGGAGTCGAAACCTTCGACAATCTATCCACCACATTAGGGTCATGGAACAAATCTTCATTTTGAATTGTAACTTGCGTTTTTGTTCCTTCATCTCATTTCCAGAACACACATAAATGTATGTGACGAAGTGTCGGTACTCAAAAAGTAAAGTTCTTGTTTGAAACTGGCCATGGTTATTTTTGGTAGGGGATTGGTGGAAATAATCACTAGTTTCAAAATCAGTAATCAACATTTAAAAACGATATATATATATATATATTGAACGTATGATATGAAATTATGCATAATCGTGCTTCCCACACAAAAACATGCACCGCTTGACAAAACCGTCTATTGAATGATCATCTCCCTGAATGTATAATCGAAAGTCTTCATACATTCATCAAACTTGAAAAGATTTGCAAAGTAAAGTCTCTGCTTTCATGTCAAAGCACGAGAGAAATTATCCACTTAGTCACGTTCCGTTTCTTTCAATCGTAGTCCGAATCCACTTGGAGAAATAGGCAATGTTAGTGTAAACACCCGGTGCGCCGTTTGGTAAACACGCTGAACCCCAACTTGTTACGCCCGCAAGATACCACTGTCGTAGCTTTGGTTGCCAACATGTCATAGGACCACCGCTGTCGCCCTGTAAAAATAATTCAATAGTACAGTAGAAATTCTGATGGAAAAAACATTATGGTTTAATGAAAAATTAAATATGATCTGAGTTTTGATCCGCGTCATCAAATCTATTTTCTTGTTTGTTTTTGTTGTCATGTAGTGTTGTAAAAACCCAATGGTCCCAACGGAGGTGAGTCTTCTCAGGCCACAGGCATAGTCAAAATTTTCAACGTTTTTTTTTTATATATATGCAATTTTGCAGTAAGACATAAATTCATACGCCTTTTCCAACACTATTTTACTCTAATCTTGAACGATTCACCGAAAACCGAACATTTCCTGGCGTGCTATTAATAATCCTTTCACCAAACGAGCTGGGTGAAAATGCGCACTTATATGCCTTGGATAACTTCTCCAGCGAAGTACATATGTAAAGCGATTCTAAGATATTGTTAGATAACAGCGGCTACTTTTATCTGGCTTTGTTCGGAGCAGAAAGCACATTACGTCATTATATGAATACCCCCCCCCCCCCCCCCCCCCCCCCCCTCCCCCCCCCCCCCCCCCCAAAGAAAATTTGAACTGGATACGCTCTTGTTCCCCTTCCTAAACCTTTGGCATACTTACACTACAAGCATCAATAGATCCATACTGTCGACCAGCGCATAACATTCTGTTCGATATCATATGCTTTGGAAAATATTCTTTGGCATTCGAGGCTATTCAGTAATATGAACTGCTCCTCTTGAGCTTTTGTGATCCCCTGGATGATTTCCCCGTGACGCCCCAGCCTGCAAACATCAGATCGTGGTATTTAAAATGCTGCCCAAAAATGACAATTTTGTTCATCAAAACGTTTTTTTCATTATTATTACTGCAGTGTATAAGCAATCATCTACAAGCCAAAAACACACATAAAGTAACATATATAATATATACAAACAGTGACACCTTAGGAGGTTTCTGCAACAAATCGTAAAGTTAATTCATATTATTGAATATATGCAGTAACATTTTGGTCTGAACTGGAGGTTAACCATATATATATTAAAATTGAGTTGCTTTTTTGACTCCTGTTGTTTAATTGTGAATAATTGGTTTCCAAGATGTGATGGAAATTTTGCTCCATAAATGATCTTAGGCTACTTGTTGACAAAAATATTTTTTCAATAGATAAAATCAAACCTGCTATGTAACAGTATGCTCCAGGTTTAGGGGGAACGTCAGAAAAACATATTGGCATCCGATGCTGGTTCACAGGTATATTTACTTTGATTAGTGCTATATCGAAATCCATTGAACTTGAATCAAACCTTTTAAAAAGGAAGAAACGGTTAATGGATTTGCATATGTAAAGTCAACTTCAAGTTGGGAAAAATGTCCGCCTGTTTGCTCTAACAATATTTGACTACATTATTAAATAAACAAAAAGAGCCAGAATCACTCGTACTTCGTACCCACAAGACATCATCATACTGTTCATATAAACTATATTTTATTCTGCAACTAACTTTGTTAGACACATTTATTTTGTTCAATGTTGTCCAAGAAATTGTGGGAAAAAAAGTTAAACAAAATGAAGTCACAAATTAAAAAATTGGTGATATCAATAAACCTGTTACCTCGAATGCATTACGATTTTCAGAAATATTTGCAATTATTTCTTGGTCTTTAGTATGAATATTCTGAGAAATTTCTTCCAAATTTTACTCTCCAATTTTCTCGCCGGTTCTCGCCTATGGGGAAAATATGAATTTTTTGTCTGAGGAGACCAACTATTATATAATAAAGCTTGCAAATATAAATATAATTTCTTGACAAAGTCTGCAATTCTTGTTACAGAAAAAACATAATGTAACAAAACCCTTGAGTTTTTAATTGCATTAGCGATTCAGGGAAAAGGTCACGGGGGTAAATTTTTTTTGTCCTTCGGAAAGCGAAACGACAACAAAAGTGCCATAGAATGGTGGAAGTAAATAGGAATCGTAGTTTTGATATTCATACATATTTTCAATCTTGCCAAGTTCAACTTAAGGGCATTGTTATATTATATCATAATGATTTAAATATTGAAGTGACGACATAAGACCACATTCTCAAACATATATTAGATCTTTGCGAGTAAACAAATATTCAAAATTCAATAAAAGGAAAGAACAATTACAAAACTTACCCGTGGAAGCAGTGAGCTGCAGATACTAGCACTGGCTGCTGAGCATTGTAGCTCCACAAACATGTTTTTTTCCTTGGAGGGACAAGGATGCTATCCAAGGCCAAAATTCTGCGCGCGCAGTTCTGCCACCAAATATTTTTGCCTCGATTTTGTATAAAAATGCATTCGGAGTATTGTCGTTGGGAAGTAGCATTCTTTTCCCGCACATTGCAGGTTTGCAACTCAAGTGCACGAGGCGATTATTTTGACAGGGAAAAATTCTGAAAAATAATTACGGTATGTCAAATTTTGATGTGATATCAATCAAAACTTAGAAACGTTTTATCAAGTATATATCACGGGCTTTAAATTGTTAGCCTTACAAAGAATTGCAGCACTAATCCACATCAAATTCGATGTAAATGAAAACTGTAAACCGACTCAACTAATATAGACAGATATATGATCAACCATACAATGCATCAGTTCTTCATATCACATCACGAAATACCTTTTCATGAACGATTCCTGAACAAGTTTCACTCTAGCTTTCTTTTCAATGTGAACCGAGTATCCCACTTCACTCTGAGAATGCATCGTAATCAAATGCAGAGCCTCACTAAGAAAAAGGAAAGATAATAAATACTTGTTCGAAAAAAGGACGTGATTCTTAAAAACAGGATGAGACTTGATTCTTCTTTTAAAAGGGCGAACTGACAAATCGTAGGCCCTTATCGCATCACGAAAATGTGCCTCTTTCATATCTGTAACCAACCACGATTGATAACAACACTTGAATGTAGCCTACCTGTATTTCATTTGACTGCAAGCCAAATGACTCAAAAGAGGAGCCCATTCTTCTGCACAAATCGGGCTCCATCTGCCTTCGTTATATGCGATTAGAATTCCTGAGGACTCATGGGTAGACCAGTCGACGTGATTATAAGCAGCAGAATTCATATAAAGATGAATACGATGTCTTGGCACGAGTTTTACTACAGAAAATATAAAAATAGTGTATCGTATCATATAATCTAAAAAAATGAAATTCTACCCAAAACATTCGTTCATTTCAATAAATTTTACATATTCAATGCATATGGCTAATGCTAATCAATAATGTTTGTTGGCATACATTCGGATACATTACATCAAGTTATTGCTAAAGTTTGGGTAAAAAAAGTAAACTAGTTGTGATGCACGTTTGAAGAATGCTACAATCAAATGGACAGGAGTTAGATACGAAACGTGAAAATTAAAAAGTCTAGTGAAATTTCATTTCACTATTAATCTGTGTCTTATATAGTTCGAGGAACTTCATTAGGTACTTTACAAACTGTTTTAGAAAAACAAAGTTAACTTGGTTTTTATTCCAGCTTACTGCATCTATCTTCATCGCTCCCATCAGGACAATCTTTCACTCCATCGCACCATTTATCAAAATCTATGCATGAATAATCATCACATACTTTGTCGTCTCGAGTGCAGTTGTCTATTAAAACAAAAAAACACATTACCATATTATGCACTACTTGCTTATGCAAACACACAAAAATATCTCTTCATTTTCCATACCACAATGCAATTCATCGTGCCCATTTGAGCAATCAATATGTCCATCACATCTCCAATCCTTCGGCACGCAGTGACCGTCGTTTGAACAAGGGAACCTGGAATTTTTTTTAATTGAATAAATACCCTAAAATGGTATTCTGTTTAATTTATGAGATTTATCGTACCTTGTTATGCATAGAAACATCGTTTTTCCTAATTTTTGTCAATATACCTGCATTTTCTACTGACCTCCCCATTATTTCGCAATCACACGTGACTTCATCAGAGCCGTCAGCACAATGTTTTATGCCATCACATCTAGAAGACAACGGTAGACATTGACCTGAAGATGTGCATCGAAATTCTTCTGCAGTGCAGAAGGCTAAAATAGAATTTTGCTTTTATGTCGTCACACGCATTTCGTTTAGTCAAATAATTTTTTCAGAAAGTTTGCCATGAAATTTTAAATTTTGAAGAAGTTCTAAATAAAAAAAAAATTAAAATTTATGTACCTCGCTGCATAGTCTCCAAATCTAGACACGTTTTTGCGCCGGTGGCATCAATCGGGTTTGATATTTCAGAAGGCATCGGTCCACAAGATAAAAATGCTGGCCAAGATAAAGATACGGATCGTAAAGTACTTTCACAAGATGAGCGAATAGATTGGCATAGTTCTCGACAAGGAAGTAATCTGGTAGGTAAAATTTCAATTTAATAAACACACTACACATATGAGCATGGGTGACACGCAAACTCGTGTGGAAGTTTAGTGCGTTTTATTATTACCTGGGATCATGCTTTTGCTTCATGAAGTAAATAATTCGATTGATAAACCAGTAGTTTGCCAATTGCTTCGGAAAAATTACGATTATTCCAGACCAACCCCACTAACAAACTGTTTTACGTAGATTTATTAGGTAATAAAAAGTGTCAAAATTCCGAAAAGTGGACAACATAAAATCATTAACATAAATTTGAATGTCGTTAAAAATCAGAATTTAATTGATAAAAAACTTTGAATGTCCTAATAATGAAAAATAAGATATTACTGCAGGGATTGTACTTGCCTTGGTGGTGTGTAGGCTGGCATTCCGGTGATATTCATGGAACATTGCAATCTTTTCCCTCTCCATGTATTTAAATGCGGTGGAGGAGCCAAGATCGAACATCCAAGTTGTCGCAAAAACGGATGACATCTAAAATACATAAGTTGTGATAAATAGAAGATCTTGGTTCGTTCTTTAAAGATTCGTTCTATAGTTGTGTTTACCTTGTCTTAACAATGGCGCTAAACAAAGTGTATTCCGGACTTGCAGCCGTTTTAGCTTGTACTCGATGATCCAGAAAATTGGGAAAAGCTGTGACGTTATATGAAGCATCTCTACATACATCCAATTGAACAGGTTCACATCTACCTAAATGTAAATTAATAAAAACAAATTCAGTAAAATGACCGTTTTGGCAAATAATTTGTTCTTTCTCCGCTTTGCTTTGAGTATCGGGAGTTTATGTCGAATACGACGGTGGAAATGATCCCGATCATTGGAAATGACAAAACATTACAAACACCTAGCTGATGACCCTTTCCGATATTACCATCATATCGTTTATGAACGAGCGACTTCTGGCTATATCAGATCGCCTCGGCGTACCTGGACCTACTTTTCCCTCTATCATTGTATTATTCGCTGCGATAGTTTGTTAAGGGTTTCGCTATCAAGAAACAGTATTGTTTTTACCCTAAACTGCCATTCTATATGAACAGTGTGCATTTTCAGGATGGCGGTAAATGAACACGGATGCTTGAACAAAATCAAAAAGATGTTGCGACCAGCAAATCATAAAGCTGACCGTTTAATTACTTTCTTAATCGGTATAACGATTAAAATAGCATAATACAATATTCAAATTATTACAAAACATAACAAAATATATTTTATCTAAAATATTGTTAAAAACTATTTTTGTGTCATTTTGGAATAAAAGTAATACTTACGGCAATTTTTTTCATCTTCTCCACGAAAACAATCTTGTTTTCCGTTACACACCGACGAAACTGGTATGCAATTTCCACCACATGATATTTCATACGCGTTACATCCTGAAAATAGTTTGGAAATGTCTACATAAGTATATGCAATTTATCCACACATAGTGAGCTCTAGTTCCATTTGTTTTTTTATAGTAAGCAATGCAATAGGGAATTTTATAGAAGTGGAAGGAACACTACATGTCAACTGCTGAAGATTAGTTATTTAAGATGAAGATAATTAAAATGGACGTTAATCTTGTTTACTCTTAGTATTTGTGAGATATAAAAATAAAAAATAACTTGATTTTTACTTTTGTCGTGCCAATCAATTCTGCAATAAAATACTAAACTTGGCATATTTGTGAAAAACTGGAAATTAAATACGAAAAGATAGTTTACTTGTTCGTGCGCATGCGTTTTCGTCGGAACCGCCGGGACAATCGTCCTCTCCATCACATTTGTAGATCAACGGAATACAAAGATTATGTCCTTCACATTGCAGCATTCCTCGACTTTCACAACCTGTGTATAAACAAAGATCAAATTTTATATCATATTGGGATTTGAGACAAAATTAGAATTAGGGCCTAACGTCCACTTCGATGTATTTCCTTATTTACAAGCCTTATACCTGCCTGGTATTATTTGCCCTAAATATCAATTTCCAATTCTATTTTCTAAACATTTATTCCATAAACAATACACGAAGCTATTACATACTGCAAAATCTTTCATCTTCTGCATTGTCGCAATCTACGTCACCATCACACCACCAAGATGCGCTTATGCATTGTCGCGTGATGTCACAATTACGAAGACCCGGTCTACAGATACCTCAAATAAAATGCATCATTTAATATCATAATAATGTAATTTAATTTGAAAAAAAGGACTCACTCATAACGTCTTGCTTATTATGAAGATTACTTAATATTTATTGCGCATGTCTTCAGAAAGCAATGCATAACGAACAAATATCTTAGATTGTACTAAAATATGATTTGAGATCATAAATATTTGGTATCGAAAAATGAGCAGAATATAATTAAATTATCTAGTTCAATTTGTATATTTTCGGCAATTCTTTTTTTTTTTTTTGTAAATTTTGAAAATATTTAGATACGGTCAGCCTAATGGCTGGTAATGGTAATGTTGTTGCATTTGCCTTGTCATTGTAGAAATGGTAATTGTCACGTTATAATTGTTTTGTTATGTCATAATGTATTTGTAAACAAGACGTCCACTCTCCACCAGGTTGACTTGCGCGCTTAGTAAGGCTAATATGAAAGGAAGTTTGGGAGAGTTTTGGCTATCTGCTTACAAATTCTATTCAATCATCGGAGCAAAAGTCATCAAAATAATCTAGCCATTTGCATCTTCATGGCTCTGTGAACACGGATTTTCTGCCATTACTGAAATTAAACACGAAAAAGGGAGCGACGGAACCTCGTTTCAATTGTTTCACTAAACAGGCACACATATCGTATTAACATTTAAAAAAATAATTTGTTTAAAGCTAACTTTATTTTTTACAAGTGTGCCGCCAAAGTTTGAGAACCACTGGGCTAGAGCTTCGTACTTTAGCTATGCTGGAATTGGAATAGCATGTTCAATTTCGCAGGTCCAAACTCCATGCCATCACCGCATCCTTGGTGTAATAAAATGGTCGATATCGAAACGCGAAAATTCCAGTCCAGCCAAAAATAGTAGCTCTTCACATATTATTGGATTCTTTGACGAAGCCCTTTTCAACAGCATAGTCAAACTTATAAAAGTATTGCTGTCTACTTGATAGTACAACGGGCAGTAAAATATAATTTATGCTTTAGTATTGAAAGAGTATGACACAACATACTGCAGTTTCGTTCGTCTGATCCATCGGAGCAGTCGTAATATCCGTCACACCTTTCATCAGATTGCACACATTGACTATTATCACAATGAAACTGTCCTGCTGAACATTCTGGTAGAGAGAAAATTATTTATTTAAACAAATCAGAAAATAATTCGTATTTCAGTGAAAACGAATTATACATGTTGTAATGACTATTTAGAAATATTCTGTTATAAAATTACTTAAAAATATTATCATGAAAAATTACGTCATCTATTGTTGAACGATCAATGACATTTCCTTCATTACGTCGAAATCGATCAATTATTCAGAAAGCTTTGAACCAAAAATCGATTGCTGGAAAGCTTCAGCACAACATGTCAAAGGATCAAACACAAAGTCCAAGATCCAAATAGGTTTATATTTACTTTTTGTGTGGGACGTAATGGTTTTGCACTTGATTTGCGAGAATCATTTCCGGGTCGAGGACATTTTGCCCTCAATTTTCGTTATAAATTTGTTTCAATATGAAAACAGTATGTCCAAAATATTGTGGCCAATTTATTCTTGAGTTTTAAAACTTCTTATTCGCACTGAAAACGCTTTTTTTCATTATATTCTTTAAAATGTAACCAATCACGCAGAAATATGATTTGTCGAGCCGGCATCTTTTTCACGTATTCGTCGCTCGTTTTCTTTCATAATGACGTAATAATACTTTCAAAATATATTACACAATTTGGGATTCAAAGACTTCGTACAAGTATTTTACTTTTTACAATTGTGACATTTTCTTTTACATCAAGGCCATTGAATTAAATTACGAGGCCAATCTTTAGCGAACGGCGAAGCGATAGAATTGCAAATCAATATCAAACTAAATTTCCACTAAGAAACAAATTTTTTTGCAACAACGGAAAACTGAAAGAGCTTACTGGTTGTGTGTGTGGCAATTATTGAATTAATAAAAACATTATTGTATTGTAACCTTGTATAAAATATTTTAAGATTTCAAACTAATATGTGTATAAAAACGTAATGTTTCCATGAAATATCTCAGTAAATTTTACTAGAAATGTACCTCTAAATAGATAACCTAAGCCAGTGGTTCTCAAACTTTTTAGGCCACGCCCCCTTTTTAGAATTTGTCAAATTTCGCGCCGCACCTCAAAATAACTAGCTAATAATAAGCTAAAAATAACAAATAGTGAGGCAAAACTATGTTTTATTCAAAAACACGTTGAAAATACGTGGATGGAATCGCAATCTCTAAACAATAAAAAAATATTTGGCGGGCAAGATCAATTCTAATTTTTTTTTTTCTATTTTTAATCAGTTTCACGCCCGCTCAAAAAAATTGTACCCCCCCCCCCCTTGTGGGGCGCTCCCCACTGTTTTGGGAACCACTGTCCTGAACCATTTATATATGTTTGAAAAGTTCCCACAACCGCTAAAACTTGTTAAATTGCTATAAAGGTTTTGACGATGTTTGGTGATATGGTAAGAATTTCTCGATCGCATAAACCTTATAATACTTGCCAACTTACCGCACCCAATTTCATCTTCCCATTGTCCGCAGTCATTCTGGCCATCACAAGTCCAATTCCAATCTAGACAAGCTTTGGTATTACATTGGAAATATCCTTCACCACAGTCTGTTGTGCTAAAATTTTTTGACGAATCTGTAAGTAAAAACATGACAACGCATTTTTACTGATAATGACGGATGCTCAATTTTTCCATGGGAGATGATTGTTCACAAACGGTTTGATGCCATATCGACGAAGGATGGTTCACGCGCCGTTAGTCGGCTTGGGGTGTCATCAAATTCCATGCATCTGGAACAATAACTAGCATCTAGTTACGGATCCGACCTGATTTGTTACCTATATAAGAAGCGGTGAGTCGCCACACGATTAGGCCACTTTGTCGTCTTTCCTATTTCTTCGGATAAAAACCATTAATCTTATTTTAGCCATGGATAGATGCGATTGCGTCAACGAATGTGATGATACAATCGTGCAGCCTTTCAGATGCGCTCTGATATTATATGATTGTTTGGCAGCTTTAAACTATGACTGGACATCAAGTTGTTAGTTTTGTGGTGCCAAGAGTGGTTCTCTTACTCGTAATCGAAATAGAACGAAGAAATTGCCAATATAAAGCAATAATTTACGCTTACGGGATAGAAATATAGAATATGAAAGGCCAACATAAAAAATGCCACAATGAAATCACATCAAAACTAGAACGACCTGCATTTGCTTTAATTATATTTTTACCTGGTGAAGTAGGATTTGGTGGTTCAAATTCTGCATTTGCTTCACCAAGAATCCAAGAACACTCGCTGTTTTTTAGCTCAATTGTGTTATGGTTTTCGTTTACTGAATAAAACCGTGGGCAAATGATTTCTGCTAATGTCCTACTGTCGTGAACAGCTTTGATTCCAGTTGCAACAACAAAATCGGGCGAAATAATAGTTTGTTTCCCGTTCAGAATACCAAGGAAATCTTGTTCCATTAGGCCATTCTGCATAGTTCCAAAATTGACTCGCTCGTAACTTTCATATATTGACTTCATTTCCAACAATGTTCGCTCGTTCACACAAGCTGACATAGCGTCAATACACCATGGAATACAAATACCTTGGAAGGAAATGATTTTAAAATTTATGTATATTACAGAGTGTTATCTTAATCATGAAAATGTTTTTAAACCAGCACAAGGTTGGAAAGTAGGTGCGCGCTGTGTTTGCGTGCTTCTGTATAAGTAAATTTATAATAGAAGTGTTCGTGGTTTGACAAAGCCAAGAAGCTCAGGCCGTAGATTGCAATTGTGCAGTTAATTTTGTTCAAGAACGATAGTTGTTTTTTGGCATGAACATTTGAGCTTTAATGAAAAAAATATATAGTACATTCACTAGATCCGTGTGAACAAACTGATAATCAAAACTTGGAATAAAACTTACCTTCTGTTTTTCTCCTTAAATTATCCAAGGAAATGTTCCTTGATGTATAGTCACACGGTGGATATCTCAGATGACACGCCATACGTTGTACGGATGTTATATCACAAACAAGTTTATCCGCCAATTTCGACAAATGACTTGCTGGCATCCAATTTACAGTTCTTTTAAATGATGACTTTCCACCAGTGGAACCTTTTGCTCTATGGTGGGCGGAAAAAATGGGAATTTCAACAGAACGAAGAAGTATATCGTATAATTCTAGGAACACTTTTTGTCTATCTGAATATTTGGTAATAAAGGGAGTGAAGTCATAAGGTAAGATAGCTTCACATTTAGGATTTGTAATTCTTACGCATGATAATTCGTCGTCATCATCTAAATTGCCTATGAAGTCGTCCGTCGAAATTTCTAAACTTCTTGCATAATCATTATCCTCAAACGGGTCGGTATTGTTATTTTGCAACATTTCAGATGACGCATAATTATCGCGGCTGTCTTGCTTTTTGATCAAACTTTTTCGTGCCTCAATCATCTGAAGAATATCGGCAGAAGATACCTGATTAGTTGATTTAAATTTCATGTTGTGCCTTTCCAGAAAATGATCGCTGTTTCGGTATTGGATTTTATCTCCATTAGAATTTGACTTTGTGAGTTCTGGATTGCTCTCAACACCTTGTTCCGAATGATTTCGAACATTTTGCTCTATCAAAACTATCGCGGGTGGAGTTGGTTTTGATTTTCTGGTAAATCTTAAACGTGATTCAGTTTTACTTTGCTTGTTAACTGAAGATTGTCGTTGCTTTTTACGATTGCGGTTTTTTCGTCTACTGTTTACTTTCTTTTCTCTTGAATTTGGTTCCTTGGTTTTTTTTGTAGGATGTTGAGAATCGGTAGAAACATAGTTCACAATACCAGTCGATGAGATTGCCACTTCGGCGGTCGAATTTATTTTATCGTCACTCACATTTCGAGTTGTGATACTCATCAATGTTTCTAATGTTATTGTCGTGTCTGCACTGATGGTCGATATAGCGGGTTTAGATAAATTATGAGAGGTCACAGTTCCGATATTCGGTTGCATCCCTGAAAAGGGCAAAGCAAATGTAAATTTAAAGGTGAGACTCTGTATAGAACTATGTCTCTATTTTAACTCTAAATTATACAGCAGTGAACAATATACGTGTGATACATTTTACTGGGTCCCGGTCAAAAATATCCGCACTTTCTATTTTATCTAACCCAAACTAATATAAAATCAAACGAGAGCAATCAAATTTTTTATCTTAATCATGAATAATGTTGCTTGTTCTTGAAAAATCGAGCTTCTACATTGAAAAGAGAGTGCATACGAGTCAACGAGGATTTACCTGATGTTAATACGCTTTGGGTGTCATTTTCTATAGAATTGGCCGTAGTCGCTGCTGGTGTCAATTTTCCGCTCGATCTGTTCAAATCAAATTATATTTTAGTATTTTAACCTAATCGTGAAAATATGTCTTCTTCGAAAAATAGTATGTTTGATGCTCTCTGTCAACTCACGTGAATGCATAATCCATGTCTACAGTAGTATCTTTGGCAAAGTTGGGAGGCGATTTTGTTGTAAAAATTTCTTCAATATGGATGTTTTTGTTGTCTGCGCTACTTGGTGATATTATTCCTGTTTTAATGAAAAAATATTCGAAACATTGAAATCTAACCAACTTAAATAATTATATTATTTTCAATGTTTATTGAATTATTTAATTAATTATGCGATAGCTTTATTTAGCGCATACCCCCTTCCTTTACTGCCTGTTGGCGATTAATATGGGCAATATGTTTGTGTGGTGGCCAGCGTAGTCAGTTTGGTACAGAATGCAATATACGAATTTTGGTCGATAAAAAATTTGATTTCCATGAAGTTTATATGATGCTTTGACCGTATACCATTGCAATTTTTAAATTTCCTATTTTGAAACATGTAAAAGCAGCATTGTAAATTCAAAACTGGGCGTTGGAAATCACAAAATTAGATAATATTCAGGATTTAAGCACAAAATTCTTTATTAATCTGATGTCTTTGCATCCATGTATAAATACAACAATAAATAAATGGGACTGTGGCCAAAGACGCGAGCCGTGGCAGTTTCCATTATTAAATAAAGTCTGGGAATAATTTAATTAAATGCGTCCTGATTCAACGCCATATGTAACAATATGGCTTGTGGCCCAATCTGATATTGGCTTTAACCAAGTAGAAAATTGGCCTTGTATACAGTTTTTCAAACCGTATGAGCTGTGGTAGCGTAATAAAAAAATTTGCTAAAATGGGATCTCTAGTCTATAGTGGGTATATCAAATATGCTGTCATATTAGATCCGTTCGACTAATTCAAATTTTTGGCATATATCACCGCCTTCCAAGTATTGGCAACAGATTGCAAGTTTGTGGCATTGTAACTCGTCAATTCTTGTATTTTGCAGCGGTGAATATTATTTATTTTCTAACAGTACATTAAATATAATAAAAAGACGAAGCAATATTTTTCATAATATGGAAAGTACAATACAAATACAAGAAACCGTTATATTCACTAAAAAAGAATTTAGGACCTGGTAAATTTGGAAAATACGATTTCGGCATCTTGATAGAACACTATAGTAATATTGAACCACATAAATACAAAGTTCCTCACCGAAATAAGATAGTCCAAATAGAGAGGCACAAATAATTGCTACGACCGATGGAACCAATAAGAGCGCGAACACACATTTCCTGTTATTTCCCGACATTGCTTCGTTCGTGTTATGTTTTGATCTCCCTAAAACAAAGAAGCAATGTTTGCGCAATAAAAAATTTACTTATAAAAAAGAAATGTACCGCATGCTTTTCACTTAAATATTATATAAATTTTAAAAATATGAAACCGATCAGTGGTGTTCAGTGAAATACAGTAAATCTTCACCAAACAAACCCCCGAGACGGTCGTTCTTATTCTAATATATATATATATATATATATATATGTATATATATATATGGATCTCGCAGTTCTAGTAGTCTAATATTATCATGCTAATATTAATAAATAAAGTTAGTATAATTAATGACTCACTTAACGGTTTCAGAGTATCGGCTTCAGCGGTGCTTGATAAATAAAGATTAGAATCAAATTCACTGTACTCCGAGCGGTAGGCTAACATAATGTTTGAACTGCAGAGTGGCTCGGTATCAAATCTTCCCGTATTCTGCCTAACAAATCGAGGATTTTCCGATTCGTCAATAACTTTCTCGTCGTTGAATGAATTACAAGCGCTACAGTTATCGCTGACGATACTTTTCTTTTGCAATGTTTGACAATCGATGGTGTCACGCGCAGTTTTTCCAATGCTTGGGCAAGAACCATTATCCCGATCGATACAGCCACTTGCATTTGCGTGATCTTCTATCATCGCATGCTCCCTGCTTCCATTAGTCAATGAGTAACGGGGTGAGATTTGATCAAAATCACGTGTGCCCTCGTTCGCCTCGATAGGTGACGTAACTCTCTTATATTCAGTTTCCATTTTTCGCTTTTGATTGAAATTCTCGCAAATAAGTGAATGGTCTAACGTCTTCGGTGTTTTTAGTGCGATTGCAGTTTTATTCATGTCTTCTGAAGATTGGCCGTACTCAAAGGCAGCGTCTGGTAATTACAGATTTCAATTTGGTATTAGATAAAACTCAATGAACATTGAAACAAATTGTATAATACATCAAAGAAGTGGTATTATTATCTTGCGAACTTATTATTTTCTGCAAGTTTTCTCAGAATTTTATCATATTTCTAACATTTCATTCTGAAGACGAATCATACCTTTATTCGATACTTTGACATTTTGTAAATCAGATATCTTAGGAAGTTTGCGCCCAGTACTCCTATTGGCATCGGATGAAAACTCAGACTCCATTTTCGAACAAGTCTGTTTTGACGAATCCTCAAGTCTATGGCGTTTTCTGTCAGTATGCGCAGCCATATTTAAGTTATTATTACGCGCAAGAGACAAAGATTCACTATTGCAAAACCGTTTTATTGCACATGGCTCGCTCACTGTTCGCCGTATTTCTCGCATGACTGGTGAGACAAAAGGCAGTGGTGCTCCTGGAGGTGGATCCGGAGGAGGTGGTAAAGGTGTCCGAGTAGAGTTGCTTCGTAGATTTGAAATCGACGGAGGTCTTCTCTTTTTGTATCTGGGTTTCCCGTCTTTTCGACGCCTCTCTGATACAGATTTTGTCCGTTTTGCATGCAAAAATGTTGAGTATGTGCTGTAGTCATGAACATCAAATTTTGGTGATAGAGGGTCCGTTGAAACATCCGGCTGCGAATCCATCCTTTTCTGTACATTTATCAATTAGTCCGCATCAAGTGAAGGAAATCACCTTACATACCTGCACTTTTGTACAAATTCAAAGTCTGCGTGTAGCGCGTACGAATCGATAATCTCGCATCAAGCGATAAAACAATTACACATTTCCCATGAGAATTTGATATCGCACAAGTGCTCAAGTCCGTTTTAGAAAAAGTCAAATGATCGGAACGATTCAATTCCGCTTTATTGAATAAAAAATTATCTAATATGGTGCGCGGGGTATTAAAATATTAATATATATATTTATATTGTTTTGGATGGTCATAAATGATTCAATGGTCATCAGAAGCTTAGCATTTCACTACTATCATTTTTATTGTTCAAAATAAGATTCTTATTAATTGAAATACGGAAAGGAATGATTGCTGGTAAATATGGCTCTTTTTTATATTTAGTTCACTGAAGACTAGTAAATATTGTACTGGCAAAAGGTAAGGAATTTTGATACGTTTAAATTTTTTGAAGCGCTCCGTTTAAAACAGTTTTATTTATGATTCTTTGATTATAATAAACCTATGAAAAGGTCAATGAAATCCATTATAATCGTTTGCTTTATTTCGCGTTACTTCAAGTAAACATCATCGTTAGTGAAATGCAGTGGGTTATTTTTAGAATGTGTTTGAAACTTCAGTCCACCGTCAAGGATAAAAACGGATGAAAGCGGGAATGAGGTACTCAGAAGTGCAAACAACTTTTATAACAATTAGATTCAAAACGTACAAACATTATCAAAATGCTCGTCTATAACACAAATGAAACTTAAGTTTCACTTCTACACTCACAAGATTTATTTTCGAAACATAAAATCGCAATATGATTAACTATTATGCAGATTTGTTTATGAAACATATTTTTTTTGACCCGTCCCGTGGGATTCCCGTTGGAATACAATTCAATAAAAATTATTGAATTTATGAAAATTTAGATTTGTTTTCCACTAAATAGGACTACATGTACATAAAGACATGCAAAATGACAAAATTTATTGACTTTAGATATGAAACTTCAAAAGTATTGTCTGATATGACATTTCATTCAAAATTCAGTATCACGGCCCCCTCTGCCAAAACTACTCGAAAAAGTTTTCAGTGATCGGTCAAACTCTTTTTCATCCCGGAAACGGCTTTTAAACGATAAAACCACAAGAGTGTGAATTGATTGACAGTTACCCCTCCCATACCCCAAAAAACACCTTTTTCTGCCTCGATCGCAATTAAAAAAATTCTTGGTTATGTGGACGCAATACCAGTTTCTTATTATCATTACCATCACTTACGGCTTACGCTATACTATACGCGCTGTGATTTCTGACTCTGCATACGGACTATCGCGCTACCACGTTCCTCGCCATCATGTTAAAGCTCGGACATAATGTTAATTTTGTTGATGCACAAAACCTAACCTTATATAAAATTGCTCCGCTTGTCTCTATTACCCCCTTGTCCATTGAGAAATACAAATATCTGCTGTCTTATCCCATTTCATGGAAACGTCCCATGGGCAAGCCTGCTAACATGTCATGTCACAACATAATTTGCGAGATTATTTGTTATTTAGTGTTAGCTAAATTGATATGAATTAAATGCACAACTTGAAACAAAAAATTCGTGGGTAAAAATTTGAGAAGGCCTATGTACAAATATTCACGCGTGCAAAAAAAGGTTTTAATTAGGTTATGTTCTAATAGATATTGCTGACTTCCTGAATTGTGGTTCTCTCCTGCATGGCTCCCACAAGTTCATACGTTATGAAGCTGTATCTTGAGGTCCCAACAGAAAGGGATAATAATTTATCATGCATATGTGACAGGAGTGTGTGTGATATCATCCAACCTTTAGGTGAACCCCATATGATATAGATATCACTTGTCTGACAATTCTTCATCACACTGATTGTCAAAGTGAATTATAAAGTTTCTGAAGTATTGACTAGGAATACATAATAATAAATAGGTCGCCACTGCATTAAACCAAATTTTATGATGATTCTTACTTGCCTTTTGGAAAATGCCTCCTTGAATGGAGGACGAACATTTGAGATGGACATGCGATCAAATCTGTTGCTTTACAAGTGTGTTTTTGTATATAACCAACAATAAGCGCCTAAAATTGGTGGGGCTGAAGCAGTCCCGCCAGTCTTCAGGTAAAAAATCTTAAAACTGTACATTCAACCGTAAACTCTTTGTCTAACTATACATGTATTCTAACTGATGTAGCGTTCTTATTTGGGTGCTCCCGAAGTATGCGAACCAAGATGGCGGACATCGGAACGTAACATGGGTAACAGGTTAGGCGATAATCTTTTTCCAATTTTCCTTATTTTAGTCCTATTAGCAGTTCGAAGACTAGCCAAGAGCCTCCCGTAGTATTTATACCTAAAATTATGGCCTAACCCTAACCTAGTACACATATTACATTCCGATGTCCGCCATCTTGGTTCGCATACTTCGGGAGCCCCCTTATTTGTATAAGAGTCATTCCTTATTGTGGGTCCTTTATTCATTTTAGTGCGTATCAACCCATTTATGACTATTGCATGGTGTCAAATATTCCCTAATATCCATGGTCATTATAAACAGAATGAATAAATATACAAACATAACAATGAGAAAAAACATATCAATCAATCGTTTATTTTTTTGTTTATTTTTTGTAATAGATTTTAATATCCCATACAATCAGAACAAAATTTAATGAAAATAAACTACATTCAGATAAAATGTTACAAAGTTTATTAGTTTTTCGCAATCCTGACACTGGGATAATATTAATTTATAGCCTACTATGAAAACTTGAGTGTAAGCATACCAGAAGATCAGTCTGCTTTGATCTGTTTCACTAAAAACATTCTGATTCATAGTAGAAACTGTGGTATCATATGATTTTTATTAAATCTGATCTGGTGTATTAGTCTAGTCAGCCAATACGGACGCAGTCATGGTGCGCCATGGTGCTCTGTTATATCCTAAAATAAATCCATGAGTTCGACCCGGATTGCTCAAACGAGTGAGTGCCCAAAACATCGTTCCAGCTGTATTTGTATATAAAATTCCTCAAAAACGACACATAAATACCAGAACGAAGCCGCTTCCCTGGGCTTCAAGATATGCCAAAAAAATGGTGTCAGCACTCAAGCATACAGTTGCAGCCGTGAGCGAACTACAGGGAGTCCTCGACTTACGACGTTCCGTTCTTGAGACGCGGTGTAACCCGAATTTCAGTGCAAGTCGGAATATCCAAAATAGCGTACAGTATCACTGAAACTGTGTACCATCATTGATGACTACATAATGGATAGAAAACTCATTGTTACCGTCGCAGACGTCGCACGCTTGAGTGGCCTTCTGTAAAATCGTATTCTGGAGGCTCAAACCATAAGGTATCAATGGTACCATGTGACTGAAGCTTAGTGATTATTCGTTCATAATCGTAATAGTTCGAAATTGTCCACGTCATTTACGATGTAAATGACGAAAACCAATGAGCCCAAAGCACTGATTTTTTTGATCACAAAGATCCAGTTTAAGGGCTTAGATATTACAGTACAGTATTATCTTTTTATGAAGTGCGTTCGTAACCTCGGAACAGCGTAAGTCGCGACCGTCGTAACCCGAAGACTCCCTGTATATCTATATTTTAGTTCACACACAACCACCGGTTGGATACGACCAAAGCGTATATATAATATATTGGATACGACTTCCTTAACCATGAACTTCACGCATCAGCTACGTTAACTATTTCCGCACCCGACGTGGACTGGTAGCGGTACCGGTAACCGAAAGAGAAGCGGTGGTTTACCATATGATTATAATGTATAAGCAGTCTAATCTGTCTCTTCTCCCCTCCGGGATAAATAAAAATTTCTTTGCCTATCCGGATAGTGAAAACTAGATACCGAAGTAGTGCTGCTCCGGTTCGATCCATTGAACTGGAAATAGGCTACATCTCACCATTGATACCTTAACAATGGATCAAAATGACCATTGTCTTACCATTGTTATGCTGCAGATAGTGAACGCTTGACTGATCTTCTGTTCCGACGCATTTCTTGTCGGCGAATGCATGGGAACTAATGGATGAAGTGACAACCATACTTTGTAAAAATCTAATGTTTTGAAGCACGATACGTGGAATATTTGATAGTAATAGAAAGTTTGACATTCAGCTCAATGATTTAGCTAATGAGGATCTTGATAATAATCGGTGATCGTAAAAATCTATTGCTTTTCAGAGGTTGGATATCCCAACAATTTCCGTATCAAAAGCTTGCGAAATACTTATCTTAAGCATGATTAACCTAAATTTGTCATATTATCCCGGCACAAAATGTCATAATAAAGGGTCGATTAGACACACGTTACAATACACACTTTCGGTGGCACAGCCAAGATTTTCAAAGGGGTGGAAAGATCAGAATTTGGAAATTTCCATGAAATGGGTCCTGAAACATTCGCCGAATTACGCCACTCGTAAAAATAGTCGGATCTTTTCAAATCGTCAACATACGGAAGGTCGAAAACTTAAATACCACGTGTAGTGTAATTTGAGATTAATTTAATGTAGTGCTTGAATCAGGGATGTCCAATTCGAATGTAATATTTGAATATCGCGACATTCGAATATCGTTTTTTCGAGTTTATAAGCGCACATATCCTAGCGCCGCGGTCCATGTTCCGATTAAAAACATTTTACAAATGCTTCATTTTTATCGTAATCGAAGGCAGCCGTGTACGCAAGGCAATAAATTACAGCCACATGGAAAGATTTCAATTAGCGCTGACTTGAATTGGTTATAACACGTCGGAGATTTACGAATAATATACGAAATTATTATCGTACATTTAAAATTTAGTCGAGATAGTTTGTGCGGCATCGACAATATTTCTAAAAGGAAATTGTGTCGCAATTTATCGTTTTCATCCTCAATTTCGATAGTGACCGTACATTACGGGAAAATTTTCATTCCCTGCAATTTAGAGCGTGTGGAATAGCTCCTAAATATTATTCAGTATCTATTGCGAATTTTATCGCTTTCCCGA